TTTGTCGTCAGCCGGGCGCAGCCAGCTGCGGTCCTCGATGACCTCGCCGTTGACTTGCACCACGACACCCAGCGCGATTCCCGACGCATCGCACCACACGTGCCACTCCGTTGCGTCGTCATGCTGCACCGACCATACGCCACGCACCGGATCGTGCTCGTTGACTTGGGTCTGGATGTCGCGGCAGAGCTGCAGCAGACGAGGTGGCACGGCGATATCCCAGCCGACGGATTCGCCGATCATCCGCTTCAGCCAATTCGTCGTCGGTCGCAGCCACGCACAGACGGGGTAATGGCTGACGAGCTTGCCACACCAGCTGAACACGGCGTGCTTGGTGGGCGCCTCCGGTAGCTGCAGGCAGACGTCACGGCGACGTTGCCAGTTGATCGTGCCGTCTTGAGTCGAGAGCTGGAGGCCCAGCACCCGAGCAGTAGGGAGCTTCTCGGCAGGCTTGCACTTCAGGCCGTAGCGCTCGAGCTGCTGGGTCGTGGCCACCACTTGGGAGTCCGGCACACGCAAGTCGTCGACATAGTTGTCCATACCGTCGAGGTCTTTGGTCACCCACTTCACGACCATGTCGAGGATCTTCGGCGCGACGTTGAGGCCGAACCCCATGCGCGTCATGGCAAACAACTCTCCTTGCCACACGATCGCTTGATAGCGGTACAGACGGGGAGCCATCCGGATCTGGAGGTACGCCTTGCTCAGATCAAGGAGGGCGCTATCACCGTCCCCGAGTCGCCACTCGCGCAGCTTCTGGCCGCAAGCCGGCGCATCCAGGCCTGGGTGCGACACGAGACACTCATTCAGAGCGCGGTAGTCTAAGCACGGCCGCACGGGAGTTGACGCCTTGTGAGCCTGGTCGACAGCCATCAGTGGAAGAACACAGGCCGGTTCACCGAACGCTTCACGGTCGTACGGGACCAGCCAGCCGTTCTCGCGCCACATCTGGACCTCCTTGACGAACTGCTGCTCTTGCTCTGGGTTGAGTTTCTTGCGCGGATATTCTCCAACACCAGAACCAAGAGGAAGAGACGGCTCCGTGTCGGCTTTCCATCGCCAGGTGGCTTCCCAGAAGCCTAGGTCGTCGCGCCAGGTTGCCTCAATGTCGTCCATCCGCAGCGTGACCTGACCATCGCCGTCGCTGACCGAGATATGCCGTGATAGCTTCTCCGTGGCAGCCGCCACGCCGGCCGAGGCGACGTCACGTGCGGGGCCGAATACAACAGACGATAACTGGCCTCCCGGCTGATCATGGGAGATGCTGACACCACCAACTTGGGACACGATGTCCGATCCGATCACGATATCGGTGTTGAGGGCGTCGAGGTTCGGCACGACGAGCAACGAAACCTTGATCGTCGGTAGGTAGACCGAGCCATCCTCGCGCTTCAGCGTCATGTCCACGCTGCCGGTGACGTCCAAGGGTGTGCCGTCCACCGTGATCAGCCGGTCGCTGGTCTCCTTCAGGCTGGACTGCATACCCAGCTGCTGGACAACTGGCCACTCAATCAGGGACCGAGTGCAACCCGTGTCGACAACCGACGCTTGGCGGCTCCAATGCGCGTTTTCGACCTGCACCTCCACTGCAACTCGAATCAGCTGCGACGAAGGCCGGGGCATAGCCAGGCAGAAATCTGTCCGCGGGTGCGACGCTGCCGGGGCTGGTGCTGTGGCGGCCACACGTCCAGAATCTGACCTCTGAGGACAGTCTTTCCTCAGGTGGCCCACCTGATGACAGCGATAGCACGTGGGTCCACTCCTCTTGGCTGGAGCATCCGTGGTCGTCCTTGGCCAAGTCGACTGCGGGGGCCCACCACCGCCACCTCGCTGTCCACCGCCACCGCGCTGTCCACCGCCACTACGCTGCTGATTCGGGCAGCTACGGCGCATGTGACCCACTTGGCCACAGCCATAGCACATCAGCGACTGACTCTGGGGCGGGGGACCAGATCGGGCTGCAGCCACCGCCTGAGCGACCCCTGCCGCTGACTGCATCGTCCTCACCTGTCCAGTCAGCTCCGCGACGGTAAGGCTCTTCATGGCGTTGGCCAGCCGGACGGTTTTCCCATACTCGTGTGGTAGACCGCTGATCAACTGCTCCACGAGCAACGGGTCTTTCCCATCCGCAGCAACCTTGTGGCCTGACAATGTCAGCAGGCGCGTCAGGTCTGCTACGTAGGCGTCGACAGGCTCATCCAGGGCCAGCTGCCGCCCTACGAATAGATGGTAGGACTCCGCCGGGCTGGGCGCGAACGCCGCCTCCAAAGCAGCCTTCACCGCCGCGGTCTTCTTCCGATCCTCTGCGGACAACTGGTCAAACACCAGGAACGCCGGACCATCCAGCAACAATGGCAGATGCGCCATCTGTTTTTCCTCCGAGTCCCATTTGTGCAGTTCTCCAAGGACCAGGAACTTAGACCAAAATGCAGCAAGGTTATCACCTTTTCCACGAAACGGCCGAACAAAACTATCAAACTTCAACGTCGACATCGTATTGCACACTGCTACTCCACCAAACCGGGTTTCGGCACCAAGCTGTTAGATAATCACGACCGCCCCAACTCACTCCCGGACACGCACTCACAACAACGTCCACAACGAGTTCTTTGGCGAACAGTGTTCATATAATTATTGGAGAAGAAGCAGAGAATGTGGGAGAGCGAAAAACACAAGTTTGTTCCACGGCCAACTCTAAAACTAACTGGAACTGATGTAGTTCTTCGTTGTACGCACTGTACGCATGAGAGCACGCCAGTTGCATGCCAGCGCGCAAGCGAGCAATGAACATGAAACGGACACCAGAAGTAAAAGGATCTGGCGGTGACACAAAGTCAAAGGGAATGTATTACATGTCGAGAGACCATCAATGAGCCATGGTAGCCGGCGGGTGCAACAAGGAATGTAAGATAGAAGTTAGAGCAACGAATACCATGCATACTCTCACATTCATAAAAAAAGATAGCGAATATTGACTCCGCACCCGCGCGCGCGCGCGCGCGCGCGCCTTGTCGACCTACTACGAAAAAGTTCACACGTTGTACCCAACCTCACGATTTACGAATATTCGTTAGCTTTTTTTCGTTACAAATATTCGTTACTGTGCTACGGATTTTTGTTGTGCGCAACCTCTCTATTATTTTAAATCAAGTTTATTTTCATGAAACTATTCTAACAGCGACAACACTGTAATAAACAATTGATTTATTTAAGTGGCATTGTTCACACCTCGACGAGGAATAGCACCAAACAATTGCAGAGACAGCACATTATCTTTCTGTGCACAAAGCTCAGGATCCAACTTTCGTAATTATGTATTATGCTTCTATCACAGCCAAATGCAATGCACCTCTACCACGTGCCAGTACTGAGAAAAACATCATCACAATACAACTCATGACAAGTAGCTTGTGTTGATAGATGGCTTGGCTGAGCTTTGTGTACAGATAGAAAATGTGTTGTCTCTGCAATTGTTTGGTGCTATTCCTCGTCGAGGTGTGAGCATTGCCACATAATGTGTTCACTACGGTGTTGTCGCTGTTATATTTTTCCTTCTAAAACTTGATAAATTCCTACCTTGTCACGAGTGTTGTATCTCAGTACATTTTAACGCTGTAATTATTATACTTATTATAAGCTGTTGATAGGAAAAAAGAGGACCAAGAAACTACAAGTTACCACGGGCTATAATGTCCGCTAACACCACCAGTTACTTTACAATCAGCTCATGCGATAACATTGCACGACACTGACCAACGGTACTGACGCTCTACACCTAACTGGCAATCAGCTCTAGCACGTCTCGGATGTGCACTCCAACAGCCTTCCAGCTTGGAAGGTTCTAAGCTATGGAACTATGATAAACTAGGAGGGGAAGGTGAGTGCAACCAAGACAAGCACGAGCTGAAAGTCTCAGCTACATTGGCGGATGTTCATGTAGGTCGAAGACGATACTGGCAAGACCATCAGACAAAACGGTCAAACCACAATTCAGGGACACATAGCAACATACCGCACGACTTGTGTGGCTCTAAAGATTCGAAGATAGATTGGAGGGGAAGCTAAGCAAACATGAATTGTGAAGAACTGAACATCTCAGTAATACAGTGCAGCACTGCGACCAAGACAGTTGAGATGGACAAAAAAAGGCGGCAGTAACAAGCAGCAGCTCCACACGATGATCGTTTCGCCGTATAGGTAAGGACGGTTCATCAGGTGTGCGTAGCTAGCTGATTGTAAAGTAACTGGTGGTGTTCGTGGACAATTTAGCGAAACTTGTAGAGTAGGGCCTTGATCCTCTTTTTCTTCCCAAAAATTAGTGCTTGGCTCTCCACCTGAGTCTAGTTATAAGCTGTAGTCATTTTTTTCATTTTTCATTTCAGCCATTCCCTGTATAATCCTTGAAGAGAAGGAAACAAAAACGTCCGATACCTTATGTGAAGTGTCTTCTTGACTGGATGCGTTAAAATGCGTGGATGCATGCCAACTTGACTTCATTCGGGAATAATGTTTCGCCTCCGGCCTCAGTTACAAAATAGTACAAGGAAGAAATTGTGCAAAGTGGAATAAAACACTTAAACAATGTTTATAATGTGCAAAAGAAATCGTCGCACGTGTACATACAGACAGAGTTTCTGTAGTAAAGAAGTCGCATGCATGCACTTCTGGTACTATTTCTTCGACACTGACTGACTTTGGTATTACACTCATACCTCAGATATCCAAACCCCGAAGTTACGGGCACTTCATGAGCCATATCTATGGCCTATCCCCATCAAATGATTGTATGTAATTCAGAGTTACGGGCATTCCTGGTCCCTGACTGCCCGGATAAACGACGTATGAGCGTACTCACATAGCACGCTTGGATGGGATTGTATCCAACATAATATTGTGAGCAACTCCTAGTCACAGAAATTAATGTACTTCTGGGGCCATGTCTGGCTTAGTACTGAGTTCTGTATTCTTATTTTGTCTCCTTTGTTTGCTCGACTGTGCAGAGGCCTACCAGGAATTGGAAACGGCGCCTTATCGCGAGAAATTGCGCGTCCAAAATGAAGATGGTGTAAATAGGAAGCCTCAGCTGATTGACAAGATGAAGGTCATCAGGGGATGGATGTCTCGTGTGGAGGACCTGATGGCTAACCCTCCTGCGCCAAAGCAGCCATTGCGCAGACGTATATGGCCAACAGCCCAGAAGAATGCAGATGATCCGCTTGACAAGAAGTACAGTTACGTCCTGGAGTCATGCAGGAACATGCTTGTCCGATTGTGCTACCTCTGCTTCAACAAGGGCTCAAGAACTATTCTGCAGCACGCTTTGCTGACTGGTCTTCACAAGGACAACGTCAAAACGCTCGCCGAGATTGTCGGCCGTTGCCCTCACCCTCACCGCCAACGCCCACAGTGTGAGCTGAAATGGCTAGATGACGGAATGGGCCTGCCATCCAGCACGTACGAACAGGCACGTGTGGGGCAGCGGTCCTGGATTGAGCGGTGTATTCTCCTCACTGTCATGGTGCGAATGGCAGTATTCAATGAGCACCGACACCTGCACTATATAGCATCTGGAGCAAAAGATCTAAAGACTGAACAGTGCAAGAAGTGTCTGAAGACCTGGCAGGAGCTGTATGAGAAATTCAAGGAGAGGGACGCCAAAGAAAACACCCGCACAGCCTTGAAAGCAGCTCAGAGTCATGGAGATGGCAGTAGACTGGCATTTTACTTGCTCCTCTGCCAGTCCCAACATCAATCCAAGGATTCCGGCACAACGCTGAACTGGGAAGAATGCGGCATCACTGATCTCACTTGGAAAAAGATTGAAGACCTGTGTGAAGAGAATGAGTTTCCGCGCTCGACTATGGATGTGTTGCAAAGGAATGTGAACAACGTTGACAACGTTGATCTTAGCAAAAACCGAGAACTAACGATGGTTCCAGGTGTTGTGTTTCGTGTCCATAATTTGACATACCTCGACTTGTCCGACACTCGAGTCACACACGCTAATCTTCAAGCCAGCGCCAAAATCTTTAACCAGCCACACTTAATGTTCCTCCACCTATCTGGACTGTTATTGACAAAATTACCGGAAGACTTGGTGATCACAAAGTCACTCAAGGACCTCGCCTTGAGCAGAAACAAGCTGACTCGCCTGCCGGCCGCCATCTACTCAAGTCACATTTGCAAGCTGGACCTCTCTGACAACCACTTCGTAAAGTTGGACGACAATATTGGTGATATGAAGTACTTGGTCAAGTTGGACCTCAGCTCGAACCGGTACTTGAAAAGTCTGCCACCATCTCTTGGGTACTGCTCAGTTGAGATTCTCCTTGAAGGCACAAGGATCCAGACCAGAAATGCCCGGCCAGGAAATGAGTGGGAAAACGCAGGCAAGGATATCATCGAGTATTACGAAGTCAAGCAGCGCCACGGCGTGGGCAAGGTGCTGCTTGTCTACACAAGCCTAGAGGTAGCAGATGCCGTCGAATTTGTGAAAGAGAAGTTGGAAGCCAGGGCCCGGGAACTGGATTCTGACTGCCCCATGGCTGTTCTGGATGGTGGAACACCAGAGACACTGCTCCACACATCTCGTCTGCTCTGTGACAAGTATACCAAGTTTGTCATTGTCTACGACGAAGAAAGAGATTTGAAAGAAGCGGAGAAGGTGGTGAAAGCAAGCAGCCAAGCGAGCGAACCATTACTTGTGTGCAGGGTACAAGTTGGCGATCTGGAAGCCGACAAGCAGCATGAAGACGATCTGGTTTTGAAGAAGTCTTCAGAAGGACCCGGATTACACGACAGATCAACGTATACCTTTGAGGATCTCACCCACAAGGTTTTCCCAAAGCCGATAGACAAAGGTCACAGCAGCAACAGCCATGTCCACAGCATGAGAGTTCCAAAACTCTTCTGCAGTATCCACAAGTGGTTGGTCCCCACCACCGAAGACAGGCGGCCTATGTTCCTTCCAGAAGACGATTTCAAGCAGAAACTCAACGATTTGGAGGAGGCTGAGCTGAAACGCAACAATTTGGAGCTGAAACCGACAGTCAAGCCTGAGCAGTATTACAGAAACCTGTACGACTTTCTTCTGGCGTGTGGTGCAGCAGTTCGTTTGCCGGACATGTCTGATACGGAACCGGTTGTGATCTGCACAAATCTTAATGGTCTTTCAGAGATCCTTGCTTATGCTAGCCACCGTCACCAATCACATGACGTGCAAGGAATGTTCGCGCCACCTACGGCAAACCGAGAGGAAAGTGACCGGCCTCATTTGGAACGGTTCATTGGTACAGACCAAGACAACGAATCCATCGAGCAAAGTCCTATACTATTCAGTATCCTGCAAAGTCTAGACCTTGCTTACTTGCTCCCCAATGGCTCCCAGTATGTGCCATTATGGGCAAAGCGGCAGAATGATGATGATTCCCTGGCACTTCTTAGGAAAGGCGACACACTGTTCCACCGGGAATACAGTGTCGGGCAGCAGCAGCCACAGCAGCACCAGCAGCCACAGCCTGAGCAACAGCAGCAGCCACAGCAGCATCAGCACCAGCAGCCACAGCAGCAGCAGCACCAGCAGCCACAGCCACAGCAGCAGCAGCAGCAGCAGCAACAACAGCAGCAGCACCAGCAGCAGCAGCATCGGCGGCAGCGGCCGCAGCATCAGCGCCAGCAGCAGCCACAGCAGCAGCACCTGCGCAATGAAGAGTGGCCGCCACGCGGAGCATCTGACAACTTCCAATTAGCATGCAGCAGACATCGGTTCCTCTCTTTTGCAAAGCTGCTATTGGGCAATGCTCTGAGTCAGCTGCCAATGCTGATATTCTTGAGTGGAGTCAACGAAAGACACCAGGAATGGGCTATTGAGACTTGGCAGCACGGCTTTCGTGTGCATGAGCGTGGTGCAGACAACACACTGTTTGGTATTCACTACAAAGACAAAGCCCTCATCAAGGACTGCATGGTGCACATCTGCTGCTCTAAGACATCGTACAAGGCCATGTCTCTGCTCTCAGATCTGGCTGTACAAAGTTGGCAAGAGAAAGTACTGATGGTGGGTAGAGCACCACGCGGTGGCGCTACACCTGCCTTGCTTGTGCACATGAAAGCTAACGATTGTCTTGACAATGGTGCTCGCCAGGATAGCTCATGCAAACCCGAGACTCTCTTCGGGCAAGAATCCAAGGAAAGGTTTACCTTCTGCTCCAAGCACTGCATTGAATACCAGTATATGTTTTCTGACATCCTCATGACCGACTTTCCAGCCGATGTCCAGAAACTGCAGCCGGAAGAAAGCAATAGAATTATGAAATGTGTGGAAGAGGGTAACAGCCTAGGCGATGGTGCCTTTGGACGTGTATACGAGACCACCTATGACAACAAGAAAGCAGCTCTGAAGAGAATTGAAGGTCCACACCGATCACGTTATGCGAGTACTTCTGAACGAAGGTCAGACCCCCTTCTGGCCCTGAGGACAGAGTGCTTTGTTCACCGCAGGTACATGTACTTGTACGATGCAGATGAACGGCCTCCATTTATTATCAGGCTCTTTGCTGTGTCTGTGTGTACACACACTCCTTTCTTCATCATGGAGAAGGCAGACACATCCTTGAGCGATTTCCTCACTCCAAGCACAGAAGCATACAAAAAAGTGTTGTCTGAAGAGATGATCCAGCTCAGGGAGTCGTCAAGTACCAAGTCCATTACCGTATTGGATGATTCCCTGATCCAGCTCATTACGATGCAAATGTTTGCGGCTGTTGCTTTCCTGCATCAGCTAGGATTCATGCACAGAGATGTCAGTACGAAGAACTTCCTCATCGTGAAGGCCGGCCGAGCTGAAGACGGAGATGAAGTCACGCCGTTTGACATCATTGTCAAGCTAGCTGATTTTGGCACATCCATATTGCAGAGAGTGGGCTGCAGCAGGAAGTCAGAAGGGGCACATGTGTACTTGGCTCCTGAGGATCACCGCATCTCAGGGTCAGAAGAGAGGATCAAGACTAGTGCCAAGGATGTGTACAGCCTCGGTGTCATTGTATTTGAGCTGCATATTCCAATAGACAAGCAGTATACTCTTGATGAGCCACCTCCTCGTGCCCAGGCACAAGTTGAAAGAACGACTCGAGCAAAGCCTTTCGTTACCCAAATGGCAATGAAACGTGAAGCAAACAAGAACCGCTTCGGATGCAAAGCGTGCATAATGGCCGCCAACATGGCAGCAGAACAGGCTCCAATCTCCCGACCTCTGGCTAAGTACGGCATGGAGTTTGTGGCTAGCTTGGAAGCACAGCTGCTCATCAACATGATGCATGGGTCTGATATGGCGGCAAGGGGTTTGCAAAACACGGATGCTATCGCAATCCAGCAAACCAAACAGGGTCCCACACCAGCTGGCCTTTTCATGCTTTCGCCCGTCTCCAGCGGAGCAGCAAATGATGACGTGTCAAGCCGGACCGAAGCACTAACAGTGCATCGGGTGCCCATTGGCTGCGAAACAGAGCACACGGTCACAATGCTGCCAGCAGACACATTGCCACAAGATGATCGTATATGCCATGTCTGGCAGCTCGAGACCGGCGATGACAACCGCATTAAAATCGCTGTGGGCACCGAAAACACAGTGTACTTCTGGGATGTATCCGAAAAAGGCCTTGATAAGAGCGTTAAAGTGAAATCGCATGGCATCGCTTCACTCACCTGTGTTGCACAAGAAGCCGGTCAAGTTTTCATCGGCGAGAGCAGGGGATCTGTCAGCAAATATGCCGTGGAGGACCTAGTGAAAAATGACCAGGACCCCGAACGGTCAAAGATCAAGCGCGGTTGGTCGGTCAGAGAGATTCTGCCTGTCTGCAGCCGTACCGACGGTGTGATCACCACTTGGATGGTCCTGGTTAATCCAGAGGACGACAGCATGTGCTTGGTGGTCGGCACGTGGACGCCAACTTGGCAGCCACATAATACCACCGAACTGCCAAACAATATTCTGCAATGGCAGGGTCTGGTACTGGCGTTGTCGGAAGACGAAGAAAAGCGTCACGTGTGGGTATGCACTGAAGATAAAGCAAATGCTTGGGCAGTCGCCGGTACTGATAACCAGCCACAAAGTCAAGTGACTATTCCAACGCTACGGCATGGTGGCAGCGATGACAGCCCAGCAGTGAAAATGAAAATGTGCAGCGCAGTGTGCATCAAAGGTATTCTCTATCTGGGTGTGGGCAGTGGCCACATCTATCTCTACCTTGACAAGCCTCAGCTGCGAAACAAGCAGGACCAGCCGATAGCGACACTGCAGGCCCACCGGAAGAACGTGTATCACTTGATCAAGTGCAACATGTCAAAGAGCACTGATAGTCCTGACCAGGAGCCAAACAGCGTGCTAATCAGCATTGGCGAGGGAAACAGATTGATCAACGGCAAACCCAAAGGCAGAACTCGCAAGGTGCGGCGCGGTGTACCCCTTCAGCCTGCAGCACTCACCAATCGAGCTGATCGTGAATTGCGCAGGTCGAATGACGAGAAAGCAGTCTTCAGTGCAGCATTTGATAGCAACCGTCCCGGAGGAATAGGCAGCATAGTCAACTTCCGCGGTGAGTTCAATCCAACTGCCGAGGAGAGTGGTTCTCCAACTCCCAGAGACGGTGCTTCTCGAGCTCCCACTGACCGTGACCAAGACGAGACTACTCTTGGAGTCTGGAGAGCAGTTAGTGACAAAGAAATCGATACGAAGCTGAAGATCAAGAATTGGATAGTGACGAATAGCAGAGTCGAGCTAAATCAAGAAGAGCATGAAGCTACACCTCCTATGTGGTAGTGATCAAGGTGAGAGCGCTAACTGGCAGAAGTCACAGATCATAGGACGAGAGACTTGCCCTGAGCACGTCATTGCATTTCAATGATTTTTTTTAATTAATTCAATGTGCACGGAAGTAACATTTCTCTGCAGTGCTGTCGCCATGCTCTCTCTCTCTCTCTCTCTCTCTCTCTCTCTCTCTCTCTCTCTCTCTCTCTCTCTCTCTCTCTCTCTCTCTCTCTCTCTCTCTCTCTCTCTCTCTCTCTCTCACCCCCCCCCCTCACTCACTTTCTCACTCCCCCGCACCTAGTGTTTCTGTTAGAGCGGATTTGTTCTTTTCTTTTCAAGATGACTGTCATGCTTTGGTTCCTGCAAGTGCTCAGCTCTGTGCACATCAGGCTGTTCTTTGCGTTACACCAATCTCAAAAAGTGGACTGTCACAATAATTATAATCGTGTTGACTAATGCTGCCGATGGACACGATCAGGTCTTTGTACTGCCCTCTCCAACTGGATGCTTTCCTGGCCGGCAGACTATTTTCGTAACGTGTAGATGTGTTGTGTGGTCATAGGGCTGCATGGTTTCTATCGCATGTGCATTAGCAACATGCCTAGCACACTCCCTTCCATATGCACATGCATGTCTATCTATCCATTATCATTTCAATTATGTGCATGTGCGCGAGTTTGTGTGTGCACGTGTGTGTGTGTGTGTGTGTGTGCATGTGTGCACGTGTGTGTGTGTGTGTGTGTGTGTGTGTGTGCGTGCGCATATGTGTGCACGTGTGTGTGTGTGTGTGTGTGTGTGTGTGTGTGTGTGTGTGTGTGTGTGTGTGTGTGCGCATATGTGTGCACGTGTGTGTGTGTGTGTGCACGTGTGTGTGTGTGTGTGTGTGTGTGTGCGCATATGTGTGCACGTGTGTGTGTGTGTGTGTGTGTGCACGTGTGTGTGTGTGTGTGTGTGTGTGTGTGTGTGTGTGTGTGTGTGTGTGTGTGTGCATGTGCACGTAAACATCTACAGTAAAACCTGCATGGTTTAAGTGACCACCCCGTGGTGCAAGCAAAAGCGGTCGTTAAAGCCAGGTGGTCTTTAGAACCAGGTCCCACAGTGTCTGTGTAGTACTGTCGGTGTATGGAGAAACGGTCGTTAAGAGCAGCTGGTCGCTAAACACAGAGGTCGCTTACACTAGGTTTTACTGTACATGGGTGCGGTGGTGAATGTGCTTGTACTACTGTAGTACACGAATGCCGGTGCGTGTGTGTAGCTTCAGCCCAGTTATGATCTCTATTAATTTGAAGATCATTATTTTTTACTGTATCCCCTATTTGCATTTTGTGCTGTTGCTCCAAAAGCAAATTCTTGCTCTTTTGCACAGTTTTAGCCACCTTCTTGTTGAATTTACTGTGATTTTTCCCTATTGCCAGTGCTTACATGTATTTGGCGAAGCTATGGGTGCCAGTTTGCAGTGGTATTCTCGAGCTGACTAGCACGGTACGATCATCCTCCAGTCCTGCATCACATGATTTTGTTTGGTATGAAGTCGATGAGTAAACTTTCTCGTGATTCGTGGCTTGCTGTTTTTGTGGCCAAGGTCTGCCCGGTGTTTGCATGATTTCGTTTTCAAGCACATTATGGATGCTGCCGAGAGCATGTATCCCACCAGAGTTCGGGACCATCGCAAAAGTTTGCAGATGCCTACAAAACGAAACACGCTGGATCTCGCCCGACGCATTTTGTTCGTTTTGCCGGTGTAGGCTTCTGCGAACTTTTACGATGGTCCCTAACTACGAGGAGTCTTGTTGCTGTGGTATTTGGGTGTGGTGTGTCCATGTCTACATGTGTGTATGCCAACGCTGCCAAGGCTCGCGATGACCTCTGAGCTAGTCTCATTCATGACACAAGCACCTCTGTATACCTGGCTTGTCTAGTAGAAGGTTGGAAGAAGGGATAGAGGCAGCACTGGCAATGTAAACACATTCCCCAACCAAACCCAGAAGAAGGGAGAGAGGCAGCACTGGCCATGCAAACACATTCACCAACGAAACCCAGAATGCAAAATCAGAAAGAGTCAACCCGGTCCTCTTTGATCTGGTTCCGTTGACAGCTGGTGGAAGTTACTTGGATTAGGTTGACTGTTAGAACACCCGGTGCAGTGAACTACATTCTCAGTTAGCCTGCTCCCTCAGCGGCTATCGTGATCTTTGTTGTGAAAAGTAAATTTGTGCGGTTTCACTGGGTTGTACAATTCTTCCCTCCCAATTGGTACTGTAAGACATGTTATTATAATTAGTCGCAAATTTAACGATTGTCCAAAAGTCATAGGTTAACGAGAAGATACGCTAACGATCTTGCGGTCTTCAGGCGTATCTACACATATCACATACTAGGCATTACAGCCTCAACGGTACTTATTACAACGAAAAAATCGTACCCGTTAAAACGTTAGATTTACTTCCTCGTTAGATTTACATGTATTACAGTACTGTTTGCCTGACTGTCCGACGGATCGTTCACGGCGGACCTGCATTCCTGTTTTTAACAAGATATCTCCCGACCAGCATCAAGAGTCTATACCGTAAAGTCTTGTATAAAAGCCGCGGCTTCTATGACTTTCTTGGTGAAATTTTGCAGGCTTCTATTATGAGACAGGCTTCTTCTATACAAGACAGGTATTTCTATGTACGTCAACACTAAAACCAGGCTTATGTGTGATTTGATGGGCCCAAAATTGCGGCTTCTATTCAAGTGCGCCTTTTACACAAGACTTTACGGTAAGTATAAGTCGGAGTATGGGATTGAGATATTTTGTCTATGCGCCATCCCAGCACCACCATTATACAGCTTCAGTGCCGCAGGCAAGGTCAAGACCACCCTTCTTTGTGGATTGAAACTCAATTTAAAACAGAACTAAAGACCAAGCACCCACAATCTTATCTAGGAATGGCTCGTGCATATTTTCTTCAGTTGGATAGACCTGCAGATCTTTTACGGGCAAAAGCAACACAATCTTAAATTTCTTGTGAATATTCTTGTGAATATTCACCCGGTATGTAAAACAAATTGTTTTCATTATGTGAGTTGCTTTCCGATCCTCCGCCATAGCAAATAATTGTGTTTCGTTCGCCCGTAAAAGAGTCTTTATAAAATAAAATAAAACACACACACACAATCATGATGAAAGAACAGATAGGGGAAAATCACTATGGAAACCTCTAAAAAATCTGTCTCACCAAGAGTATATAAAAACCAGAGTGTGCAGCTCGGATGGGTTGCTGTCATGGCGGAATTCCGTGATTACAGCATTTTAGTGATGTAGTGCGTACACGCAGGATTCAAGCAAGTCTCTTTCCGCACTACTGCAGCTCAGTTGTACGCACTATGCCATTTCCCGCCTCAGATCTGCGCCAAATATGATGTAATCACGGAATTCCACCGTGACAGACACCCATAGCAGAAAAGGCCCCCAGCTGCACACTCTGGTTTTCATGTACTCTTGGTCTCATGTAAGCAGCGAGAGTTTTTACAAGTACCGTAAAGTACCGCGAGAGGGACCCACATCGTCCTTCCGTGGTCGTGTAGTAGTTTGATTGATTTCACAATCTATTTCTTTTTGCCCGTACAGGAGGCTTTAGTAGTAACAAGAGTATGTACTCTTGGTAGTAGCCGTAGGGGAGTCCCAACAGGCATGGCCTTATTACAGGGAACCCTGGGTAAATCTTTGGGCGAGTTCCGGAAGTGGTGTTCTGTCCGTAGGTCATACGACACACACCTTGAATACACATTTCACAATGTGCAGCCAATCTGTACTCAGTTTATCTTTGAACGGATGCGAGATCCACACAAAAAGCATGCTAAGGGCGACCTTATTACCCTAAGGGCATGTTCCGATTAGTTAAATCGGGATCCAGATCCATCGGATCCCCTCAATATGTGCACGTTCGTTTCAACGAATCCGGATCCAGATCAAACGGATTTGGATCTGACCAACCCTACTCCGTGAGCAGGGTTGACCGGATCCACCGGATTCTTTTTTTGCCAAAAAACGTACTCTGTACGTGACATGTGTACAGATGGCGGGAATAAAAGTCATGATACGGAAGTCGTTGCTTTCTCTCACGGAAACCCCCAAAAATCACCAAAATTCCAGATTCGATCAAGTGCAGCGTTTGATAGGACCTTGGTGGATACAAAGGATCCACTCAATCGATCTGGATCTAACCAATCAAACATGCCCTAAGGTTCTCCAACCGCACAAACTCAGTAGGATTCTGCCATACGATTCAAGGCAAGTAAAATCAAGGTGGGGCGCTCCCGGGAGAAGCGGTGCTCACGTGGTATTTTAGGGTACAGTGATACACTAGTTGGCCAGGGCTAATATGTGGGACGCGTTCGCTGAAATTGGGTGATTCAGAAAAGAAAAATAAGTCACTTTCTACTCTATAACGACCCCGCTATAACATGAACCTCATTATACCGTACAAAGTGCAAAATAATGTCCCTGCCGAAACAGCATCACTTCCGTACAAAATTTCCTTGCTACAGTATAAACATTTATGCGTAATTTTCACTATAACACACTCTTCCGCAGTGTTCCCTTGGTCCCACGCACACAGAGACCTCGGCATAACACAAAAAGTTGTACAGGCGAGTGTCTTTCCGGTCCAAATCACTGTCTTTTCTTGAAATTTCTGCTCACGGCTGCATACCCTTGCTTCAAGCAAGCAATTCTTCCAACAGTCAACGCTACAGTTGTGTGGACTTGGTGTACAGTCAGACCTCGAATAACCGCACACATCTGTTTTCCACAAAAAATATCCGGATAGGCGAGGGAACTGGATAACCGAACGCCGTTTATGCTGGACGCATCACGTATGCTGTAAATATGTAACCAGCGATTTTCTTCCGGATGGCGAGGGATCCGGATAAAAGAGGACCGGATAAGCGAGGTCTGACTGTATTTCGAAGTAGTGTTTTGCTGTTTTCAACACATGCGGTAGACACACTACATTGTAGAACATACAGTGTACAATCATGTACACTCATGTACAGACACGCACTTCCTGAGTTACATGCGCTGAAGAACGTGGAGCCCAAGAACGACCAGCCTGAAATTCTAAGAACGCCACAGCCAAAGCTAAGAACGGCGGTGTTGGTTTTCTGTCAGCTTGTGGGATACATATGATCCAGTACGGGTTGTTTCTAAGAACGTGCTATAAGAACGCAGTCAGATAGCTGAAAAATAAGAACGTCCCAGGCTAACCCCTTGGAAACAACGTTCTTGGGCGCGCAACTCTACTGTAGTGAGTTGACCAGAGTGGTTCATGAGTGCTACAGTTGTAATCAGTAAGCAAAGAGTGTCATTTCGACTAACATGTAAATGTTGCATATTGGTGGACCCAACTCACTATAACATAAACCTCGCTAGTATAACCTGTCCCCACAGAATAACGCGGACAAAATCCTAAAATTATGCGCATAATTATGCGGGCGAAAACAGGCCATTATGCGGCAAATATTCGGGATTATGCGGCAAATATGCGGGTTAATGCGGTCATTATGCACGAGTTATCTGTCACTGGTACAACTTTAGCGTGTAGTCTCATGCAAGAATACAACTTTGTCGTACAAACTCATGAACCCATACGACTTTGTAGTATAGTACATTTTCAACAGCATGCACTATTTTCTTGTACATTCTCATGAATAACGCGGGATTTATGCGAAATCTCACGAAAACGCGGATGATAACCAATAACGCGGAAAATTCCGCGCTCGCGGAATCGCGGTATCCTGTGGGGACAGTATAACATAAAAATTGCCATACCCCGGAAATTACGTTATAGCGAGGTCTGACCTTTTTGGCATTTTGCAAGTACACCACAGTCTGTATGTTCAACACAAAGAAAAACGGGGTACGGTATTTCCCAGATTACAAGTCGTACCCCCTTTTCAGGTTTTAGCCACGTGTTTCAATAAAGTCACGTAGGTAGGATGTCACACTAGATTGTAAGTCGTACCCCCTTCTTCGCCTGAGAAGTTTAGTCACGGTAAAATGTGCGACTTATATTCGGAGGGGGGATACGGTAACTACGAGTGCTACGGCAAAAAAAGAGGATTTTTCTGTATTTTAGCCTAAATTGGCAATTGTGAGTATGGTATGTTTGGCCCCTCCCAGCTGAGTGAAACTGGCCGGCAGAGCTTGATAAAATTTTGTCTCCATACACTAGGTATCCTACGGAACGAAGTGCAATCGTTAACGTTTGCAGCCAGGTTCCAAACAAAAAAATCGGACTCTAGAAGTACAAAGTGGGAACCACCTTTATAATAGCTGGGGCTAAGGTGCACAAAATCCACTGCAGCCGCTTCACAACATGGAAAACTCTACCCAGGGTGATGGCTTTTTAAAAGATTAGAACAAAATAATATATACAAAAGAGAAAGACCAAGGAACAGTACTCGTATAGCGTAACTTGTAGTTGCTTGGTCTTTCTCTTTTGTATAAACAAGATAATTAATTAAAAATATAATTATTATGGTAGGATTTGCAGCAATTGCTGCAAAGAGCTAACCATTTGCGTTGGTGAGGGTGTAGGGTTTTCCATGCAATGGAAAACATTACCAATTCAGCGTCGCCCGTAATATGTGCACTGTACCCGACTTGCGCCCCTTGACTTGACTTCAACTTGGAAAGGCTCACTACAATGACTATGTACATCCATCAAGACGGGCATATCCGAGGCTAACACGGTCAAAAGTAATCATAAAAATACGTCTTCCTCAGGAGCAAATAGGTGCTGTCTTTGGGCTCCTGGTTTCATTGATTCGGCTGATGACATGAGTGATGGAGATCTACATCAGTCTGTCTCTTGTGAAGAAGCCACAAATACTTGTGCACATGTGGCCAGACAAAGACGAAGAGGCACAAAAAACTCACAAAAAAAGGTCTCATAATATCATGTACACAAAAAAATTCTACATGATCTGAGTCTAGTCGAGTCTATGCAGGATCGCGACGGTGGCGCATGCTCAAGCTAAAATGGCCGCGTGCATTCATGGTAGATCCACACCTGGGCTATGTACGTCCTGGATTGGACAGAACTGCAGAACTTCCAGAAGGCAGACAAAAATCGATAAGTTAGCTCAGGCGTCAAACTAGAAGAATGTTCATGAAGACAGCGGGGTTTCCTTGTTGCGCTATGTAGGCAGTCAGACTTGGCCATAAACCATGTCTGCCACAGACTGGCTGCGCTGCAAGGAGCTACTGGTGGGGAAAGAAGTTTCTCCGTCTAGAGTGGCTGTTGTGTGCGAAGAAGTCGCGAAATGGTACAAACCCGTCATTTTGAAGGTCTAAGTTTCTGCCAAATACTGATAATTTCTATTATCATTATTGTCGTTTCAGTGTTGGGATTCCAATCCCAGAAATTGTAAAAGCGGATCCTGCGTCTCATTTAGTATTGGCTCTGCTTGGCCATCACCTTGTTGAGACAGGAGGAGGTGAGAAAAATCTGTTTTCAATTGAGTTTTCATGATAAATTGTATTTGGGTATTTGCTCAATTTTATTGGCCCTAATCCCTCTAAAACCCAAATGAACAAGAAAGAAAAAGGGTGCCTCTGTTTCTTGAAAACTAGTTGTTAGTTGTCAGCCACGAACTACTAATATATAAATCATTGTGTTGCTGGTGAGTAGGGAGTACTTCGTTGGTTGGCATTGAACAGAGATCAATTTAATATTGCATACATATCTTGGTGTATAGCGTTCTCAGTACCGTGCTCAGCAAAGGATTCGCCAAGGGGTTCTCACAGTGCTGGCTGCCATCGGGGTCACCAGGCACAGGGGTAAACACTCTGATTGCGATTATGGGAATGGGTAGGCGGCAGCCGTTCCATGTTTGTGCACAGTTGGTCCTGCGCATGATGCATAGCGCCATTCACTAATTGCAAGAGTACATGGCCCCTATAGTAGGGATGTCAGCGAACGCACTGCGCAGGCCTCTGTGCATGCATTGCATCATCGATTTTTTGAACGTGATCGCGGCCGACAGAGAAAACATGGCCGCGGTCTGTTTGCACCGCTGGGAGTCGTAAAATTACTGTCCCCGCGACCATTCAAATCATACGCGATACTCGAGGACCCACGAACTCACCACGTTCTCCCCGGTCGATTTCTCTGAAAGTTTGCACATCGTGAAACACCAGTATGAGAGGTGTTCAGGCCAATTTTCAAGGAATTTCCCTGGTTGGATCGTTCCAAAATCGGACTTCCATTTCTCGTTCGCGGCCATTTCTTGCGCGATGGAAGCGCCCTGCCCTGGTGAGTAACCAGCATCGCGCTTGGTAGAGAGTTGCTGCAATCAGCTCCCTGATGTCTTCGCTGCCATTGTCAGAAGCGATGGACCATGAATTTGTTTGAGAGTCTCTGGATGCTACTATTCCTCAGCCTAGTTTTCAGCCATTCCGTGCATCTTCTTCGCACGATTTATTTTGCAAAAAAATGAAAGTGTTCATGAGTTTTCTTGTCGGCCGCGCGTAGATGGGCCAGGCCGACCTGCGTAGATGGGCTGCGCAGTGCGTTCGCTGATATCCCTACCTATAGTGTGCAACTCGACGATCCCCGATCCAGAGATCAAAGTACAAGGAACTTGTACATCACGGCTGCGGTAGTCGAAGCAGAAGAACATACGGTTGGTCCGTGTTTTCTGAACCTGATGAACTGGTACCGTATCTACAAGACAGGCATTGTAAAGCATGCATACTTGATCATACTTCTGCCAAAGAATGACGCAATAAAAGATTCTTGCAATGTCAATGACCGTAAGTGATTGGTGCAAGTGCGCGCCGTGGCTTAACATCCTTCTGCATTTTCAACTCTTCAAAGGAGTTTTGGGAAAGATAACTAGTAATAACCCTTTTGAGTTCGTACATACAAAAATCCACCACTGGTGGTCGATGGACATGCATGCACTAAAATGTTCGTATCGGACTCAAATCTTTAGGGAATTCCGCAATCGAAGAACCTAGAAAGAAGCCAAAGAGCTCAGCGTTCCATTGCAACAATTGCTGAAGCTCTCCGACTTAGCATTCCTGAGATATCGCGCTCGACATATCAGTCACGGCAAATGCGTGATTTTTCTCGCATTGACCGATTTTGAGTGGGGGATTTCCCCTTGACTGGCATGCTGATTCATCCCAGCATGCTTGGACCGCTTGGGCAGCACAATAAAAGAGCCAGTCGAAAAAAATTCGAACGGCTTACGATGAGGGACACTGAAATGGCTGGCGGAGGGGGAATTGCTCGTGTATCCAGCTCTGGGACTGGGTTGTGGCGCCGTAGCGTTGGATATGTGGTATCTGCAATGCTCAGTTGGGGCTTATTCTACTCTACTCACGGAGAGCTTTCCAGAATGCCCAAGATTGTGTAAATCGGATAACTAAAACTAAAGTTATGCCAGAAATAAGGTACGAAATATTGCATAATCTGAATTTAGGTGATTATGGGCGGACTCTAAAGGGTTAAAGCAATGAACAGAGATTTAACACAGGTACATCCTTGATTTAGGAGATAAAAAGCTCAGCAACGTTTCCGTACTCGGGCAGCTATGAAAGCTTTTGGAACTTAAAAAAAAAAATTAGTGGAATGAAGCAAAGGCAGTCGAACTATTCCAATATGTTCAGCCGTAGAAAGCTGCGTTATGTAGTTTAGTGCCACTTAACTCAGGACCATGGTTTCGTACAGGTGTGCTTGTGGCTAAGGTCACGTATTTCCAGGACAAACTCCATGCCGCCCTTGCTCGGCCCATGCTGGAAATGGCTTGTTTGGGTGACCGTACAATCCTAAATTGAATGTGGGACACCCGGTAATACGTTTGCTCGCTTAACCCCAAATATAACAAAAAAGATTGCAGGGCAGAGAATTGTCTAGCCAGGAAGTCCTTACATGCATGTACACTCAACTTCGCTACTAACGGCTGCGGATATAACGACAATTCGCGAATAACGACAGAATTTCCATGCCCAGAGCAAAGTCCATTCTACCTGTATGCATATAATGAGACTTCGGGTATACCGACACTTTGCGAATAAGGACACTTTTCTGATGCCCGGCCGAGTGTCGTTATACGCAAAGTTGACTGTACAGCTGAAACCTGTCAATCTGCCTCCGAGCTAGTGGATCGGCAAAGTAAATTGTTTGACTGCGTCTAGATACGTTGTGTGCCAAATACTTCGACTGTGCCAAGAATTGGAACTGATGTAGCAGCGCAGTCTCACCGAGGACTGAGCTCGGCTTTTTGGAGTGAACTAGAGAAAAGGCACTTCTTTATTTTTAGATCTTTTTCGTGTTTTTTTTTGCAGATTTGGAGAATGCCCAATACGCAGTGGCTGCAGCTGAGATTGTGTTGGGAGTTCTGCTGTCTCAGATAGTTGCCGACACCAGAGACCAGTTGACCAAGGTATATTTGAATTGGTTCTGTATAATGGTCTTGGATGTGCTGCAGTCACCATCTGTCTGTTTTTGGTCATCCAAACGATTCCCAGCCTGCAGGCATATCCAACTCTGGCGTATAGGATGGGCGTATGGGCCAGTGGGCAGTGTTATGCCTTTGCACGACAGGTTTCAGTTTTATTCAGAAACCCGTGTTTGAATTTGTTTTCTTGTCTCTTAGGCTGCAACCACACTACGTACAAAATCAAGTACACGTTTGCGTTTCGCGTTTCGATAACGCAACATTGCAACCACACTGCTATTTCATGCGCACGATCCTTGCGTTTTGTCCACGTTTCTGGGCCTCCGAAAATATCGTGCTGTGAAAATTTATGTCCAAGTAGTTTGAAAAAGAGTCGAAGCGCACGAAGTTTGAATTTTATTCCCGTAGCTATGCAGAAGACGTTACTTCAGTAACGTCTGGCGCTAGCCAGGGTCCGCACAGCTTTAATTTGGTGTTTGTTTGTGTGTTTGTTTGTTTGTGTCACGCCTGGCGCTATCCCGTATCTGTCCCGTACTGTACCGTACCAGCAAAGACAGCTGGCCACAATATTTTTGTTTGTTTGTGCCATCGACATGTCTGGCGCTATCCCGTACCTGTCCCGTACCATCAAGAGTACGGTACCATGAAGGGAATGAGTATATATGCGAAGTGTATCGGGGGAATGCATTCAGTGCAGTAACATTTTGTGTGGATTTGTGTGCGAGGCCGAGATCCCACTAGCAGGCTGGCTGGGCCGCCTGTCGACCAGCCCGGGAATCGCATGTACGCCGATACCATAATAATTATAACGTATATACAGTCATGTAGATGTATAGCAGGGAGTCATAATATTTAAACGACTCCCTGCTGTATGGGGAGATTTTCTGGAAAAAAATACGAAGTAGGGAGACGAGTAAATGCAATCAGAATGGATGTTAGTTGCCGTCAGTATAGTAATGATAAGAAGAAGAACGCCCGTGATCGGCAGAGTCAGCGCCGGTCCCAGGAAACGTCAGGACAGACATCCCGTCCACTTCAGAACGCCCGTGATCGGCAGGGTCAGCTATGCAGAAGGCGTTACTTCAGTATCTCATTGAAACGTTTTTGCAATACAATGATGTAGCTAATCAAAGGAAAAAGCATTTTCATCAGTTCTAACAACATGCACGATGAGCTAGGCAACAAGCATAGCGCAGGGCCCTGAGCTTCAAAGCTCTCTCGTTTGAAATTTGTTTTTGAGGAAAGTGGATGTTCGGATGGTTTCAAGGTTTGTTGATCATTTGGACATCAAGTGGAGACCATGGAAGGACGACTTTCTCGTAGGAGACTTGCCGCTCTCTGGTCGTTCCAGGTGATGTCTCAGGTCTTGACTCTTCAAGCTGAAACGATGGATAGCGTTGTCCGAACTTTGTTGCTGTCTGATGATGATGTATCACTGTCCTCGGAGTGTATGCTGATTTCGTTCCTGCTGTTGACTGGCAAAATGAAATACCGCCTGTGTCGCCTTCTTTGGACAGCCCATCCTGAAAATGAAATTGGTCATTGCGCAGGATTTTGGGAGAGAGAAGTGTTGAATACCTGGGAAGTCACGAAGAGAACATCTCTCAGGTGGTGGAGAAAAGCGTGGAGAGACAACTTCAGAATGAGCCAGGCAACGTTCTGTTTCCTAGTGCGTCGATATGGCCATCTCATGAGACGCCAGTCGACTCACCACCTGCGACGGACAATCTCTGTGCCCAAGAGACTGGCAGTAGCCCTATACTACCTCTGTCAGGGAGAAACATTTCAAGAAGTAGCTGCACAGTTCCACATTGGACCATCCACAGTTGGTGTAATTGTCCATGAAACTGTTGGTGCATTGTATGCTCCACTGGCAAGGGATGTCATTCGATTCCCGGTTGGACGCGAGTTGCACAAGGCAATGCGGAAATTTGAACAGTTGAGCGGTCTACCTCAGTGTGCTGGCGCTGTTGACGGAACCTTTTTGCGGATAGTAAAACCGAACGAATTTGGGGACGTATTTTGGTGTTATAAGGGGTACCCTGCTGTGATGGTACTGGCGTGTGTCGATAGTGACGGCTTGTTCACGTTCGTTGACATCGGCTTGCCTGGAAGCTCTGGTGATGCAGCCGCATACAATAACTCTCAGCTCAAGCATAACATTGACCAGGGAAGATGGCTGAACGCAGCAGCCTGGCAATGCCACAATGCAACGGTCAGGCCCTATCTAGTTGGTGATAGCGCTTTCGGCTTGTCACCAACAATGATGAAGATCTACCCTGACGATGGCAATCTTACTCCTGTTCAGTCGAGCTTCAACGCAGCACAAATTCGGACAAGACGCGTTGTAGAGTGTGCCTTTGGCCGACTCAAGAAGCGGTTTGCAGTCGTCCCCTTTTGCCACATCAATGACCCCAGGTTTTCAAGTCAAATTGGCGTTCTCTGCTGCGCTCTGCACAATGTCATCGAAAGGAGGAAGCAGGGCCACCTTCCACGCGTCGCTAATTATGCGCCATTGCCTAATGTGCCGACGCCTTCATCGCCCGCAGTCATGGTACGAGACAACCTTACGGCATTCGCACATAGCTTGTGAGTGTCTTATGCTTTCATCACTGCTGCGGGTAGTCTGTTGACTTTATGCCGCGGTGTGAGTTTTGCGTTCAAAGAGAAGTTTTATTCTTATAGTGCGTGTCGGTGCTGTACAGAGACTGTCAGCATTTTCAGATTTTATGGAAAACAAAATGCAATGTATAAATAGTACAATCATTATACTCTACTTCACATGTGCATCTTGTTTTATTTCCGCTCGTCTACTTGTCCATGCACCTAGAGTAGTTGACTTTCACCTTGAAATATTTTGCAATTGTCTCAGTCACTACAATACTTATAATAATTGTTCTTGTTGGTGGAAATTATGAGAACATAGATTTCAGCAGCGAAAAACAGTCCTTGTGTTGTGCGTGCTCCAGATGGAAACACACCTCTAGGAACTTCATCATGGCACATCAGCATGCTACAAAACAGCCTATCTCTCCCCCGCCCCGAGAATTCCGAGTCAGAAGGCGAATATCAGAACTTCTTTGCAGAATTCCGCTGCTGAAAACAGAGAATTCACAAGTAATTTTGGTAAATTTACAAAGAAAAATAAGCATAAAAACAAATATAAGTAGAATCTCAACAACCTGATCAAACTTGTGACCCTTGCGTTTGTCCGACATCAAAATATTTCACTCCGCAGCCTCAGGCTACGACTAAGGTCTATTTATATTGAACAAGGAAAGACAAAGATGAACTACCAGGTTGTGTATGTTAACAGTGCGGATTTATTATAGGGTTACAAGTGATCCATGAACAGACGACCGGGGCCGCGGGTACAACAACCAACCCATCAGACGTGTAAAGTAAGTAGAGACTGCTATCCATTCACGGGTGTACCGGGACCACCTAAAAAGGTTGCCTATGATCTAAACCAAAAGTATTGAGATGCTATGCCCAAATACGAAAGGAAGAATGAAAACACGGGGAGAGTACAGAACTATCAGCAATCGTCCACGGAAAAGGTGTCCCAACTAGTGTCAGAGCTTCGAGAGGAGGCAGCTGAAGCAGAACTCGCTACTTGCTGGTTGCTGGCCACCACTGCTGTCGTCATCATGGTCGTGTTGTTCATGACGGGCGTGTTGGTCATGACGGGCGGGTTGGTCATGACGGGCGGGTTGGTCATGACGGGCGTGTTGGTCATGACGGGCGTGTTGGTCATGACGGGCGTGTTGGTCATGACGGGCATGTTGGTCATGACGGGCGGGTTGGTCATGACGGACGTGTTGGTCATGACGGGCGTGTTACTCATGACGGGCGTGTTGTTCATCATCGGGTTGAGGCTGGCTAGTCCTGGTGATGAAGGGGGCTGCGCAAACAACTCTCTCAAAAACAGCATCTGGGTCTGCATGAGGTTTGTGGAGTGAGTCTGCTGCTGCATCATCAATCCACTGAGGAATGTCTGCGTGCTCTGTTGCTGCTCCCTATGAATGTTGCCAATGCCAGCAAACAAAGTGTCAGCAACAGCTACAGGACTGGATTGGTCTCCGGCGGTGTGCATCTTCTTCTTACGCTTGCTCTTGGCCTGCCCAGCAGTAGCCTGCGGAGGATCTACATGAGCAGCAGCAGCAGCAGAATCATTGTCCTCGCTGTCGTTCTCGTCACCTGCATGCTCCAATGCTGGTGCTGCAACATGCGATGATGGCCGCTTGCTCCGCCGAGCATGCGTTCCCGGTGTGTAGGTCACAGGAGTACTGTCGACAGATACCGTTCCTGCGGTGGATGGTGTCGCAGGACATAGTGGCGAGCTTGAGTGACAGCTAGAAGAATAGCATCAAGATTGTCATCGTCAGAGTCATCAGCTCTCAGTGGGGGCCGGGTCACTGTTGACGAGCTGGCAGTATTTGAGCCAGGTGTGCTGGACCTGGGTGGTGAGGAAGACGACATCCTAGGCATGGCAGCGCTGCTACTGTGTGTTGTCCCAGGATCCGAGTTGGAAGCAGCCTGGAGAGAGGCTGTGTTGATCGAAACAAGTGGACCATATCCAGGCATCTGCCCGAACAGGGAATGCCACGTCCGGAAATTTCCCCAGCAAACATAGGCCATCTCCAGGTCGTAGGCATCGTCACTGCCCGGATCTGGGGCAGCGGAACCAGTCTCCTGCGACTTCTTATATTTCTTGTAGAATTCGCGTGCCTTGGATTTCAAATTGTCGACTTTGTTGTGTACGTTTTTTGGTAAAAAGACATACACACCCTCTCTGTAGAGGTCCCTAGCATACACATTCAAGGCCTCCGTCATCTCCTTCTCCCTGATTCTCCGTTTCGTCATCTGGCCCTGTTTTGTCTTCTGGTAGGCTGCCCAGAGCTCCATGAGTTTCTTTTCTAGATCGTCAGTGAAATAGTTGCGTGGCATCTCGGAAGCAACAGCAGGCAACAGGAGTGTCCGGAAATTATACTGAAAGCACTGGCAGATGCAATCTCGAACACTACAAACGGAAAAGGAACTGACAAGGAAGCCGTCTACTACCGACACAGACTCAGTGCAACCCTCAACAAGAAACATCTACCCGAAACGCAAGGAAAAGGCGAAAAGTTGCTTTCTATAGGGGTACCAGGATTGCTGAAAAGAAACGCAGCACGTTTTGCGTTTCGCGCGCGTCTCCTTGACGACATAAGCAGAAAAGTTGCGTTTACGCAGTTTTGTACCTAGTGTGGTTGCAGCCTTAGGGTTCGTACATATCGAACTTTTGTTGCCAAACGAATTATTTTAGTTTAGACCCCCTCCCTCCCCCTCAGAACGTAAACATGTTGACATGACATATCTGTACATGCATACAACAAAAGTCGAAAGTGTGTCACTGCTCCTATGGCCATGTATATGTATCAATGTTTTCTGAAACGAAATTAGTCAACCCCCTCCCACCCCATAACAAAAGTATTTCGTATTGTGAAAAAGTTCGATAATTATGGTCGAACCCTTAGGGGCCGTAAATATCGAACGTTTTTCACCAAACGAATTATTTTAGTTTAGACACAACCCCTCCCTCCCCCCCCCCCCTCCGAACGTAAAAAATGTTGACATACATGCATATACAACGGCCATGTACATGAATCAATGTTTTCTGAAACGAAATTGGTCAACCCCCTCCCACCTCATAACGAAATTATTTCGTTTTGTGAAAAAAGTTCGATATTTATGGACGACCCCTTATCTGGTGTCACTTTCTGCTGACAGCACCAGCTTGTTCGCATTATCGCTGGCCTTTGTGCGGGACACGAAAATGGAGATCCATGCTTGCCGCCAGGCGAGCTCATGGCTGTCAACGCAGTGCTGCACCTGTCCGGTGGAGCCAAACGTGTCTCGCCATCAGATGTGCCCTACTCCCAACTGAAAGCACGTAAAACTAGTGCCAGTGCAGCAGATGACAGCACTTCTGACACGAAGACTGATGAGGAAGATGATGGCAGCTTTGATGACGATGAAGAAGATGACGAGGAAGAGGATGACAGCAGCTCGGCTGAGGATGTGTCAAAAGAAGTCAGCAGCGAGGGCAAGAAGCCTGCAGAATCTAGAGATGGTAAGGGTACATTAGAGAGAGAGAAAGAGAGTGTGTGTGTGTGGGTGTGTGTGTGTGTGTGTGTGTGTGTGTGTGTGTGTGTGTGTGTGTGTGTATATGTGTGTCGTGCGTGCATTTAAGTGAACATGCAACTCCTTGTGTTATTAGTATTGCTATCTTGGCCAATGCATTTACTTGATCTTTGGTCATGAGCAGTGCGTTGAAACTCAGTCATCATTCTGAATCTGGATGTCAGTTTGGGCATGCAGATGGCTTTCACTGCATCACAATTACCTTGGCGTATGGTGCATGTCTTTGCCAGTCCGAGAGCATTGTGTTGCAGTGGCGCAGAGTTACTAGTACACCCTCTCACCGACGTAAGGGTGTTGGCCTGCTTACTGTTGGGTATACTGCAGGGTTGCATACTTCAGTGGCATGGGTTAGATGCAGCTGTTTTTGTTTTGTTTTGTATTTCAACTGGTATAGGTGTAGTTTAACCACCCTTTCGCTCTGCGCTGTACAATTTCGACAGTATTCTATTCAGTATCCGAAAGTTGACACAATTTAAACGAAAATTATTTTCTAAATACCGGAAAGTACAGCCAGAGCGCCCAACCAATCGTCCTTTCATGGTCGCTCTGGGGAGGCAGGGGTGGCCGCGAGTGTGTGAGGTGGTCTGTACTGGGGTCATACACACACCTACGCAGCGACTGTCGCAGTGAAGCAACAGCGGCTTGGTGAGGGTCAAGTCCATGTTGTTCATGCTGGCTGCAGCGCTGGGTACTGCAGTTCACATGGCTCATCGTACAAGTAAAATGCAACACAACCCCAATGTTGCAAAAACAGAGTGAACCCCGTACGACTTCAGTCGCACCAGACCATACAATGTTCACTTCTATGGCCGGAAGCAGGAGTCCTCTTTCCGTAATTCAGGATGGGGCGCTCTGGCGATACTTTACGGTTATGGACGTCCGTGGCCTGCATTGTTTATAGTTCTCCTGTTTTGAAGTCTCCTGTTTTGATTTGTATACCACTGGCATGCTTCTTTCTGAATTGTTCTGCAGCATCTGCATCGCCCGTGGAAAAGGTGAGTTCCGATGACAATCTCGACCATCGAACAATGTCGGATTTGGCAGCGTTCCTTCTTGATAACACTGGGGTGGATAAACCTGAAAGTCCTTCTGTGGACTACCCTCCACCTCTACCGGCCAAGCCGTTTGACTTACGTGCTGAATGCGTCAATGTGCTGCGCAAGTTGAATGGAGTGCCACAGCTTTTGGAGACAGCGCTGGCGTCTGCAAGTTTGGCGAAGTGCATTTCTGCTCCTCACGACCTCTCGCCAACTCTGTGAGTTATTCATTGGTGTTAGCTCAATGGTTGTCAAGTCTGGCCTGAGCCTAGGCAGCACCGCGGCATTATTACACTGTGTGATTGGCTTTTTTTTTTTTGCTTTCGCTTTGCAGTGTGGCGTGTCAGGTCAGTTTGACAATGCACACCTATTGTGCTCTCGAAGCCCCAGTCTTTGACTCGTTTTCCCTCGTATTGCTTCTGTCCTGGTTTCCTTTGCAGTATTTCTTCCAGTGTCTCGGATGCTCTTTTCTTGCAAACTGGCCTCACCCTGGCTGGTCTTGTGCCACTCACTGATGCGAGCGGCAAGTTGTTAAAGGGCTGCGCTGACTTTGTGCTCCGCTGTTTCGACTCTCTCGTGGCCCATCAGCACGCACTGCACTGCAAATCTTCTAGTGACGCAGCAGAGGAGGGCGACCGTCCCCCGAGTACCTTTGACGGCAGCAAACTCGCCCGTCTGCTCGGCCACTTGGTATGTGTGCACCTGTTTGTTATTCGTGATTCATTCCGTCCATGGAGGTTACTCAGCCTAGTTCGTCACCTTTGCGTGTACTGAGTCTTCTTTCAAAACCAAACGTTGCCACAATGCCGTGTTGGCTCAATGGCCTGTGTGGTGAATTATTTCTGCAATGCACCGTAAAAGAAAAATGAATTGGAACCATATACGGTTTTGCCTTGTTTAAAAACCTGATTCGGATACTCTAGCGCATGCCCGATTTTCAAGGTGGGCCTTTGGCCCTGAGCTTTTTTCTTTGACATTGACATGGAACTACTAGGTTTAAATGTGAGCGTGATTTGAAAGAAAATGCACGCCCTCACATCAGGGTATACAAGAATCCACCCAACTTCTATTTTATTTGCAGTTGTACGGTTTGTGTGCATTCCATCTTCATGCTACTGGTTGCATTATTTATGTATTTTTTTTAACTGTGTGTCCTATCTGGTCGTAGAATCAAGTGTTCAAGACTCTTAGTTCTTCCCTGGAAAAGCGGAGCAAAGACATGCCCTCTGGTCAAGACGTAAGTTACAAGTAACGTAGTGACATGTGCCATTGTCCATCCCGTGGCGTTCGGACGGCACACTGCTTTCCGGTTTGACGTTTTTTGTGCACTGCGCTGTTTCATGTTCCTGCTGTCGTCGTTGGTCACCGCCTTCCGCCCTTCTCTTGCAAGCCTGTAATCCCATGTTTCTGCTATGCAGATCTGAGATGTATGGGGGGGGGGGGGGGGGTCTACACAGTGTGTTGCTTTCACTGCGTACAGGAAATAATAATCACGTAGCATTGTTGTGCATGTTGACAAGTTTTGACTGCGGTTTCATGCAGGCACACACACACACCTCTGGTGTTCTAGAGTGAAAAAGGCACTGCACATATGCTAAGCATTACTCATGTAGCTTTTCAAAGGCTCCAAGAAAACTTGCTAGGATATTCGGATATCGTAATCGAGAGTGATGCAAGATGCCAAGCTAATTCTGTGTTTTGTGGCGAGGTGATATGGGCAGTGTACTACATCAGACACCAATGGTAGTCGCGCACTTGGGGGGGGGGGGGGACATAGTGAGTGAACAACAAGTGGAATGTCTGGGAAGGAAATAGTGAGTTAGCTGGACATTTGCTTGCTTGTGTGTTTGCCCATGTTCTTGTGCAGTTGAACCTGCAGCTGTCCATTCAACTAGCATGTGGTCTAGTATCCACTGCCAGCCATGTGGCTATCTGCAAGCACGCAGTTGAAGATCCTTTCAGGTACAGTGAAGCTCATAATATGATTAGACCATCTGTCTCCAGGGACCCGGTCATGGAGGGTGTAACACCATGTCGCAGTGTTCATTTTCATGCGTAGAGAAAAGTAATTATCTCTTGAAAACCCTGCACACCATGAGGTGGTCTCTGAACAACATTGGCAATGAAATGCCTGACCGTGACCATGGTTTGGTGCAGACATAGTGACTTTCATGCGACATCCGAATGGGCGGCCTTGATTCTCTCCGAAGCATGTCAATTCCTGTCTGTGACATCTACGGCGGCTGGGGCCAACGCTTTGGGAAAGGAAACTTACCTTGAGTGGGACTCTTCTTATTGCTGTTAGTGCTCCATCTAAACTACACAGCCTATGTCCTCTTATGACATCGCTTTGTTTGGGTATCATTGGCTACTTCTGTTGGAATTTGGCAGAGATGCTACCGTATTTTTCGGAGTATAGTGCGCACCTTTGTATAACGCGCACCCCCAATCTTCATTGGGGGTGCGCACTTCAATCTTCATTGAGGTATATGCATTTCATATTCAGAGCATAGTGCGCACCTGCGATTTAGGGCCTAAAATAGCACATCTAAAGTGCGCACTATACTCCGGAAAATACGGTAATATTTTAAATTATGTTTGGGACAAAATTGGCCCATCCATCATTGAATAAGCTACTGATATATCTGTTTGTGTTTTGTGCCAACTAGTTCTTGAAGCAGTAGCTTGCTTGTACTGCGGAGCTTACATTGGTGTGTGTGTGTGTGTGTGTGTGTGTGTGTGTGTGTGTGTGCGCGTGCGTGCGTGCGTGTGTGTGGATGTGAACGTGGGTGTGCTCTACGTGCAGGTGTGTGGCAGCATGCAAATTTGCAATCAATGTGGCAGACACACAGATCAAGGTCATTACGAACTCTTGGAACAAATGGATCAACAGCACCATGTTGAAACTTGCTGTAAGTTGTTTGCGCTGGTATTTTCCACGTTAGTGCCCCTGAAGTCCCATGCTTTCATGAAGCGAAACAGGAGTTACACAACTTACTTGTGCTTTCAGCAGTTGATAATGTACTATTATCGCATCCCACGTGAGTGTCTCCATGGTGTGAGCCAATCAGCGGCCTTACTGAGCGTGCAATATTCCCCAGTACACCGCCAGCCAATGCGGATGCACTGCAGTGCGATATTGCACCCCGGCGAGTGAGCGTGCAAATAACCTATATTTGCACGCTCACTTCGAAGCGAGCGTGCAAATATAGGTTATTTGCACGCTCGCTTCGAAGTGAGCGTGCAGATATAGGTTATTTGCACGCTCACTCGCCGGGCCGCGGGGTGCAATATCGCACTGCAGTGCATCCACATAGTCATCTGGCGGTGTACTGGGGAATATTGCGAGTCGCTCCGCCAAGCAGTCGCTGCCGACTTGCTGCAGCACACCAAAATAATAATTGGTCGAGGACGCTGTCGCGGAAGCGAATGTGGACCCGGCTTGCGTCCGCCAAGTCAACTTCACAAGCTCCGTGAGAGTCGAGAAAGCAGACGCCCAAGAGAAGACTGTCGACCGCCGATTTGAGAAACTGTCCGACGCCGCCATCGACAGCCTCGTTTCTGAGCAGAAAAACAAAAACACAGAGCAGGCAACTGACAAATGGCTCCGCTTATTCGACGAGTATTGTAAAGACACAGGACGTCGCTGTGACCTGAGTACGGTTACGGCAAGCGACCTAGCTTACATTCTGCGACATGCATACGTCGAATTGCGTCCGAAGAAAGCTGGAGTGAAGTTCTACTCTGCATCAAGCTTGCTCGGTTTCCGTTCCGCAATACATCGCAAGCTAGTCGAGTTGAAGCGGCCCATGAACGTCCACAGTGACCCAGCGTTCAAGGACGCAAACATTGCATTGAATGCTTTCCTCATGAAGCCAAAGAAAGCGGGAGAAGTCAAAGCGGTGGAGCACAAACACCCCATCAACGACGACGACATGAGCAAGCTGTCCCGCTACTTCCAGGATCTCCCGTGTATACAGCAGCTGCTCGAAAGAAGTGTTCCTCTAAAAATGAACGCGACTGGTTGTGCTGTGTTGTATGGTGACTGTGAAAATGATAGCAGGGTTGCATGCAGCATGCTAGGGTTGCACCAGACTGTGTCAAGTGTGTGGTGACAGACTGTGTGGTGGCAGGGGTGCGATAAATGTATTACTGCACTCGGACGCGTGCAATACCGGCGTCGATATCTGCACTTACGGCTTCGCCGTTCGTGCAGATATCGGCCGGTATTGCACTGGTCCTTGTGCAGTAATACATACGTATCGTAGGCACACTTAGTGCTGAATAAGCCCATTGCACATTGCCAAATATGGAATGCATGCATAATTCATAATGAGTGTGCTGAGATCAGGATTGCACTGTTCAACAGCCACACATCCAACCCCAGGTGGGATTGTGTGGTGCGTCTTGGCTTTAAACTTATTAGTGCCGTTGCATCTGGCATGCTTCTATGCTGGTCATCTTTTCCCCTCTGCAGCTGTCTGGTGAGTCTGATGGCAACTCCAGCTCGGAGAGAGTGAATGCCGGTGTTGCAGCACTCATCGAGGGCAGGCTATTGCACAGCCTGGTCTCTGTGATCACCGTCAACTGCTTGAAGGCTACACGCATTACCAGCTTACTGATCACAGCCAGTGGACCACCAACAGCAAGCTTTGGTCGGCCACGCTCATCGGCCCTGCTTCGGCGTAGCAAAAGTGTTGGTGACAGTGGAAGTAAGGCCCGCAGCGAGGGCATTGCTTCTTTCTTCAAAACGGTCTCCCCTCCTCTTCCCGCGCGTGCTGCTGCTGCTGCACCTGACATGACCTCGTCGTCTGATGATGGTGAGCGTGCTAGTGTTCTGTTACTCTCTGTGGTGTGGATTGGGTATCCACGAGTGCATTTCAATAATACAAACACACTCTTAGCTTACATTCACTCAGATTTGATTGTACCAACTCCATCACCCTTGGAAGCAGCTCGTGCAGCTCAGCATGTGTATGTAACAGCTAGTACTCCACATAATACAGGTGTACAGTATTGCAAGGGGACTTTGCTTATCAGCTCCAAGCCAAACGTTTTTCAGAATAGGTAGTAAAACTTGGATGTCACGACTTGACGAAAAATTTCCCGTAGACTAGAAGACCTTTTCTAAATTCCAAAAATCGAAATGTACAATAAAAGTGTCTTGATCCTGGAGTGTCATCGATAGGCGAATCTGGGGTGTGGTCCGAGCAACGCTGGCCTAATCGAACAAAGCAAGGGTGTAGTACACAAAATGTACGCATATCGTACAAAGATTCTGTGATAGCTTAAAAAAACGCCCATTTCCATTCCAGCCACACCTGGTGTGGGGGCCGGTGTGGTCGAATTGCACTCCAAGTCCAAGCACGCCTACTTCGGATTCGGCCAAATGATCACGCTCACTCGAAGCGCACTTGCTCGGGATTCGCCCAATCGATCATGCCGCTGGTTACTGTGTGTTGTGCCAGTGTTAGCTGATTTAAGTAATGCGAGCTCTTTAGTTCAGCTTGGTGGCTTACTTGTGGTCTTGTCTTCTGTAGAAGAGAAGCTGTTCCTGGATGAGCTTATGATGACGATGCCGGATGAAGACCTGCCGAGTTCTGCGAAAGAGAGTATTCCACCTGTGCAGACTGCCAAAGACGTTGTCACAGAGGTGAGTGCTGCCCCCAATGTTATCACCAGCATTTCCCAGGCCACCATAGTCAAACTGCTCGCCTTTGGGCCACCCCTGTTATTGCAATGCCCTCCGCGCTGCATTGGCCTCTTACGTGCATCAGGGAATAATGTGACGGGGATAAAGCCTGACAGAGCCTGAAAGTCAGCATTGCAGGGTATGTGTGCTGAGCGCTATTTGTTGGGTTTAGTTTTTTTTCCCTCAAACCACTCAGGCCAGTGAATCTTTTTAATAGCAATAATTATACTGTGGGCAGCACTCTTTTCACCTGGCCAGCCCCCTATGGGTTGTGTTCTGGAGGTGGGCGGGAGACCCCTTGTGGGTTGTGTTAGACCCCCTATGGTTTTTGTTTTGGAGGTGGGCGGGAGACCCCTTGTGGGTTGTGTTAGGCTGTGTTTACATGACAACTCACGGCCAGTTTTTCGTTTTCAGTCCCACATTTCTTTTTTTCGTTTACACGATCAAAGCTGATCCGAGGTGATCTCCGTTTGTATCGTTTTCGCACGTCTACACGGGAGCAAAGGATCCGCAAAAGTTCGTCATGTGCCAAGTGTTGTCGTGGAAGCACCAATCACACTCAAGTAATACTCTAATTTCAGAAATTTTCGGTGCTGAATATTTTCGGTATGGGGGCAAAAGGCCAAGTTAGGTGAACAGAAATTTTCGGTACAGAGAAGCAGTTCCCTATTGGATTATGTGTGTTAGTGTTTGTTCAGTGTATTGAAATTTTAGGTATGAAACAGATGCACCGAAAGAACGGAAAATAAAAGTACACCGAAAATTTGTGAAATTACAGTAGTTGAAAACAGGCCACAAAACAACACTCGTCACATGACGAAAATTGTAAAAACAATTTTTTGGATTGTCGGATCCGTGTGAACGGCCGAAAACGAAACAAACGTGACGGAAAACGAGGTCAGCATACAGTTTCGACTGTTTACACACCCAGATTTATCCGGCAGAACATTTTCCATTTTTTTAATAATCAATGTCGAGGCTTGCATCAGATGGGGCTCTCTAGGCGGTACTTTATGGTTGTGGCCTTTGCTTCCAGCCTGTAGTTCAACACACATGGTTCAAACATACATGTACTCCTGTTTTACCTCCGGTGATTTGGGACAGTCTTGTGATAAATAAATTTGCCGGTGGGGGATTTGGTCTTCGAGGGAGACATTTGCAAATTGTGAACCTTGTTCTGTTTCTGGCCCTACAGGTGTTGGACGTCGCTGGTCAAGGCTTGTCCTTGTTACGTACAATTCTGATGTGCAACAATGCCAGCGTAACGGCGGCTATCAAGTAAGTGGGGATGGTGCAAGGTAGGGAGTTGTACTGCAGTCCTGATTTCGTCTTTGGCCTTCGTGCCGTGGGTGTTCTTCGATCTGTCGTGACGGGAGCATGCGTTGTCACGCACCATTCTCATGAAGGGTTTGACTAGGGTCTCTGAACAAACATTGGAAATGAAATGCCTGACCGTGACCAGGGTTTGGTGCAGAAATAGTGACTTTCATGTGACATCAAAATGGCCCAACTCTTGGGAGATGGGCGGCCTTGATTCTCTCCAAAGCATGTCAATTCCTGTCTGTGACATCTACGATGGCTGGGGCCAACGCTTTGGGAAAGGAAACTTACCTTGAGTGGGACTCTTTTATTGCTGTTAGTGCTCCATCTAAACTACACAGCCTATGTCCTCTCATGACATCGCTTTTTTGGGTATCATTGGCTACTTCTGTTCGAAATGGGTAGAGGTGCTAATATTTTAATCCTTTATTGTGCCCTTCCTTGTCCTGGTTTCTTCATGACTGCAGGCAGAATTTGGCAGCCTGGCAGGTGTTGTCTCTTGGAGAATTGCTGAGCGAAATGGAGATCATTGGAATGCTGTCTGGAAAAGGTACCGCGCCCAGTGTGCTTGTCTGGATGCATGTGCGTGCACTTGAATAAACGTGTTGGCTGAGCATGTCCCTTCTGACATTTTAGCCCTTGATGTGTTGGTGTTGGTTCCGACAGCCCTTGATTGAGTATTGAATGCTTGTGTGCATCTGTGTGTGCTTTCTTTTCTCTTTCACTGGTTGATAGAGGTCACAATTGTCCACGAGCACCTGCTGCCACAGTTCTCTTCATTTGTCTCTCGCCTGCTTGGAATCACCCAGGCATTGCTGCGACAACAACATTTGGCTGAGAATCAACAGGTTGGTGAGAAAATCACCTGTCTGCACCAACATCACAGTCCATCTCTAGATCTCTCCATCTGTCTTATCACTCTATCTCTCTACTGTTGTGCTAGGTAAATATCTGACCCACCGTACAAAGCTGGCACCCTGGACCAGTTCCTATTACATCACTGTATTTTTTTATAATGCATATGCCCATCCAACAGCATTCATACCATTGCAATGCACACTCGTAGACGGTCATATTGGCAGCTCTCATTGTGTTTGTGACTTTGTGAATGTACAATGATGTTCTTCAAGTATGCGTTTGTATATCGGCTCATTTGTCATCTGCTTTGGATTTCTTCAGGTTGCTCTGTTGGCATCGCTTGGGTTTTCTTTGCTGGAGAATGGCTCGTGGGCATTACGCTGCAGTACTCAACGTGTGTCCGTCATGGCCCATGTGTTGGTATTTGACCAAGAGCGTGGAGGCACTCTAGCCAACAGAGCATTGCACAGGTTAGTTTGCATGCATGTGCTCCGTTTTGTCAGTTCTCTCTGACCGTCTGTCTATCTTCATGTTTGGATAGTAGTATAAGTTGACTTACATGGTAGTGTGTTGTATCTATTGTTTTTTTAAATGTCTTGGACGCTTTACTGTACCATCCACATGAAGGGTTGTGCCGTCTACCACTTTAAAATCAATCCTTGCATAGATTTGTGGAGGCGTTGTCGAGGGAGCTGTCTGATAGCTCACCAGCACCACTGGGAGCTACAGGTGAGTCTCTCTCTCTCTCTCTCTCTCTCTCTCTCTCTCTCTCTCTCTCTCTCTCTCTCTCTCTCACACACACACACACACACACACACACACACACACACACACACACACTCGCTCACTCACTCACTCACTCTCTCTCTCTCACTCTCTCTCACACTCTCTCTCACACTCTCTCTCTCACACTCACTCTCTCTCTCTCTCTCTCACACTCTCTCACTCACTTGCTGTAATACTTTTTTTATGCCGTAGCGTAGAAGAATGCCCCAGCTATAGCGTATTTATTGCTATTTGATGGACTGGATGCATGGATATTTCCAAAGAAGCTTTCGGTAGCTGCGATTATGAAGGCTGTTTTTAGTTTTGGGCATAGGCTTTGTATATGATACGAAAACTCTGTATCCTCGCCAAATTTCTTTGAGAACATCATAGCTTGCACCTCCATTTAGGGATCTGACGACCGGTGCTGTTGACATGTGTTTGTATGTGTGTGATCTAGATGTTGGAGTGGCCCATTTCCAGCTCATGCTAACCTTGTTGAATGGCTTGCCCCTGGCCACCCGTCAGCAAATCCTCAAAGACCTGGTCCGAATCCTCGTGGACTGCAGCAAGCGACAGTAAGATGCAGGCTAGACTCTGTGTGTGCGTTTGTCTTCTCTCACTTTCTCTCTATGTAGTCTGAAATAACTGTCATCTGTGGGTGGGTGTTTGCTTGGCATGGTTTCTTTGTTAACCTGATGTTCTCTTTTGCCCTTTGTTTCTTGTTTGTGTTCTTCTTCAGGGACCTCTGTCAACGGCCCCCTCTCATCTTGATGAGGGTCTTGCAGTTTGTAGAGTACTTGCTCTACCATTTTGCGTATATGCCGAAAGATTTGGCAGAGAAGGTTAGCTCGGCATGTACTCCTCAGCCCCTGGCGTACTAATAGTTGTGTGCTCCTGTGAGAATGCACGATTTGTTTTGTGGAGAATACAGTGGTCCCTTTGTAATCCGGCTTCATTTGTGCTAAGGAAATTCTGCTGGATTAAGAAATCTGATTTACTGCTGCAAGGTGCATGAATAGGACATTGTCATTTTTGCTTGCTGGCTTACAAAGTGCTGAAAGGGGGACGACTAGCATTTGCAAGCATCACCACGGGTCAAGTTACTTGCCTGGTGATTTATTATTTACATCGTCTTTGCCGTGGGTCTTGCTATGGCTGTGCTGGTCTCCGCGACTATTCTTTTTGTCTGTGTTTTGCACTCTTATCTAATTGATCGCCAGGTGAAACACAACTTGTTCCGGACATCTGATTTTTCCACACTGAAGCACTACCCATCCGCCGACTTCTCGCACGTTGCTTTTGAGAACGACAAGAGCATTGGTGAGTGTGCGTGTGTGTGTGTGGGGGGGGGGGGGGGGGTGGACTGTCTGGCTGGCACTCCATGGGCAATGCTCAGAATCTTGCTGCGCTGGTTTAGACAGTACACCGCTGGTGTGACTTTGTGGACGTTTTCAGTGTTTTCATGTTGAAAAGTACCGGTGTATTTTCAAGTAAAACGTGCGCACACGCGCGTGTGTGTGTGTATGTGTATTGGTGCATGCTGTTGCATGTTTCTGCATATTTTGCCATCCTCACCTTGCCATCTTTGCCTTGTGTCACATGCCACTGTCACTAGATCCTGGTGGAGCACAGCCTCATCTACGTAAGTTCCGCTTTGTCACCGACTGTCACGCCTTTGCCAGTTGTCATTGTTGTGCTTGCCGCTCTTTTGCTGCCTTTTTCAAAACCTGTGATCTGTTGTTAGCCAGCTTCTTCTATTTACATGTTGCTGTAGTTGTGTCGGCAATCTGCTAGTACTGTTGCCTTCTTGCTGTGTTCTGCCACGTAAATACTGTACTAGTTTGACTTCACTATTCAAGAGAGGGCTTTCTTTGGCTCTCGGGGACAGGGGTACCATTCAAGGGAGGGCTCTAATTGAGCAAGCACAGTACATGTATGTGAATTGCTATGCAGTTCTTGGTTGCTCCACTGCAGTGCTATTTCCTGCAGTTGCCCTTCAACCCACTTTGCGTGATGTGCATTCGTCTTTCTTGCTTTATTCTTCACAGGCCTCCTGATTGACATGGTGCCACGGTTTTATGGCCTTCGCCCAGAAGGCCCTCGAAGTCAAACAGAATCAAGTGCACAAGTACGTTAGAATGTATTTGCCTGCCGTGTTACATGTCTGTATGCGCTTGTCCATAGCTTAGTCATCTGCCCGGTCAAATGTGATGCCAATGTATGTTGATATCACATGTGCTTTGAGGACTGAAGCGGTGTTACGGCTATGGTACATTGAGCTTGCTGACAGCGCCTAGCGATACTGGTGTTGTCTGGCTCGTTTTGAGTTAGCCAAGACTGTATCCAGCTGTTGGTGCTTGTCCTCTCTGAGAGTTGGCTTTGCTGAGTTTTTGTAGCTGTAGCCTTAGTTTGAGGATGGACATCTTTTTAGACTGCGTTCGGATGAAAGCCCCTGAATTCATTCAAGCTATTTGACTCATTTTATTTTTATTTTGGCATAATACTGTTCTCTTATGCTCGCTTTGTTTCATACTCCACTTGGCAGGCGGTGGCGTTTTTGCGTAGCCTGTGTGACGAGGGCTACAGCTATGGAGACTTTTATCGCAGCTTGGTGTCACTCTTGGCCGCTGGAAGCTTGTGTGGTGTGTCCGTGGATGACGACCAGCAGCCATCGTATCAGAACCAAGTGCCACTGGTGAGGTAGCGTGGATTAAATGACGATGACGTCCATTACTTTTTCTGTTGTCCTTACCTGCTTGAGAACTAAAGAACTTGTCTTTTCAATAATGAACTCGCCATTATGTGCACCACAGCTACACCACATTGTCTTTCATTTAAGGTGCTGGATTGAAAACGTTTGGATGTGTTCTTGTGTGCTACATAGGCAGCAGGAAACAATGAATTGAAAGGGTAGTTCAGCAGACCTTGCTGTTTTGTCATTGCTGATGGGTATACTATTTTGTGTATGTGTGTGCGTGCGTGCATGCTTCTTGGCTTATGGGTATCTTGTCTGTAGGCAGCAACCTCTGTTCGTAGTGCTGTGCGTTACACATGGTCGATGCTGTGCACTCTTCCAATTCCCTGCTCTGCACTGGCTAACGCTGCTAATATGACGAGCTTGGATGTGGCTGGCATCACACCGGACTCGGCGCTGTCATTGCAGGTGGGTGATCTACATGCTTACTGAAGCTGTGCATTCAATGATACCTAGATGGTGTTGATCGTATCATTATTCTAAGAGCAAACTGGCTTTGAGATGATGAGTACTTGAGTTTATATAGGAATTGCCGTCTGAATTTCGGATTGACGACAATATTCTCTCTGACAGAAGCCAGCTTGAATCACTGCTTTGTTTGTGCATAACTTTTGTCCCATCTGTCTGTCCATTGACACCGTCTGCTTGTTTTTGTTCTGTTGTGTTGCTTATCCATCATGTATGTAGGCAATGCTTTACTTGACCAAGGTGATCTTCTCTAGTTTTGTTGCTATTCAACTGCGGGCTCTTACATCCGACGAGAAGCAAGAGAAGTTTTCAGTAAGTTGCTATTCACCTAGCTTGGTGTGTATTATACTTCACCCAGCTTTATGCCTATGTGTGGATGTGAAGTGTGCGTGTGTATAGATCCATGGAGTGTGCTAGGCGTACATGTAGGTGTTTATTCTGCACCTACTCACCTACTTTGTAGCCTCTTGTTGTACTGCATATTGCAATCCAGCCACTCCTCCATGGAATGTGATTATCTAGCTCACTTTCTTAGGGGTCGTCGCAAAAGTTTTTGTCGTCCCTGAAACGAACCTGATTCATTTGGGGGGGGGGGGGGGGGAGGGGAGGGGGTGCGAGCCAAAATCGCAAGTCGACCGACACTGTACATATGACATGTACATGCATGCGATTTTCGTCGTCCAGCATAGCAAACTGTGTTCGTTTCAGAGGGAGGGGAGGGGGTCCAAGTACGAAATGAACGATGTTCGTTTTAGGGACGACAGAAAACTTTTGCGACGACCCCTTACTGCCATGGTTTAGCTCTTTTTGCCGTGTCTTGATTGTACTGACCTTTTGTATGTGCCCCGAAGTGTTTGTGACACTGTGTTTTGCCCCTCTTTTTTTTTCAGGCATTAGCGCAAGAGAGTAGCGGCATGCATGCCGACATGGATATCTGCTTGTCCATTGTGGTGATGGCTCAAGAAGAAGTGGCTTCTGGTCAAAAGGGTACCGCCTTGGCCTTTGCTGGATTCGAAGGGGTAAGGTGGCTACGTTGCCTTTGCTGGATTGGAAGGGGTAAGGTGGCTACGTTGCACTGCTGTAGTGTACAGTAAAACCTGTCAAGGTCTCTTGAGTGGTCGTCTTAGACATCGTATGTGCAGCAGCGGCTGGTCCTTTCCTCTTTCCTGTAGTATCGTTGCAAATTGGCACTGGTTCTCGGCTAGAATGACACCCGCAATGACATGGTGTTGCATCACTGTAGAATACACACTACAGTAAAACTCCAGTGGCGACAATTCAATAGCTTGTGTTGGTTTGTCTTGGTGCGGCCTGTTTGTTTGAATTGGTCTTGGGTGTTTATCATCCCGCATGAGTATGTGTAGGCCACACGCACACACGCACAGTGACTAAATGTTTTCTGCGTTTACTATGTTGTTTACTACGGTGTTCATTCGCATCTTTGGCGCGTCATCTTAGTGAGATGGCTTTGAACCAGCTAGTTATTAATGAGTCATCGTGGCCTAATAAAAAAAAAACTCCTCTTTGGCAGTGGTTTTATGGTGCAAGATGCAGAGTTGCGCATTCTGCTTTATGTATACTTGCCCTTTGGACTAACAGCCCAGTTGGAAGTCTGCCATGGTCTTGATCATAATCTTCTTCCTTGCTACATGGTGGATGTGCTGGTTGTATTTTGATCTCTTCTAGCCGTGCAAGCCCAACAGCAAATGTTTATGTGGTGTTTTGTGTGTGTGTGTGTGTGTGTGTGTGTGTGTGTGTGTGTTGTGCACACTTCTGCAGTGTCTAAAGCTACTTGGTGAGCTAGACAGCGAGAGTGTTCCTGCTCCACTGCTGCTGCTTGCACTGGGCATCAGCACGTGGCAAACACGATATGGCATCGACAGCTGGATTGATCACGTGCAAGCTGAGACTGACAGTAGCTTGGCTGACGCGGAGCAATCAGCCGTGGATACGCTTTGCCAGAAGTCCATCATTCTGGCGACGCGTGCGCTGCCCGTTGCTACTGCACATGCCAGGTAAGACTTGCTCATTCTCTGCTTGCCTCTGTTGTTGCTGTTGCTGCTGTTTTGTAGAGTGGTCAGGTGAAGAGTTAAGTTTGTTTTATCTGCTGTACAAAACAGTCTCAGTGTCCTGTGTGCTGTCAGGTGTAGCATAAATTAGGTAAACGGTGTCTGCCTGATTTCTGAACCTAAACTATGACGTGTTATACAGTTTGGTGTTCCCTTGAAGTGTGCCTCGAGCCAGGTGTACCAATCTGTGTGCATTTGTGTCCTGCAGGAAATTCATTGTCCAATCTGCCAAATGCTGCTCAGCCAATCAGCTTCCACCTCCGCTGCCAAGAGGAAGAGGAGGCAACAGTGAATCTGGTGCCACGCGCACTGGAACTGCATCATCATCACAGCAGCAAGCCCGGACCGCGGGCACTGCATCTAGTAGCACTACTGCTTCCGCTGGTGGTGGTGCTGCTGCTGCTGCACTACCATCCACCCCGACGAATCCTCTGCCCTCGGGTGGTGCTGACACGGTGGAGCGAGGCAAACTCTCCCACATCATTGCCCACGCCAGGAATCTGACTGGTGCGCTCAGTGGCATGGCTAGTGCTCTTGAGGCTCTTTCAACATCACCTGCCACTTCCTCTGCTGCAATGGATATCCTTGATGAATTGGATTCGTTCAGAGCCAGTATCACTGGCAGTGGCGGTGGCGCACCACAGCAGGCGGACGATTCTTCGCCCAAGGTACGCGAGGAGCCACAGGCACAGACACCGGCCGCTCCCGTCCCTCCGTGCTCTGATGAGCTCCTGGCAGCTTACGATCAAGTCCTGCAGCTTGGCATCGTCTCAACAAAAGGACAGTTCGTCAGCTATCCACTGGTTCTAGCTACCCCGAACTGGCTGCAGGCGTCTCTGTCGAATTGGAAAGGCATGTCCATGAGCAAATACCCTGCAACTGCTGATGTAAGTTAGCCAAAAGAGTTGCTATTTGTTAAATTTCCTGCATTTTGTGTTGGTCTATTTATGTAAGCTTCTTGGATCTTGTAAGTGAACAGTAGCGAATGATGACCGTATACAAGTGCAATGAGGGATGTATCTCGCCTGGTACTATTCTTGTGGTGACTTTCCTGTAACTGCGTGTTGTCGTAGATTGAAGTGCTGGGCAGTCAGTCAGGACAGTTAACGTGGTACCTTTATTTCATTAGCAAGCAGTTGGCAGCTTGACTGAGTTGTCATGACCTTGCCATTAACTTATAGCTGTTGCACTGGTTTCACTTCACCAGGCATTGCCATGCAACCATTGGACTTGCTTAGATAGTGCCATAGCGTCCAGGTGGCCATTCAAAGGTACTGTAAATCCGGGAATTTTTGGTGGTGTAATATTTTCGGTATTTCCCAAAATCAACGGTTTGGTATCGCGTAAATTTCGGTAAACCAGTTTTCGATTATTTAAACCAGTTTTCCAGATCCAAAAATGCATTTTGCACACTGTGTGGCATGCCATTGTTGAATTTTAGGTGGTGTTTTATTTAGGTAAAAATTACCTGTACCGAAGTTACCGAGAATATATCTCCACCGAAATTTTCCGGTTTTACAGTATGCTGCGTAAGAAAGATGGGTTTTGTTTGTTGAATTATTGAGGCATGCATTATATTGTGCTTGTATGCGTTCGTGTGTGCGCACGTGTGTATGTTTGTGTGTGTTTTAGGCTGAGGGAGGTGATGAGCTTAAGAGCTTGAATGAATATGTTGCAGCCCATCTCTCGTCTATGACAGGTAACCTTGCTGTGCTGGTTTATTCCCTTTTCTTTGATTATGAGCCAAGTGTGTATGCTCTATTGGAAATACTTTCGCGTGTTGTAGGATTGGGTTTGCTGATCGAAATCTGTATACATCAGTTTTGCTGATATTAAGTTGACATAATTATTCTCTTTCTCGCTTTAATACCATAGGTCTACAAATGGTCGCTTTAAAAAAAAACATGAGCCTGTTAGGCATGTGTCTTATCTGGCCGTTCTTCGAGGTGTGAGCTTGGTACATGCGCTAAGTTTACTGATGTACTGTGTGTGTGTGTGTTTGTTTGTGTGTGTGCGTGTGTGTGTGTGCTGGATTGTCTGTGTGTGCAGGTGCGTCCCAACGCTTCGACGTGTGTGCTGCCGTCCGCCACACAATACAGGGTTTGCTGGACTTCTGCAGTTCTATTCGCAAGTATGTAGTGAATCGTTTGGTCGTATTGTCAATTTGAAGTCAATTACCGTGCGTATGGAATGGGCAGTGTCTTTGATTGTGGTTATGCTTGTTGATCTGCTCTAGCCTAGTGTACAGTACCCTTCTTGGCTATTAGGAAGGATGCGACAGGTGTGTTTTCCTGCGTTCGTTTGGAAGGCAATTCGATATAGCTGCAGACTGTCTTCTGCTGACCCCCCGCCTCTATCCCCTTTACATCAACAATCTGTCTGTCTTTTGGCTTTGCTGTCTTGTCGTTGCTCAGCTTTGTGGAGGATGGAGAGTCAATCCGCTCGCTTCTCATCAATTCTGTCGTGCCGTGCTTGCTGGATGCTACTTGTCAGCCACTTGCAACCGTAAGCGTCACCTTTGTTCACTCACTCTCAGGGTTTATGCTGCGAGGACTCTTCTTATGCATTTCTTGGCTCCAGTATTATTTCACTCTAGGGTTTGGAAGTGATGACGTCAGAAGCCAACTAATAGCGACAATTATCTGGGTCAAATTGGATCCACCCTGCCAGTAGCACAGTACAGCGTTTGTTGGGCACCCCCTCCCCGGGTCGCTCACAGATGTAATACTTCTGTACCAAGAGTGGGTCCCAGGCCGGGAAGGCCAAGTCCAATCACTCCTGGCGCATGTGTCACCCAAACATGCATGGATCCGCACAAAAACTGGATCCAAGTGGATCCCAAAGTCAGAATTGTCATGACTCCGGGCTGGCTGTGATTACGCACGTTCAAGCTGTATAGAAATTGAATCGTGTGAAGGATGCATGTGTGTGCATGTTGTGCATTGCTTCTGCAGTGTTTCGCCCTATTGGAAGGTGTACTGGGATCCAGCACCTCTGCAGAGTTCAGGGACCATGTGTGCCAGTATACTGTCTCCATGTACTTTGATCTCATCATGAGACAGAAGACTGCCACCTCGTAAGTTGTACAAGTTGTAACTGCTTTGCTCCCCTCTGTGTGTGCGCACGCGCGCGCGCGCGCGTGTGTGTGTGAGTTGGGGAGGAGAATGACCATTCCACAATAAAACAAGACACAGAGTGTATTGCGAACTTGACATTTCGGTTATACTTGTCTTCTAGTTCTTGATGTGCCAGTTTGTCATCGTTATGGTCGCCAAATAAGGTATGGTGTTCTCATAGCAGTTTATTGTCTGTGTTTATCTTGTGTTCCTCAGCTGTTTGCCAGAGAAGCTATCTTCAGCATTGTTCGCTGTACCGGTGTCCATGTTGGAGTCGGACGAAATTCGTTTCATCGAAACTCATTTCAGCGGAGAGGGAGGTAAGCTTTTTCTTTTCTTGAGTTAGTGCGTCTAGACTGGTTTTTGGTTTTCTATCGCACTTGTATTATGTAGATGTATGGGAAATCTGGCGTACACGGTCGTATTTTGTGCTCAATGTCGTTTTCTTCATCCAGACCTATTGGATTTGCTGATGCTGTCGTCTCTGGCACACATCGATGGCTCATTTACCTGCAGATTGCTGTCTTTCTTCACCAAGTATTGTGGTGAGTCGTGAAAACAAGCAATGTGCATCACGTCACCGCTGTGATATTTGCACTTTGGTCTGCATGCACACCTTTATGTTCTTACTTTTTTTTAGTGGAAAACTGGATATGAGATTGCCAGGAGCTGGCCAGTTCATTTATCCATATGGAAAGTGCCGTGTTTTCTAAATTCCTTGCTTTTCATGTATTGTGCCGCCTTGCTCCAGTCTTTTGCCAGTGACTACTGATGCGCGTGCACATGTGTGTGTCTGATTGTATTCATCCTTTGTCTTCCCTTTGTTTCTTGTGTAGCTCAAAAAGCCAAGGCAAAACCCGTCAGCCAGTTGACTACACAGCTTTCTAGGCTACCGGAGGTAAGCGGTGGCTTGGTCTGGATGTGACTATATTTCCTTGTGTGTGCTAGTGTTTTGATTTATCCTTTAGTGTGTGTGTGTGTGTGTCACTCGCCGTCGTACACCACATGTGCAGAGTTGCACACTCTTGGGAGGTTATTTTTTTATCTTGTTTATATCTGTACAACGCTCTGGTGTTCTGCTGCAGCTGAAGGAGACAGATCTGGTTAGCTGGATTCGCCGTCTCATCATCAGTCTCCAGGTATGCACTGATGATGCATTGACATGCCATACCCGTATTCCTGGATTCAAAGTCGTTCTGAGTATGCTATCCCCTTCCTTTCTTGGAGGCAGAATATCACACTCCAGCCTGTAGTTGTTGGGTTGAAAATGCTCGGGGTATAACGCCCCCTCCTTTGCATTGGCTTCTGCCATTGGACGGTGAAATAATAATAAAACACGGAGGCGATCTTCGAGTGGAAAAGTATGTGTCCTGACGCCGGAGAATATGGTGTAACGCCACTGGTTAGATCGGCAGATCTTGCCGTCATCTGTGTGTGTGTGTTGCCGTAATAGTAGCGTGCCGTTTATTCAATTGATGCACTGTGTTGGGCGTGCATCGTTAGGTCTAGCCGTCGTCATATCCACCATGGCTTAGTCAACTGCCCAGTCAAACATGGCTGAATCGGTGTTACGGCTATGGTACATTGAGCTTGCTGACAGCGCCTAGTGATACAGGTTTTGTCTGGCTCGTTTTGAGTTGGTCAAGACTGTATCCAGCTGTTGGTGCTCTTCCTCTTTGATAGTTGGCTTTGCTGAATTTATAGCTCTAGCCTTAGGTCGAGGATGGACATTTCTATCTTTTTTCTTTTCTTTTTCAAATTTCGGGAGGGGTTTGGGCTCCTTGCATACCAGTTTCGGAGTTTGTGCTTGAAGTATGTGGGTGCAGTGATTGTTACGCCCCACCGGCCTGTGTGGTTTCACAAGTGTTAGCTTCATAGCTGTCTGATGTTCTCCATGGCGTAGGCCAGCTTTGCATTGTCGGTCGATTTACATGGCTTTGTCAGTTACTACTGTAAAGGCCTAACGAAGTGCTTAATCTAACGAGTTGGAGAAACCTGTCGTTAAAATAGAAAACCTTGTACGGAAATCGGTACTTATACCGTTGCTAGATAGTGTTGGGAATGAGTGAGAATCGTTACTTTTGGTACACGTAAACCACTCAATTTCCGGAAATGTGTTTGCGGCTCGTTAGAATAATGGCGTTTACAGTATGTTGATTGGGTCTGGTGCCCCAGTCTTGTATTGTCCAGTACTGTTGCTGTAAGAGAATGCACAGTGCTTCTCAATGAAATCCAGTCGAATCTCGCCGGGCGTTGCGCAGCCCTAGACCTGCGAACACTGGGCCGCGAAATGATGCACGGCGTAAACTTGAGTGGCATGACTGGATTTCATTGAGCGGCACTGTTGATGGTACATGTACCGTGAGCTGTATTGTTATCGGGTCTGTTGTCTTCTTTTCTATTGTGAATTCTCATAGACGGACGACTTCCACAGCCCACGTGATGCGTTCCTGGATTTAATCCTGGAGTTGATTGCTAGCAGGTTTGTGCTATTCATACTTGCTTGTTCTCTTAGCTTGTCCTCTGCGTAATACTGGTATACTGTAAAACATGTAATTTTAGCTGCCAGGGACCTGCCAGGTTCCAGGTGTAATGTAGAATTAGGTGATCAGCGTTCTCTTCACATACAGTGCATACTCTTAGTGGCTTTTAGGTGTAATTTAAATTTAGGTGCCTGGTTTCTCTACCGAAATCACCGAAATTATAGTTACACCGAAAATTACATGTTTCAGTACTTCAGTGATGGCTGGTGGCAGATCAAGGAAATCCATCTTTGCAATGTGCAGGGGCGAAACAGAGATAGGAGTGTTACTTGCCAGCGCTGGAGTGGTCTGTATTCTGTTTGTGATGGATTGCGGACGTCCATGGCTTAGTCAACTGCCCAGTCAAACATGGCTGAATCGGTGTTACGGCTATGGTACATTGAGCTTGCTGACAGCGCCTAGTGATACTGGTGTTGTCTGGCTCGTTTTGAGTCAGTCAAGACCGTATCCAGCTGTTGGTGCTCTTCCTCTTTGATAGTTGGCTTTGCTGAATTTGTAGCTCTAGCCTTAGGTCGAGGATGGACATTTCTATTTTTTCTTCAGGCTTTCACCATTTCAACTCACTGAAGCTGGTGGGTTAAGAATTTTAAAATGCAATTTTTGAAATCTTGTCAACCTCCATTTTGTTCTGCCTAAGACAGGCATGCTGCCCTTCAGGCATTGACAGGTTAGTGACATTTGTTTCTCTATGTATTTGATGTGTGCTGTGTTCAGTGCTGTCAACGATTCCTCCTACCTTGCAATACTGAAAGCTCTCATTCCGATTGGTACTGAGCTGCTGAACAGTAACCTGAATATCAGCTTCTCGCTGTTCGTTCACTGTGCGTCATCGCTTGCAGACGCGTGTAAGGAGAATGGGCACATTCTCCTTTGCACCGCTGCTGCAGAATGGCTCTCAATTGGGTAAGCGCGTTCTTTGTGCCCTTTTTCGTATTTTTCTGTCATATATCAGCATGTCATGTGTTGTTTTTGTCTTTACCTAAACCATGACTGTGATTTGTATGTTTCCGATGAAATTGTGTTCTTTTTGTGTTTGTATCATTGTGTATGATTGTCCTTGTTTTTTCTAGTGAGGCTGTCCTTCTCAATGAAATGAAGGACGTGGACGGTGAAGACGATGTGGTAAGTCATTGTGCGTTCACTGCATTGCATTTTTGCCCATGTCCAGTGTAAAACTAAAAGCACACGCAATATGTGCCGAGATCATCAATATTAATTGTTGTATTCATTTCAACTGTAATGCTGAACTACATCCCGTCCCACCCCATATGATAGGTGCTGTTATATTCATGCCAGTGGATTTCCCTGGCCTTTGCTGTGCTTATTTTCGGACTTTGTCCTCTTCCTTGTTTTCTGTAATGTGTTGTTCAATTTTTCTCCAATGTTCCTTTTTGGTTTCTTTTCTTTGGTTTCTTCTTGTAGGTAATCCTCAGTCATCCCATGCTAGATTCTGTCACTCAGCTAATGCGCTATCTATCCAACCTTTCAGCAGCTATCAAGGTGGCATCTGGAAAGTAAGCATCTGGACTCTGCTGTTTGTTACTTTGTTATGCATTATGACTTGTGTAGTTGGCTTGCTGAGGTGTCAGCATGTAGCTGGTCTGAATGCACACACTCACAAGCTGGCAATGCAACACAAGCGAAAATATCGTCCTGCATTCATGTTTTGTGACCTCAGATATCAGAGCGACACGACCTCGGACGCTGAGCCTGGCTTGCAGGTAGGCAGTTGTGACTCTTTCTCTGTCCTATCTGTGATCCTGAATGTCTCACCAAGCACATGTTCTCTCTTCTGCAATTCCTGTCCAACCATGGCTTAGTCAACTACCCAGTCAAATGTGGTAATCAATGTATGTTGATATCACATGTGCTTTGAGGACTGAAGCGGTGTTACGGCTATGGTACATTGAGCTTGCTGACAGCGCCTAGCGATACTGGTGTTGTCTGGCTCGTTTTGAGTTAGCCAAGACTGTATCCAGCTGTTGGTGCTTGTCCTCTCTGAGAGTTGGCTTTGCTGATTTGTTGTAGCTCTAGCCTTAGTTTGAGGATGGACATGTTTTTTTCATTACACACCAGTTTGCCCTGGTAGCCCGTAGTTGGAATGAACAACAAAGCTGTGCAGTTTTTTTCTCTGTATACTAGCTAGTACCTAGTATTGGACGCTTCGAATTGAGGGATTATATATCGTGATCAAGGTATGGTGCCTTGAACTCCTGAGTTTGTTATTTATTGCGCAGGACATTGATGGCGACTGGGCTGATGACATACCAGAGGACGATGAAAGTGATGTTGAGTCCGAGGATGAGTCCCTGAACAAGCTGTGCACGTTCACGACCACTCAGCGAGAGTACTCCAAACAGCATTGGTATGTGTGCAGGTTGTCCTCAACCCTCGGGTTGCCTATCTTTTCTGACGTGTAGTGGATGTATGTGTGTGTGTGTGTGTACGTGTGTGTGCTGTCCGGTGGACTGGAGTACATGTAGCTGTCTGTTGACTGACTTTCTGTGGTGTGGCGATACTTCTAGCTCGCTGCACCACTTCACAGTATATTCTTGGTGATCCACTCCACTTTCACACCATCACCAAAGGGTGGACGATTCCGCTGAGATGGGGAACAATGTGTGAACTAATGAGTAATGTGCGCCTTATCATGTCTGTGAAATTCTGGAGTGCTTTTTTAGCTGGCTCTTCTAGAGCCAAACAACTTATCTGTGACTTTCTAATGTTATAACTTAATGTGGATTTCAATTGCTGTTGCTGTGTTGGCATCCTGTATGTTTTGCTGCACTGATCATTCGCTTGTCCGTACACGTCGGTGTGTGAATTTTTGTTTGATTTGAATAATGCAGGTATCACTGCTTCACGTGTAACTTTGTCGGACACATCGGCATTTGTGTGACGTGTGCGCGTGTCTGCCACAAGGTTAGCAATACGCCTCTTCCAGCAGGCTGTGTTCTTGTGCCTTCTGGTTTTCTTTGTAACAAATAGTACTTAATACTGGATTGGCCAGCAGTATCCGTATGCTGCCTGATGATTGCACTGATATGAGCATGAGTTTCAACGAACTAGGCTTGTTCCACTGTTGTACCATGTGTTACGTTTTGCCTCTGCCTGGCATTGAGCATTCTCAGCCCACTGGGTGCATGCTCCGGTAACAAACAGTGCATAGTTGCCCAGAGCGTGAACTGTGTACACCTCCACCGCGACTGTGTACACCTCCATTGCAAGGGTTAGCCGGTGCTGGAAAGGGCCCACATTGATCTCTTTATGGATCTGGTATTCAATTTGCTTTTCATTCCATGAAAGTGTAATCAGTTTAAATCTTACTTCTTACCATGTCCCCTAAAATATTCTGTTTCGTTTTGTTTGGTGCGCAGGACCATGATACTGTCTACGCAAAGTATGGATCATTCTTCTGTGACTGTGGAGCAAAGCAGGATGGCTGCAAGGTGTGTGCCAGTGTCACGGTGTTGTATTTTCCGCCAGTGTTGTCATCTGTTGTTTTCTAGTACCGGTCTCTCTTGTTAATCTTCATCCGGAGTGTACTATCTAAGTTGGGCATGTTGTGTTGTCAACTCTGTAGGTGGTGGACTGTTGACTTTTTTAAATATTCAGATGTGTAACGCGTCTTCCTGTACTTCCTGGTCCTCTGTATGTGTAGGCTCTCTCCAAGCGCAGCAATGACAATGCTGACGGTGACAGCACCAGGTCCGCGTTCGACACTGGAGACGCAGTGACCGGCGGTCCGCAGCAAGAGTCGTCCACAAGGAGTGCCAGCCGTACGGTGGCTCAACGATCCGCGCCTTCTCAGACGGCGGCCTCCCACGCGCCAGGTGCACCAACGCCTCGCATTCTGACCATGGTGGAAAGCATCGAGGGCTGCAAGAAACAGCTCATCAAGCTGATGGACGAGCATAATACACCGCAGACGGTCCTGCATCTTGTACAGACCTTGCTACCCCGCTGTGTGGCACAGGGACAGAGTATCTTGTCACAGCATGGCAGATCATTAGCCTGCAAGGCTGTTGAGCAATTGCACAATAGCCCGAAGGCAACCAACACCAGTGAAAGCCTTGTGGTAAGTTTCTACATGTGACTAGTGTTAAGAAGCTGCCAAGCCGATGATTACAGATGTATTCATGGAAAGATCAACAAAATGTTGTTCTTTGTGATCATTCAATGAACAATCTCTGAGGCGTAAAATCTTTTGAATGTTGGAGCAGTATCCAACCATGTCTGCGCTGTTTGACTTTTACACTAGAGAGAGAGAGGGGGGGGGGGGGGGGGGGGGGGGAGGTGAAACCCATCTTTCAAGTAAGACCAAAAAGTTGGAATTTTACCGTTTCGTCCTTCCCGTAAGCAGAGCCTTTGATCGTCGAAATGATACCAAATCGTCGGTATTTAGGCTGGGTACGAGTACATAAACCAGAGTGTGCAACTCAAGATGGTTCCTGTGGGGGCGTAATCCGTGCACTACATCAATTTTCTGACGGCATGGTAAGCCACAGGTACGATGAAAAGTTGCGTAACCAGTCACGGTGGTGCAGGTCACTGAGTTTGTCCCGATTTTGTTTTTTTATTTTATACGGATAGCCTGGTGAATTTACTTGCCAGCGGATGTACGCAGCGTACACAGTCGCACGAAAACACCGAAATCCTAAAACAGGACATCTAAAATCATGCCAACTTGGTTGATTGCCAGGCTGTGAAACACGAAAATTTGAGCTGTACGCAAGTCGCAGCTTTGCTAGACCTCATCAGGGTGACGTAGTGCACGAACTGGGCTGTTTCAGATCCGATATGCACAGTTGCACACTCTGGTTTATGTACTCTTGGTACCGTTGATAAAGTGCTAACCATGTATATATGGGAGTGGGACCCAACACTAGTGTTAGCGCCTTCCATGCAATATCAAGCCTGACAATTAGAATGGTTCGTCTTCTTTTCTAAAGGACCCAACATGAACTCTGATTTTCTGTTGGTTTTGCCTCTTTCTCAGCTGGAACCTTCTGACTGTTGTTTGTGCATGTCCCATTCTCAGATTGGTACTGCTGGGTCGACGGAAGGATTGTTTGATAATGTTCGTGTGCAAGTTAATGGTGAACAGGGGAATGTGATTCGACAGCTCCTCAGCTCCTGTACAATCAAGCGTTCGGCAATGTGCGCCGTCGTTTCCCTGCGCAATAAGAAGCAGCATGTGGCTGTCAACCCTGACAAGGGAAAGGTATGCATTCTTTCTCTACTTTATAATACTGATGTTTACTGTCTTGTTGATGCTGCACTCTCACACTCACACACGTGCAGGCACGTGGATACACAGCCTCACCGCTTGGCAATGGTGCCTGAAAAGCCATGACTTTCTGTGCTGTCTCTGCTTGTGTTATTGTTCACTGTTGGTTGACGTAGATCACCATTCTCCAAGTGTCCGGACTCTTGCGGCAGTTTGATAATCAGCGCAGGAAGACACCTGCTTCAGGGGAATCCGTAAGTTTTGTTTCTGCCACGTGTGCGCATTTGTCATACGTACGTCTTGTCATGGAAGACCAATGAAGTAAGTGAGGCTCCTCTTGCCATTAGGACCATTCGCTAAATACTGGTAAGGTTAATAAGCCCAGTGCCTCATCAACTAATTGCACGAAGTTGTAGTCTCCCGTTCTCTACTCCCTCAAACTTATGAATAGGTTGTAATGTGGTGTTGTTTCAAGCGTGCCTTGTCTGTAACCGTTCTTCCCTCTTATCTTAGGGATCCCAGACTGAGTCGAAAAGGCGCAAGGTTACTACGGTATGTACTGTCAGTGTTCTGCACTTTTGTATAGGCAATGTGTTGTGTTTTGCCTAGATGATTATGTACTTCCGTTCATTACCTTTGTGTTGATGGTTCATCATAGTTGCCTACAGCCCTGCCTGCATGTTTTGTGGTGCTCATCTTGCCTGTGTCACTATATGTTTACTTCTGGTGTGTCTGTCTGCTGCAGCGCATGACGTCCACAAGCGTGCCATTCACAGTTTTGTCTCTGACCAGTAACCCTGTCAATGATGAGTATGTGGCCGTCTGTGGACACAGGGTGAGTGAATGAGCCACCTGCAGCTGCTTTCTTTCAATGAAAAAATATAGTAATGCACCTCTTTAGGTTCTTGCCACTTTGCCTTCAAGTGTGTATAGAGTATGAGTGCACCGTTCATCATTTTTATTGCTGCCTGTAGATTATAGTCAATTTTTAAAGATCTTCTGATTCATGTGCAGCAATGCTGTGGAGACGATATCCTTTCTATGCCCAGTGTGATGGCAAGCATCCCTACGCTGTTTGCCGGTCATTCACTGGCTTGGCCTGGCCTGAAAGGTTTTGTCTCTCTTTCGTCTCTCTCTCTCTCTCTCTCTCTCTCTCTCTCTCTCTCCCTCTCTCTCTCTCTCTCTCTCTCCCTCCCTCAGGACCTGCACGTCCTTGCTTTCGCCCCGTCTTCGCCAGGCACTGTGCAGCAGCACATCTCGCTTCATCCTGCCGTCGAGGGTAACAATTGTATTATCAAGGTGAGCGAGTGCAGCTACTACGGCGACGACTACGAGTCTGTGCTGCTTTTCTAGGTTGTCACTCCCCAGCAATCACAGTCAGTACAAGATGGTTTGGGAGTCATTGTTACAGTGCTGAGACTAGCAGTGTCTGTGAAGTACTGCAGGACCGCCGGAAGCAGCTTTTGATTTGTCCGGTAGTATTGTGGGCATACGAGTGCTTTGTGTGTCGATATGGTGGATACACCTGACCAACCGGTCCGGTTCCGGCCGGCCTGTACTCAGTAACTGTATTGTGTTTGTAAGTAATCAAATGGGGATTTGTCCACCACACGCCCAGGAAGCGTCTGAAACATGTGCGTGCAATGCAATCCGCATTGTAAAAATGACATGAACTTCAAATTCTGTCAGTGCAGCACCCATAGTGGAGATACCCTCTCCTGGGATGTATTTTCTCTTGCTTCCAGGTACCAGTAGGTTGAAAGTAATAGGAACCCCTCTTATTCCTTTTCTCCTATCCAGGCATTGTGGATTCCAGGATCACAGACGCAGCTGGCTGTCATCACGTCTGACTTCATCAAGGTACACTTGGCGTTCTGCATGATGCCATCTCTCCTTTGTTTCTGTTCTCATTTAACGGGACGGCGTTCTGGTGATATTGTTCCAATACACCACTACACTTTTGTTTGCGGGAAAGGCCACTTGATGTTCTCTCCGCACCAAAGGCAACTTGACAGTTTATGCACACTGGCTGTTTGCAGTGTTCTGAGTTTGGTAAACCGTTTCTTGTCCATGGCTTAGTCAACTGCCCAGTCGAATGTGATCATCAATGTATGTTGATGTCACATGTGCTTTGAGGACTGAAGCGGTGTTACGGGTATGGTACGTTGAGCTTGCTGACAGCGCCTAGTGATGCTGGTGTTGTCTGGCTCGTTTTGAGTTGGTCAAGACTGTATCCAGCTGTTGGTGCTTGTCCTCTCTGAGAGTTGGCTTTGCTGAATTTGTAGCTCTAGCCTTAGTTTGAGGATTGACATAATAATGTGTTGTGTGGCATGCTTTGTGTTGCTCCCCATGATCAATATAATTGTGTGTGTATATGAGTTGATGCTCTATTAACGTCATAACTTATTATGTGTTCACAGAACTGAGAATCTATGCTGTGCCATGTCTTCTGCTGAATGTGCAGATTTGGGATTTGGGCGTAGACGTGCTCAGCCCCATCTACAACTTCATGCTGCCGAGTGGCAAGATTATCGACGCTACAGTCAGCGTGGTGCCACAGACCCGCTCCTCGCCTGCCCAGCAGCTGTTTGCTGTGATGAGCAGCTCTGGCTTTGTGTACATGCAGCCCATCGAGGATGCTTGCCGGGCCACTTTCGGACCGTTCTACATGACAAATGCTCTGACAATTGAGTCAGCTGACCTTCCGGTAAATACCTTACTGTGTTGCTTCGTTAGCTCTTTTTCCCCTTTACTAGATAGTAGATACCATGCATTGGTTAGGAATATGATGAGCTTGTCATTACAAAGAGGTTCCCTATGGCCAGCCTGTCGTTATGTTACTGTGTACTGTGTTCAGTTGGTGTGCACTCAGTGCAAGTATTAGTAATCAGCTGCTGGGAAAATGGCGACCAGTCCTCAATCCACTGTATTCCCATACTTGCTCTAGTCGGCAGGGTGCATGTACATTCTGTATGTTGCAGGTGCACAGCAGCCAGTGCATTCGTTTTTAGTTAGTTTGCTATGGGTGCTCATCTTCTTTTTGACTGGTTCTGGTGTTCCGCTCTGACCATGTTGCGATTGTTGCTGCTGCTGCTGCTGTTGCTGCTGCTGTTGCTGCTGTTGCTGCTGTTGTCGTCATTGTTGTTGTTGTTTAGCTTGGCTCTGGAAACATCGCTGGTGGTGGAGTCTCTATCTACTACTCACATTGCCTGCAGCTGCTTTTCCTCAGTTTCCAGAATGGTAAGGTGATTCTTTGAGGCACAGCCGTTTGCTGCCTTTTGTTATCCATTATTTGGTGAAGTTGTGTGTAGTAGATCAGCTCAGTTGATTGCAGTGTAACGTTAGAGTTGGCTTCATACCCTGCTACTGTTTTATGTGGAAATCCAACCTGCCCTGTTACAAACATGTGTGTGCTTGTGTAGGTAAAACGTTTGCTGCACGCTTAGAGAAAGACCACCTGAGTGTTGCCAAGTGGTTCCAAATCCCACAGAAAAGGTAAGTAGATCAGGACACTACGGGTAATATTCTTAGCAGCAGCCCTACTCTGTGCGGAGAGTTTGTTGGCAATGTTGACATTCTCATGGCCTGCTCTTCTCTGCTTAGAGTTGTCCCTCCATAAAGAGAGTTCACTGGCCTGCTCTTACCTGGCCTACGGGTTGGGGGGGGGGGGGGGGGGGGGAGAGGGCGCTATGTATAACTAGTGACTGCCCCTCCCCATCACTTGGAAGTTTCGATAAAGGCAAACCCTTCCTCTGCCTTCTTTTTTTGTTGTAAGGAAGCTCTAGCCTATGTAGTATTGAGTACTATGTTAACAGAGGAAGAATTCTACTGTGGAAATTGCATGCAGGTTACTTTCACTTACTAGTACAGTTAGCCGGAGTACAGTACAGTCAATTGTAGCATGTCACATGGTCCAGAGACCGTCCAGTCTGCGGAACAGGCTGAATACTGAGAATTTTGAGTGTGTGTGTGTGTGTGTTATGCACGTGCCTGGGTGTTTGTTTTGCGTTTGTGTCTTCAGTGGCCGGTCGACTATTCCTGCGCTGTACCAGTGGCTTGAGGTTGCTGGTCACCCAGGCTTAGTGTGTGCACTGACTGTCAGCAATAACACACCTATTGTGATCATGGTAGAGCCGGAGAAGATTGTCCTCTGTGAAACGAAGCAGCTGGCCTCGAAGAGCAAGGTTCAAGGCATTATTGGAATTCGACACAACGCATCTGGCAATGAATATGTAAGTGGTGCTATTTTAGGATCTGTCTGCATCTGGATTATACCAAATTCATCTATTTCAGGCTGTGCAGTAGTTGCATTGGTGAGGCTGCCAGCGACATTGATGCACAATCTTACTCGTGGACTTGCTTTCCTTCGTTTGCCTCCATGCTGCAGCGCACTGCACTGATTGTTCTCTGCGAGGATGGAGCTCTCCGCTTGTTTGGCGTCGACCCTGGCCCAACTGAGTTCTGGACACAGCCAGCCTTCCACGTGGCCAGGTCAGTTTGCTGTGCTAAATTACCTCTATGCGCTAAGTAACTCGGCCTCTTGATGTTGAGCTGACGGCATTTTTGGGATGCGTTGGCCATCCACATTCCGTTTGCTCGTTGTCCTAGGGGTCTGTGTTCCTTTCCCCTCTAGAATCTCACTGCCTTGTTCCTGAAGAAGTTTGATATTGGGTACTACTTGCTCATGGGGGCACTGGCCATTACAACCAAGAGTACATAAACCAGAGTGTGCAACTGTGCATATCAGATCTGAAACAGCGCAGTTCGTGCACTACGTCACCCGGATGAGGTCAGCCAAGCCGCGACTTGCGTACAGCTCAAATTTTCATGTTTCGTAGCCCGGAAATCAGCCAAGTTTGCTTGATTTTAGACGTCCTGTTTCAGGATTTCCGTGTTTTGTGTGACTGTGTACGCTGCGTACATCCACCGACAAGTAAAGTCACCAGGCTATCCGTATCAAAAAACCGAAATCAGGACAAACTCAGTGGCCTGCACCACCGTGACTGGTTACGCAACTTTTCACCGTACCTGTGGCTTACCATGCCGTCAGAAATGACGTACTGCACGAATTACGCTCCCACAGGAACCATCCCGAGTTGCACACTCTGGTTTATGTACTCTTGTTATGGCTCATTTTTGATACTACTTGCTCATGGGGGCATTGACCATTACGACTCCAATTGACACTTTTCTTCTTTTGCGTGCCTTTTGTGTTGTGTGTGGATTTCGTCTTGCAGTCCACTTGCGTCTCTTTCGCCGGCTCGCCATCAGAAGCCGACGAAGTCTGGCAAATCCTTCGCAAGTTCAGCACAGCCTGTGGACTATCTGGAGAATCTGACAGTTATGAATGATGTTGAGGTAAAATTGACGGGCTCTCTTTCCTTTGCTGTGTGACTGTTTTTAAACAGTCATCTTTCCTATCACCAACCGCCCTAGATGACTTCCCAGTTTTCGCACGGCTCTTGTCTAATTGTTGTTTGTTCGAAAATCCATGGCTTAGTCAACTGCCCAGTCAAATGTGGTAATCAATGTATGTTGATAACACATGTGCTTTGAGGACTGAAGCGGTGTTACGGCTATGGTACATTGAGCTTGCTGACAGCGCCTAGCAATACTGGTGTTGTCTGGCTCGTTTTGAGTTGGTCAAGACCGTATCCAGCTGTTAGTGCCTGTCCTCTCTGAGAGTTGGCTGTGCTGAGTTTTTGTAGCTCCAGCCTTAGTTTGAGGATGGACATGCCATATTAAAGGAGCACACTTGATACTTTCAATTGATGGATTTTGGTAACGATTGGAATTTCATTTTCCACCCGAATTTGTGACTGGACTTGTATGGTGGGTAGTCAGGCATTCTGTTGTCATTGTCAAGGAGCATTGCCGTGTATTTGGTATGAACTTTTATTGGTCCTGTGTTTGTGCTTTGTGTAGTTTGGAGGCAACGATATCCTTCAAGTATACAGCCCCCAGCAGGCCAAACAGCGCCTTACTGTGGCCTCGCAGTATTTGGCCTCCACTAAGGTACTTGTATACTAGTGCACCCGGTACTCCTGATTTTGTTAGAGGGTTTCTGCCACCATTATCTATGCTTAGATTGCTGTACGACTGTTTTGGCTGAAGGTTTTTGCAGACCAGACAGTCTATAATTTATACTTATAAGTTAATATAACAGAACAGTGGGCAATTGCTGAATTGTTACTGAGCTTTGTGCACACACTCTAAGGATGTATTAGAATTCTCTCTAGCCTCTCAGAGAAATTTATCGTGAGAAGGTCAGGCTCGAAAAAGCAGGCCTCTGCGGGGATAAATGTAGTATCCACGATGACGGGAAAAGCTCCCGGATTAAAGAGGGTGTCTGCTAGTCCTGCAGCGGTGTTCTTTCCCTTGTTTCGGGCAAAGCGGCCACGCGGTTTCTCACCACCCTTCTTCTTATTTGGGGGCTTAGTCGTGGCGCTCTTCGGTGCCGGATCCATGGTGCGTGAATTTCATGGAAATCACGACTTTGAAACATTTTTCCGGAAGGGTGAAGATAATCGGCATTCTGGTGTAGTGTGCTTGATTCCGCCTGGGACTCTGTAAACGGAGTGCAGAGTATGCTTGTTGTGTTGAATGTCGTGTAGTAGGAGGCGTGTCATCATTACACACATCGCAATGAAGTTTCTTGGTTTAGCCCGAATGTTTTCTTGTGGCTTTCATCAGTTCTGCCACAACCTTGTCCTTGTGTCTGCCTGCAGTCATCTGGTTTCACTATCGACGTGACGAACACGAACAGCTCCATGGTCATGTGTGGCTGCCGTTTGCAATTGGGTGGACAGTATAGTAGTGATCGCAGTACACCTACGTACGCTACCGTGCTTGACAAGACTATCACAACGGTATGTGTCCCAGGTCCCACCCGCACTGCTGTTTATTCACCGCTAGTTTTGCCTGCATCTTGAAGTTTTAATCTTTTGCCACTCAGTTCGTTATCATGTCTTGACATTGATTTTCCGAAGGCATTACAACTGCTTGAAACATGTATTGGTTCGTGCAAGTTCTTATATGAATGAGGAGGGGATGTCTTCGTTCCAATACTACGTTCTCATTGTTTGTGCTGCTTTGCAGACACCTGGAGCTCGCTTGCGTTGGTATGACATACTGTTCTCCCGAGAGGATGCCGTGCAAGCACAGAAGAAGTTCACTGTGACCAGTAAGTGCTGATCTGAAGCTCCCGATGCAGGCTCATGCGGGAGTTCGGCTTTTCGACTGTCCTGGGACGTGTAATAGGCTATTGGGATATACGGAACTTGTTATACCGTTGCTTGTGCTATTGTCATTGATCTGTGCCCCTCTTCCACTGCTTATTTGCTGTGTAGTCGGGCCCAGTACGGATCCCAATGGAATCACCATGGTTCATTCGATACGAGTTTTTGGGAAGTCAAAAGACTATCTCAGCTGGATGGATGATGTGGAGGACACTTCTGGTGGCGCCGGTTCTCTTGCTCCGAATGATGGTGATCTGATCGGTGAGCAGCAGCACCAAAACGCATTGTCTTCTACTCCATCCTGCGTACCAATCACAACTGCTAGCAGGTAGGTGTTATCTGTTTCTTATGTAGCTGTTGTAGTGTTAGTGTGTAGAAGCTGCGACGAACTTGGCCATTTGACATTTTGAAACACTCCACCACTCCACACTGCGCTCTTGGCCCACATTCACAACACCCAACTCCATAGAGAGGAAATTCGTTCTTGGGTAGATGGTACACAATATTAGTGTGCATGAATGTACTGATACGCCACTGGGAGACATTGTGTTGTGAGCAAGCATACTAGGTCACAGTAAATGAACGAGAATGCCCGTTGTCCTTTAGGCTTGTTCTCCATGTACATGCATGTAGGTGTACATCAACTGTGTCATGCCTTGTGCCTGCTCTCAATCACTACAGATTCTTGGCAAGTTCACTGGAGGTTCTCGAGAGCTATTTTGCTACGGTTCAGTCGCTAGGTGCGCAGGAGAACATGCTTGGTGTGGCGCTTACGACTGCCACTTCTCTACTGGTAGCGCCAATGCCACCTCCTGTGACGGCACAGACGCACTGCCTCCTTGCTGCTCTGCATCCAACTCGTCAAGCATTCCACGTGCACAAGGTTAGTCCTCTCGTCTGCACTACACCGCTGCTCAATGAAATCCAGTACTCTCACCTGCACTACACTGCTGCTCAATGAAATCCAGTACTCTCACCTGCACTACACCATTCCTCAATGAAATCCAGTACTCTCACCTGCACTACACCGCTGCTCAATGAAATCCAGTACTCTCACCTGCACTCCACTGCTGCTCAATGAAATCCAGTACTCTCACCTGCACTACACTGCTCCTCAATGAAATCCAGTACTCTCACCTGCACTACACCGCTGCTCAATGAAATCCAGTACTCTCGCCTGCACTACACCGCTGCTCAATGAAATCCAGTACAGTGGTCCCTCTATAATCCGGCACCATTTGTGCCACGGAAATCTGCTGGATTAGGGAGGGTGCTGGATTAACAAATCTGATCTACTGCTGCAATGTGCATGAAGAGGACATTTGGCTACTGAAAATTGTGCTGGTTTATAGAGGGTGCTGGTTTATAAAGTGCCGGATTAGAGAGGAACGACTGTACTCTCGCCTGCACTACACTGCTGCTCAATGAAATCCAGTACTCTCGCCTGCACTACACTGCTGCTCAATGAAATTCAGTACTCTCGTCTGTAGCTGCACTGTACACCTTTGTTCAATGAAATCCGATCAAGTTAATACCCCGCACCATTTCACAACCCAGTGTATGCAGGCCTAGGGCTGCACAGCGCCCGGCACTTACTTGACTCATGTGCTCAGATTTCATGGGGCAGTACTTTAGATGCCTCTGACTTTATTGATTGCTGATGCTTGAAGTGTGTTGCACTTCAATGTCATGTTTTCCACTAGTGTCCAACTTACCGTCCGGCATAGAGATATGGAGCCATATTGTGGAGGATGAGAATTTACTTTGCTGATTGGAATCTATCCTACTGGTTTAGAACAGAGTACATAGCAACAGAGCATAGCAAAGTGTCTGACCTGACCACTGTTCTTCATTTTGTTATTATTTTCCAGGATCAAGCCCAGCTGGCGCACGTGGCACGCTGTTTGCAGTCCATTGCCAAGCGCGATGCCAGCAATGACGCTGTGGTTGAGGTTGATGCCAAAGAGGACAATGTACTGCTGGATGTTTCCACGTTTGAGCATCTACTGGCAGTAGCACGGACTGTAGCTGTTGCGCGCCCCACCAATCTGTTCCAGTTTGCTCATAGTCCAGCGTGCCACCGAGCTCTCGGTCTCCTTCGGCCCGGCGAGGATCACGTGTCTGACTCATCAGGTTAGGTGCTGACCAGGCTTTTCTGCCACTACAGTACTGTCGGATGCCGAAGACCGGGGGTCTTATTTGCATGTACAGTCGGGGGGAGGGGGGGTCTTATTCGCATGTACAGTCGTGGCCAAGGAAATCCGATCCGCGAGTCAAAGTAGCGCTGCGTTTCCATTTCGATGACATCATGAATGTTCGCAAAAATGATCCGAGGGCCGCAGCGGCCTCATAAGCCTTGGTGCTGCTTTCGGCACGTGGGCTGGATTTCTTTGGCCACGACTGTACTGTGGTCCATGCACAGTCGAGTCCCCGTGTACTACTTGTATACATTGGTATGCTGTGCTTGGTGAAATTCTAGCCTGGTCGTTCTTCGGCACTACCCGACAGTACTGTACTGCTGTACTTGTAGATTCTGTGTGTAGTGGAAGACAGTTCTTTGGTGCGTTTTGTATACATTATACATGAGTGCTGGGGACAGTGAGGGATTGAAGGAAGCAGCAACGGTGCTCATCTGTATGCATCCTGCTTGCACAATGACTAGTTAATGGCTTTTGGGATAATCTATCTTCTTGACTTGAGTTGCATTTGTGTGTGTGTGTGTGTGTGTGTGTGTGTGTGTGTGTGTGTGTGTGTGTGTGTGTGTGTGTGTGTGTGTGTGTGTGTGTCTCACCCACTTACTGAGGTGTGGTGAGCCCATAAGTGGGATCATTTTCAAGTCCACCCAGAGTTTTGGGGATTTCAGGGGGTGTCGGCCGTTGGGCGGTTCAATAGCCAGTTGAGTCATCTTTCCAAGATTCCTTTTGAGTCTCTCTCCCCTCTCCCGGGGAGACCCACGTGACCAGTTTTGGCAGTGAGCAACAAGTACAAGTACAAGTGTGTGTGTGTGTGTGTGTGTGTGTGTGTGTGTGTGTGTGTGTGTGTGTGTGTGTGTGTGTGTGTGTGTGTGTCTGGGTTGTGTGAACGGTTTCTCTGAAGGTGGTCAAAACAGCGTGGACGGCGAGGTGAAAGAGCCTGTGTTCATCCGCTACATAATGACGGCGTTTTGGGAGCTGCTCGAGTCGCAGCCAATCAACTACTCCGTTCTGCCTGTGTGGCATTCAGGTTAGACTCACTTGTAAAGTGTGCGTGTGTGGGTGTGTGTGGGTGTATGAATGCGTATGCATGAATGCATGTGCTTGCATCCATGTTTTCTCTCGCATATTTTCGATATTGGATTTTCGTCATTATGCTGATCTTGTATGCTCTGTGTGCGTACGTGTGTTTGTTTGTGCAGGAATGCGCAATGTGGAATCAGTTGTTACAGCTCTGGTGCAGATCTTGCTGTGCTTCATCAGCAGCGACCGTTCGCTTGCGCCGTGTTTGACTACGCATCTTGTCAACATGCTCATAACCGAAGTATGTCTATCCATTATTCCCTACGTGCCTAGTGTCTTGTCTTGATGTGTAGCTATGATGGATGGCCCTGATTGAATTTGCGCATCACTGTCCCCTGTCGAATACTCATGTTTTCAAAAAAGCCTGTCTGTAAAGATGTGTTCACAACCGGCAAGTATACACAGTACGGTTGCGGTTCGAGGTTCATGCGTGCCCAGACACGTGTTCAGGCTTTGACAGAAAGCAGGAATACGTATTTTAGGTTGTGAGACGCTTTCACGTACTAATTGTTTGACCTCTCCAGTCGAAATGACTGGCATGTACGCGTTTGATGCATGCTGAAAATACAGTATGCTGGAATTTCCATTTAGGCCCGTTTCTATCCACCCCGAAAAGCCTGCAAAATACGCTTTAACACGTGCTTTCAGGTGTGCACATGCCAGTTATGAACACAGCTTTGCTCCGTCATGTTTTCACAGGCCAGTCCTAAGGAGGCGAGTAAACCTCTTCCTCTAACCTCTCTGGCTTGCGTGCGCTTGGCCTCTGCTGAGCAGTGCGCCATGTTGTGGACTCTATATTGCTTGCTGGCCGATGATTACAGAAATATTCATGGAAAGATCGACGAAATGTTGTTCTTCATGATCATTCAATGAACAATCTCTGAGGCTCTATGCTCCATATCAATGTGGTAGCTGCAGGTGTACACACGCCAGTTGTGAACACAGCATTACTCCCTCATGTTTTGACCACGCCTGATGTATGCCCATGCACTGCCTTCTCTCTATACGTGCCTTGTAGAACACGACTGTTGGCTTCGCGTGCCGTCGTGCTATAGTGATGGCACTGAGCCCCACTGTGAAGCGCAAGGCCAGTGTACCTGCTTCCAGCACTCCTGCCGCTGGTCGCGAATCTGCATGTAAGCTCCTATCCGTCTAGCGAACCATGATGTGTTGTCCATAAACGTAATATTATTAAAGTCAATTGGTCTTGATATCAGGCCAATCATGGAGTTATGCTGATAGTCTGATACAGTCGTCCCTCTTTAACCCAGCACTTTATAAACCAGCGCTTTTTATAAATCTATAAGCCAGTATAATTTTCAGAAACCAAAATTAGATGTCATTTTCATGCACATTGCAGCAGTAAATCAGATTTTCTAATCCAGCAGCAATTCCGTGGCACAGATGGTGCCGGATTATAATCCGATTATAATCGGAGCACTGTAGCATTTTCTGATGGCATGCCATTCATTCTGTCCTATTCTCAACAGCCGCCGCATCTGAACGTACATCAGGCACTCCAGCCATGTCCTCATCACTGCAGCGACGCCAGGCTAGTGAAACTCCGCCGCCTAGTGACAACTCTGGTGCGAGTGGCGGCAGTAGTGCCAGTGCCATTGCAGGCATTGGACGTGGACGCGGAGGCTCTAGGCGGTCAGGAATGCGTGGCAGGCTTCACAGTAAGTGCAATGCTGCTGTTATCTCAACTTATCTGTGCTCAAGTGCACCACTGCTCCAGCTTGTGTCTTATGCGTTATCTCCACAGCAAAGGCAACTGCGTAGTTTGTCTTGACTGGCTGTTTGCAGTGTTCTGTCTGTGGTAAACAGTTCCTAACTGTTCCTTGTCCATAGCTTAGTCAACTGCCCAGTCAAATGTCATGTCAATCGCATGTGCTTTGAGGACTGAAGCGGTGTTACGGCTATGGTACATTGAGCTTGCTGACAGCGCCTAGAGATGCTGGTGTTGTCTGGCTCGTTTTGAGTCAGTCAAGACCGTATCCAGCTGTTGGTGCTCGTCCTCTTTGATAGTTGGCTTTGCTGAATTTGTAGCTCTAGCCTTAGGTCGAGGATGGACATTTCTGTCTTTTGACTTGATCCTATGAACTTGTGACTAACTTTGATGGGTCTGACCGACAACATCTATCCATTGTGGCTGTGTGTACACTGTGGTGCCTATTTACTTGTGAGTGATTTTTATGCCAATGCTTGTGTGCTCCAGGTATCTTGGGTGGTGGCGATCGCGCTGGCCACTTGCTGGCTGCACTGTCATCTAGCAACGCTGGTGTTCTACCAGCTGGGCTGCAGGACTTGTCCTCCATTGACGCTGCATCTCTTATGGAAATGCTGGATGACGAGTCTGTTTCTCTGGTGAGGAATGGCTGGCTTCCTTGCATGCAGGAACACTAGGTGTGATGTGCAGTGCCTTTCCCATGGCCGTTCGCAGCCCTGTGTCTGCGTGTCATGTTTCCACTTTTGTTCCATTCATCCTCTCTTTGCTGTATATCGTTGGCTTGCACCTACTTCAACATAGTATGCGTAACATCTGGAACTTATGTAGCTGACGTAGCTGACGTAGAGCTCTGATATCTTTTTGAAGGAGCTGCTGTGTGTCGACCATCCATGGTGAGAAATTGTTAAAAGTGCAGTGCCACAGCCTTTCCAGATCGGGTAGAAGAGCATAGAGGGCTTTCATGTGCACGGCTGTGTTTTATGTCGATCATGGGCGCCTGTTTGCAATGGTGCTAAGCTGTCTGTGTTCCGCTGGTTCAGCAGTTCCTGTTTTCTAGCACTCCCTTTTCTGTTCCTTGCTGCAGCGCCCCAAGGGCCGATATGAAAACACTCTTGCTCAAGGCTAGGTTGTGTACCGGCTTCAGTTGGAGTGTTGTGTTATTTCAATTTATTTGTATCTTGTTTGCTCAGCTGCCAGGCAATGGGGTGTGACTTGTTTTTTGTTTTGTTTTTTTTGCTTTTCAGCTGCCGGCTGATGGTGGCAGTGCTGGTAGCGGCAGTGGTCGGAGTTCTGGTGGCAGAGGGTCAATGGCAGCTCAGATTGATGCTCTCCTTGGCGGTGACTCTGTTCAGCAAGAGGACATCAATGCTCTTGCTGATCTTGTTGCTGAAGATGATTCCATGATGGAGATGGCTCTGGCACTCAGCCTTCAGGATGGTGGTGCCGATTCCTCTCCTGCTCCTGGTGCTAGCAACAGTGCGAGTGCTGCCAGTGCAGGCATCGGCCGCGGTCGTTCTTTGCTTTCCTCCTCCTCCGCCTCCCGTTCACTTATCCAGCAGGCATTACAAACCGGTAACTTGGACCAGCTCTCACAGTTGGCTCAGGTGGCTGGCTTGGATGTGCACTCCTTTGCGCAAACTTTGGCGGTGAGTTATTTAGACCATGGTGATTGCGAGCGTGGCGGTGGTGGTGTATTTTTAATGGGATGCTGATTGAGAAGGCAACTACAAAAACTGCAGTTTGCTATCATGATACTTATTTGTGTGACTTCTATGTGCCATAGTAGTATTCATAGCTATATTTGCTATGTGTTGGTAATTGTGCCTTTGGGGTTCTTACGTCTCTTCTGCTTGACAATCCAAGCCAATCTTTGCCGCCGTAGTTTTCGTGAAGCACCATTTCTTGTGCGTGCATTGGTAGCAAATCATGTTTCTGCTGTGTCTGTGTTGCAGCAACACTCGGTCAGTGCCGAAATGAACATGGAAGCAGACTCCCATGGTAAGCACATGTACATGTGTCTAATGCTCATGCAATTGTTGGAAAGGAGATAGCATTACTGCAGGGTGTCACGGTGTGCTTACAAGCATGTAGTGGAATGCCAAATCGCAACAAAGAAGACTTCAGCTAAAGCCGCGGAGTATATCTGGACAAAATGCGCATTTGATCTGTGTGTTCTTATCACCTTGCTGTTGGGATTTGACTGTAGCCTTGTTCTTTCTGTGTGTGTGTGTGTGTGTGTGTGTGTGTGTGTGTGTGTGTGTGTGTGTGTGTGTGTGTGTGTGTGTGTGTGTGTGTGTGTGTGTGTGTGTGTGTGTGTGTGTATGTAGCAAGCCAAGATGTCGAAGTCGGCTCTCTGGGCAGCACTGCAGCAATGCATCAACTTGTGTCTGACCATGGCAGTAGCCATGCCGCTGAGGTTGCCAGCACGGCTGGAGATGTCCTGTCGCTACCCGAGTCTTCACAGGGCGTGGGCAATGACGTAGGAAGCAGTGATGATGATGACGACGACGACGGTATGTTGACATCTTTGGACCGTGTGTGTACGTGCGTGTGTGTGTGCATGTGTGTGTGCATGTCTGTCTGTCTGTGTGTGCTGCCTGCTTACCTTTCCTTCTGCTCAGTGTCACGTAGCTGTTGTAATAACCAGAGTACTAGTGCGTAGAGCTATTGCGCAAACATTCTGATTCGGCACGTCTTCCGTGACCTGTCAGGTACCGCTAGTGTTCCAGTCTTCTACAGTGCATGAGTAATTTTGAAGCACTGGGCGCCATCATGTGATCCTTTGATCATCATATGCCGAGTAAGCATCGCATTATGTGTATTGTGTATGCTGCTGCGTAGATGGCGGCCTGGTTGAAGGTGGTCGAGTGCATCATGGCGATAGTCCCACGAGCAGTATCAGTAGTATGGGCGATGCAGTCAGGGAGGTTGCTGGTGATGCAAGGCTAAGAGGAGCGGGTGAGCAACTACCGTGCTCGTTTTCTGCAACCTATAGCCACTGAGTCCGGTGTTCATATGCATGAGCAGTTAGTGTTAGTGTAGTAGTAATAGTAGTATCGTATGGTTTTTATGCCAGGAAACAATGAGAGTGGAAGGCTGGGTTGCTGAAATTCCGTGTTTGCTTTTATTTGTCGATGTGCACACAGCTGAAGTGAGCGAGGTTGAGTCCATTGAAGGTGGTCAGTCTGCGGCCGGTTCTCACAGCGCATCCCCTGCTCCGGCGGTTGCCATTGCCACGGCCACCACGACTGGCTCTGCCAGTGCCGGTGCTGTTGGTGACAAACCTGCAGCTGGCAAGCGGTTTGCTACATCAGAGCAGGGACACGCTTCTTCCGCCACTGGCGGCACCTGTGAACTGGTGGAAACGGAAGATCCGGCTAATACGGTCATGTGCCAACGGCTGCATTCCATGAGTTTGCTGCTAATGCACCACTTGTTGAAGAACATCGGTCAGCTGGATTCACTGGGCGGCCTACGTGCTATACCATACCTGCAGACTCTACTCATGTTGTGTACACGCCTCGATGACGTAGCCAGTCCAGACAATCAGACTGCACTGCAAGAGCTGCTGGAAACCTGTATCGGACAACTTGCCATGTCTGAAGAGGTGAGGGTGCTGCTGCTGTTGCTCTGCACGTGTGTGTGTGTGTGTGTGTGTGTGTGGGTGTGTGTGTGTGTGTGTGTGTGTGTGTGTGTGTGTGTGTGTGTGTGTGTGTGTGTGTGTGTGTGTGTGTGTGTGTGTGTGTGTGTGTGTGCGTATGTGTCCCAGCTGTATTACAATTTGGTCTTGGGTTTCTGTTATAATATGTAGATACGTCAAGTAGTTCGTGAATTCTTCTCTTCAGTTCACCCACTGCTAAAGGTATTCATTCTTCTGATGTAGGTACTACTGAATTTGTCCTGTTGTGTTCTCAGGAACAAGAGCGTGTGTCTGAACGTACTCCCCGTCACGAAGTGAAGCTAGTCTTGTTGCGCTTGTTATCGGTGCTCATGTCTCGCACAAGGCCGCAAGGAAAGTCTTCGGTGAGTGCTTGACTTCCCTTCACTGGCATTTTAAATTACTTGGGCCTGTGTATTGGCGGTGTGGGTAACACAAGGTTCCTTCCTGGCTAGTACTGGGCTCGCTTGATTATGCAGGTCTTCAGCTATTGCATTTGCACTAGGTTTAGAAGCATAGTGCTGCTGTTTGCTTGTACCTTGTACTGTATTTGATTACGGCTTTGCCTATTGTTTTCTTCAGGCCAACAGCGCAATGATGGTGTGCAATGTAACTGCACAGACGCTGGTTCGTCACAACACCTTAGACTTCTGTCTGCTGGTGCTCAAGGGCTTGTTGCAGCACTGGAATGCACAACCCAGTCATAAGGAGGTGTGTAAACCCCCCTCCTTTATCTTGCCACGTTTCGATTTAGCCACACCTCAAGCCCTCTCCGGCTTTCGTGCGCTTGGCCTTTGCTGAGCAGTGGGCTATGCTGTGGATTATGTATTGCTTGCTGGCCGATGATTACAGATATATTCATGGAAAGATCGACGAAATGTTGTTCTTCATGATCATTCAATGAACAATCTCTGAGGCTTTATGCTCCATACCAATATGATATCTGTAGAACACATCCCTGTACACGGTGGATCTTGTTGTAGTGTGTGTCTACATGTAGTCTCTAAATCCAAACGTGGATTATGTGGAACTCTTGACTGTGTTTCTCCAGGGTGATGTGCGAGCCAGTTCCACTAGCAGTGGTACATCGCCAAGTGGTGGTAGTGGAGGCGGCAGCAACAGCAGCAGCAGCAGTTCAGGAAGCACCTCGCTTCTCCAGGGCCATTTGTCCTCCGCTATTCCGGATATGTCTCCGTTCTTCTTAAAGGGCTATGTCAAGGTACATACCGCATTGCACAATGAAACATGACAGCGTTGCGTTGTGCTATTGCTTTGCACATTGTGCGTGGTTGAGTTGTACACATGTACAGGCAGGAATTAGATCAAGGCTCTCAAGTGCAGTTCTGTGTATAACTAGTAACTACACGAAAGTTCAGACTTGTCGTGCTGGATTGTGCACATTTTCATCCATGTGCATATCTGCACTGGCACGCATTCTGGACAGCAGTACAAGTGTGTATTTTGACATGAATCACTAGCATTACAGTCCAGTGCAGTCCTGAAGTGCTGAATTTGTGCCGTTGTGTTGCCTTTTGTTCGGTATGCTGTTCTTTTCTAGGGACATGCACGGGATGTGTTCGAGTCCTTCCCACAGCTTCTGACTGAGATCGTTTTGCGTTTGGCGTATCTGGTAAGTTCGAGTGTGTCCAAGTCTGTGTGGTGTGTGCATGCGGATAATCTACTTTTTCCCCCGCATACCGGGCGGAGGTGGGCTTTTGAGAATTGTTGCAAAGCCACCCTTCCTCTTAGATATCGCTGCTCTCCTGTGCCAGTGCGCAGTCACTGCTGATTCCAGTTGGATTACCCTCACTTCTTTAATGAAATTCCTAGCTGCCTTTCCTGTCAGGCCGATGATTACAGATATAGTCATGGAAAGGTCATCGAAGTGTGACCTTTATGATCATTCAATGAACAATCTCTGAGGCCAGTAATGCTTTTGGAAAAAAAGCTTTCTGATTTGAATTTGTTGCTAGTTTTGCCAACTTCTTGCTGTGACTGAGGCTTTATTTATTTACCTTGCTCCTCTTTTGCACCCAGATCAAGAAAATTTTGGATCCAGACTGCAAAGACATGAAGCTGTTTTCTTCCGACTGGGCAACATGCTTGGCTGAAGTAAGTGTGCTATGCCCTGCAGTGTTTAGCATGCAAGACTTGATTGGCCAATGATTACAGATGTATTCATGGAAAGATCAATAAATATTGATCTTCATGATCATTCAATGAACAATCTCTGAGGCCAGAAGATGGGACAGAAGCTCGTATCTAATAGTGTGATAGTAATATACACGTAGAACAAAGATAACCTGCGGCCATTACCGTAGTATTGTCTTGTGCCGTTCCTGAGCGACCGATATACTCCACAGTTTATTGTTTTCTCATAGCTGTGTGAGGTGTTTGTTGTTTGCATCGGGTTATTGTTTTGCAACAGGTGCAAGGTAGCGCAAGGTAGCACTTGAGCTATTGTGCATTCTGTAACATTGCCATGTATTGTGTCCTTCTCTCATTCCTGCAGTATCTACTGGCTTCCCAGCAAGTCGCATGTGTTCGTAAGCAAGTTCGCAGTGTAAGTCGTGGGTTATTGTCTTTACAATGTGAATGCTTTGTGGTATAAAAAATATTTTAAAGCGCTGCTCTCCCATTTTTCTGATCATGGTTGTTTCCTTTTCGAAGGCCGGTGTGAGGACTCCACTGTAGCCACTTCATCTTGCTCACAATACACCACCAAATAAGAACAGTTTATTCCAAGTTTTCAGTTGAACTTTGTTTTGCTGTGACTTTTGTTGAAGTCAGATACAGTAAAACCTGTCAAGGCGACCACTCGGATAAGGCGACCACCTGTCCAAGAAGACCACTGAAACCAGGATCAATGGATGCTATTTCCAGTCAAATGACCCTGGATAAGGAGAGCACCTGGTAACAGAGACCACATTTTGAAGGTCCCTTGAGCGGTCGTCTTAGACAGGTTTCACTGTATGCGCGACCTGCACATGTACAGTCCATTTCAAAACTATAGACGCGTAGTGTTTTTGAAATATTTCAAATTTGGTTGGAACCTTTTGAGAATAGTTTTCGGAATATTGCTCAGGTCCGCTCCACAATTACATGTACTCTCATATAGTTTCTAAGCGATTGGATAACAGACGCCCAATTTGGAAAAAAAATATGCACAAAGTGATCACAGATTTTATGTGGTATAGATGCTGACATAACGGCTTTTGCCTAGGTACGCGCGTGTATAGTTTTGAAATGGACTGTAGTTGAATTTTTGTTATTCAATAATTTGCCGTATCTGTTCTGTTTATGTTGCAGTTGTTGATGTTGATCTGTGGCTCGAAGGAGAAGTATCGCTTGCGACGTGACCTCCACACGGTGCAGTCCCACATCTCCAAAGTGTTGTAAGTCCCTCTGCACAAGTGCACATACCACTCGTGAGGTTTGTTTGAAGCTTTTGTGCTTGGCACGCATCAGTTTACTTTTTGGAAGAAATGGTGCAACTCGGCTTGTGAATCTAATGTCATTCAAATGTGCATGTTATTGTTGTTGCACTGATAGCCCTTTGGTAAAGGTCCTGTCTAGTAAACATAGGGAACCGGAGTCTATTCCTGGATTTGGTTTGAAAAAGATTTTTCTGTCTTTTCTACTAGTATATTGGCATCTCTCTCCCAGTGTTCAGATCAGTCAAAATTCCGTGGTCTAATACTTCTGAAGAGATGCAACATGGACTGTTTCTCATTGAATTACCTGCTGCTCTTATGGTTGAGTTGTGGAGTTCAGTGTGAATCGACATCTTTTTTTTAAAGTTACTCTTGTGGTTGAGTTGTGGGGTTCAGTGTGAATCATCTTTTTTTAAAATTTGGATTGTGAATGAACACGAAAAAAATTTTGAAGTGAAGTTTGATCAGATATTAATTATCTGTCTTATGCCTTTTTGTCTTTTGCAGCCATGTTTGTGGAATGGACATGTCGACTCCGGGCAATGTGAACGACGTGCGGCCAATTTCTATGCCGTACAACGAACTGCTCTCACTGGTTAGTTTTTTTCCACATGTTGGCTTGTCGTTTTAGTCATGGTGTGGATCATGCTGCGATTGACTGTTCTCTGCGTTGGCAAAGTGTGGTTTTCTTCATGGCTGATGATTACTGATATTGTCATGGAAAGATCAACTAAAAGTTTGGTCTTTATGATCATCCAATGAACAATCTCTGAGGCCTTATATTTATTGGCATGGAGAATAGGAAAATGCCCATTCTCGTATGTATTACTCTAGCAGTTCGATCCTATTGTCCGTGTTCTTTCGCGTGATGGTGTTTGTGCTGCACAGCTATGGGCCACTATATAGTTATGAATGTGTGTGTGTCTGTGTCTGTGTTCGCTTTTATCAAATGCAGATTGAGCACCTTAGGGCCTGTGGAGATGTTGCCACTCAGCGCGTGTCAGGCTGGCAAACGTTTTGCCAACAGAATGAACGTGAGTCGCCGCTGCACTGCACTTCCTATCTTACACTATGCCCCTGTCATTCGGCTGTTCTCTGCGTTGGCACTGGGTGTGTTTATTTTCCTGGCTGATGATTACTAATATTGTCATGGAAAGATCAACTAAAAGTTTGGTCTTTATGATCATCCAATGAACAATCTCTGAGGCCTTATATTTATTAGCACTGGACTATTTCTGTGGATGTTGACTGCATTCTGGCTATGCTCACCTGAAGTAAATGTCTCCTGGTCTTGTCTCTTCTGTTGCAGACATGCTCTTGCAGCTCGTTCAGCTCAGCCTGAGGCTAGTGGATGGTGTTGTGCCGCAGATCCTACTGCTGTTGTCATGTGCCCTGACTGGCAAGCCAAGCCATGCTGCCACGCAAGGAGAAAAGTCTTCCAAATGTGAGTTTTCCCCTGGACGTGTTATTTGCATATTGCGGACCCAGCATGTACACTGGCTTGTGTGCACTAGATCTGAGCAGACCAGATCATTAGCTTTCAGTAAGTGCACTTGTTCCTGATGTTGAATTTGCATGCTTTCTTTTTTGTTTTGTTTCCTGTAGCGTCTAAGTCTGAGACATCTTCAGGAAAGATATGTCCAGCGTTGATCGACCGGTTCTTTGGCACAACGAATACAGAGCTGCTGATTCTCTTTACAAGAGCGTTCCTCTTGGATACGAACAGCACCCCGGTGCGATGGCAAGCACATGCCCTTCTGCTTGCCCTGCATAAGTAGGTCATGGGACAATATTGTTTTGGGGGTCTTTAGTACATATTGCATGTATTGGATTGTTGAATTGTTCTTACTGTTAGTCTACACCTCTTCGTTTGTCTTCTTTGAGAAGAGTATTATGCTAGCCTGCCTCTGAACCAGCAGTGATGTACATTGTGTGATCTGTTGGCATTGTATCAGGCTGACAGTAAACCCCAGCTCAGTTCTCTGTTATTTTAACATCATTCGCATGTGCTTCTGCATGGTGGTGACTGGCGAGTGTGCTGACCTGACATTTTATTTTGCTTCAATTACCTGCGTCACTCATCACTACCCATCTGTTCTGAATGAGTTTCCAATTCTCTATTATGTGCGTGTGTGTTTGTGTTGCGTGTGTATCCAAGGAATGGCTCTCCTGAACAGCAGGCTCAACTCTGCAACATCCTTTGGTCACTCTGGTCAGACTTACCTCGGTATGGCCGCAAGGGCGCACAGTTTGTCGACTTGCTTGGGTACTTTGTCAGCTGTGGACAACTGTCTCCGGAGAAGGTGAGAGATAGAATGACGACGGGTCCACGTATGAGAACTTTTGCGAATTTTTGTCTCAACCTGATGAATAATTTTGGAACTGCGATCAAGAGAATGAGCTGAACCGACATTTCACGAATATGTTTTGTCTTTCATCAGATTAAATTTCCGAAAATGCGAATAGGGAAGGACTCTTCTCCTCTTTGCTGTCAATTCGTAATACGGCTATATCGTATCAAGAAAACATTGCAATAGGACCGTTGAAGTGTCTCTTTGTGTTGGTTTGCTCTTGAACTTCTACTGTGTCGTTTCTCTACGATGTTTGTTTCCAGGCTCAGCAGTGCTCTGCAATGGCAGTCGCTTTGCTACGGCAGCAGAACAAGATCATGTCGAACCATCCCAATGGACATATCTACCAGTACGTCGCATTTCAACACATACTGTGACTTCTGCCATGTACCTTTTAGTTTGTTTAGTTTGGCTGGGACCATGGTGTTGGCAGCATTGCGGTTCCATTGAGTTCTTTTTGTGCTCAGCTTTGATTGAGCATGCATGTATACAGGATCACTTTTACTAGGGTCAATTGACTTCTGTTACTGTTGAAAGCAGGAAGACTGAAAGTATCCAGCACACACATCCGGTGTGCTTATGCCCTCGTCCCTACACGGTATACATCAAGTTGCCAATTCAGGGCACGGCGTGACCGTTCAACTGTGCTTCTGCTTTTGTGTGTTTGTGTGCGTTGTCCAGCATGCTGTCGGATATGGTCGATTTTGATGGCTACTATCTGGAAAGCGATCCGTGCTTGGTGTGCAACAACCCAGAGACACCTTTCACAGTACGTACACTCTCACTGCATGTAGCAAACACCTTTCACAGTATCCAAGTTGTCTGATGCAATGTTGTTTCTGCTACTGCGGTTACTAGTACTTGGCGTATCCAAGTTGTCTGGTACGTTGTAGCAGTGTTCTTTCTGCTTCTGCCACTTCTCAACTAAAGAGAGTGGTGTGTGGTGTGGGTTGGTGGGTGTTTTTGTTAGGGGAAATGCTCGCACTGCCACCACCACTTCAGTGTTTGTATACCGAGTATTTCCAGTCAAATGACCCTGGATAAGGAGACCACCTGGTAACAGAGACGACGTTTTGAAGGTCCCTTGAGCGGTCATTTTGGACTGGTTTCACTGTATAATATATATATATATATATATATAATCCTCATGCTTGTCTCATTCGGACTACAATAGAATGAGACTAGTGCTCACACTTGCATGTTGTTATTCTTTCCTTCAGGTGGTGAAGCTGTCTTCTATCCGTGTGGATTCCAAGTACACTCCAACCGCACAGTTGGTCAAGCTAGCGGGAAGCTACACCATTGCTCGACTGCAGCTCCGTATCAATGACTCAAAGCGTGTCAAGATGGTGCGCACGGTGAACCTCTATTACAACAACCGCTCCGTGCAGAGTGTTGTCGAACTCAAGAACAAGTATGTTGTCTCTTCTCTTTTCTATTGCCTTTTTCTCTTTGCCATTCCGTCTATTCCAGGCATACTCTTTTGCCACGCTAGCCTGCCTCTGAACCAGCAGTGATGTGCATTGTGTGATCTGTTGGCATTGTATCAGGCTGACAGTAAATTCTAGCTCAGTTCTCTGTTGCTTACGTCAATCCTCTGAGTGCTTTTGCACAGCCACGTTTGTCGTGGAGGCTGATCCAACACTTCATTTGTGATACAGTGTTCATATATCCGGCTTGATGACCCTTCTTTTTACAAGATTACACAGCAAGATAGAGATAACGTCGTGTGTGTGTGTGTGTGTGTGTGTGTGTGTGTGTGTGTGTGTGTGTGTGTGTGTGTGTGTGTGTGTGTGTGTGTGTGTGTGTGTGTGTGTGTTATACAGACACCAACTATGGCACCATGTGAAGCAAATTCACCTTCAAGCCGGCCAGACCGAAGTCAAGGTAGGCGAGTGATATCGGGTTCAACTTACGAGAAGACATATTTTGATGTATCCGATCTTTCTCCCTATGACACTTAAGCAATGTGATTGAACCTTTTATACTTTACCAGTCTGAATAACCAGGGGTCGCACGATCAGAGCACCAGCTGCTTGTATCTGGCCATCTTGCCTATGTGTACATGTATTGTACTGCCTATGCTCGTTGTTCTATCTCATTCCCTGCCTGTTGGTTGTTGGCTTTTTTCTTCTTCGTTTTGTACTCTGCTCAGATGGATTTCCCGCTGCCTGTGGTGGCTTGCAACCTGATGATTGAATTTGCGGACTTCTTCGTAAACTCCCAGGTAAAATCGCTCACTTCCCCTGTTACTGTTTGTCATATTCTTTGTTCTTGCACCACAGCCACTGGCAAACTGGAAGAGATCGACATACTTTCCACTGTTATTTTCTCACCAGAGCAGTATGACTAAACGCTATCCCTGCTGACACGTGTTGCCATGCGGCGTTGAACTGAGTTAAAACGGCCTGAATTACTCATGGTCGTTATCTAGCTGACTCCGGTATGTGTCTATGTTGCTATGCTGTATGCCTGGTTCAGGTCAACCCGGAGACATTGCAGTGTCCTCGCTGCAGTGCACAGGTGCCAACCGCGCCAGGTGTTTGCAGCAACTGCGGAGAGAACGTCTACCAGTGCCACAAGTGCCGGTAAGTGTGTGTGTGTGTGTGCGTGTGTGCGTGCGTGCGTGTGTGTGTGTGTGTGTGTGTGTGTGTGTGTGTGTGTGTGTGTGTGCAGTTGCGTTGAGAGAATCTTACTGGTAGCAATAGTACGTATCTCTCCGTAAACATTACAGCCCGTTTTCAGAACTACGTTCTTTTCCGTGACGTAAACAAATTCATGACTTCGATCGACCTGTCAGTTCTAGTAAATTGAGCTCTGAGGATTCGAGCGATTGTGACTTCTAGTGAGATTCAAATGGTGCCAGTTTCTGTTGTATAATGGTGTCAAAGAAGTATATTCGCTCATTTGTTCCCCTGAACCGAATTTCTTGAGCATCATGGCTCCTTAGGGCAGGTCACACATGTACTCGAAAGTAGCGGATACGGTGAAGCGACGTCGCAGGAGCGAAAAATACCATGCCAACGGCGAAAAGCGGAACTTCCGCTTCAGCGGAAACTCCAATCCGCTTCCTCCAAAATTTTCGAAGCGAGAGTGTCGCTTCTGTGGTTTCGCTTCAGCGGAAAACACCACGGTCTGCTGTATATGGACTTGCTACGAGAAATTTGTATGCGTATGATGTCCATGCAACAAAAATGCGTGCAAGATAGTCATTGACCTCGTTTATTCTCCGTACCGTATGCACCATAGTCCACTTTACTCTCATTTTCCGCCAAAGTAGGAGTTTGCCCTGTTTGTATGTGTGACCATACGCATGTGGTTTCGCTGGAGCGCCACCAGGCTCGCTGTCGCAGAAACTCGATGCCGAAGCGAACCCCAGTGCATGTGTGACCGGGCCCTAAGGATGTGAATAAAAAAAGTCACGGAGCTGTTGTTTCCGGAGGAAGTACACGAAACTGCATGGCGCGAAATCGACCTTGCGTTATGGTGCATGGGTGTGTAAATTACGTAAACTAGACTCGTGCCCACTACCTATCGGCACACCCTGGGGAGTTCTCTTCTTCCTGAATAGCTTGATCATCTTTGTGTTTGGTTATGACCGCCATTGCAGCTCTATCAACTATGACGAGAAGGATCCCTTCCTATGTACCAGCTGTGGCTTCTCTAAATATGCCAAGTTTGACTTTGTGCTGCACGCACGCACATGCTGTGCCGTGGACCCCATAGAGAATGAAGACGACCGCAAGCAGGTTAGTGTTCCTCGTCTCACATGGGCGTATAATGGCTTTGTGTGGTGATTGCCCAAAGTGTTTCTCATCCACTCATTCTGGCCGAACTTAACCTCATTCTTGTTCCATGCCCGTTACAAGCCCTAAGGACACTGTATACCCATTGTCTGCTAGATCGCCATGCTCGTGTTTGTGCATAGCATGATCCTTTTGAATCTTCTTGTGCGTATGTGTTTGTGCTTGTGGGGTGTGCCATGCCCGTGTGTGCACGCACGTATGTGTTTGTGTGCGTGCGTTCTTGTGTAGGCGGTGACGACAATCAACAGCTTGCTGGACCGTGCGGATCGGTCATACCGACAACTGGTCAGCCACCGCGGCTTGTTGGAAGGACTCCTCGGTGGTGCTCACGTTGACTCAGATTCAAAGGTGTGTTTCGTACCTGATGATGGCTCAGGGCCAAGAATTTGATTGAGATGATGGAAAATTGCAGCGGAGAGATATCTTGCCTTGATGATGGTGTAGGGTTTTCTGTGTTTGGTATCGTTGTTCACTTTTATCTCTGCTCACACTTATCTGCCTTGTAGCATAGGTATGCACCGAATGCTTACTACCAGTAGGGAGGAAAGTGTCCCCCCCCCCCCCATAACATTGTATATCATGTGTGTCATTCAGGAGTCGGTTCCTCAAGAGCGGCAGCGAGCAACGCAGAAGCAAGATCAGCAACCGCCATCCATGCGCCAGCATGCTCATGGTGTGCACCCCAACATCATGGCGGTGTCGCACAAGTACTCGTCCGAATGCCGATCAGCGTTTGACGAGCTCAGTATGCTCATACAGGTATGTAGTGTGCTATACATTGTACGTCTCTGACGACTGTTTGCATTCTGTATACAGTGCCGGTGGTCTGACGGTGGAAAGGCCCCACCTGGGCAGGTACCGATGATGTTTGTTTGCGTATGCTATGCTGTGCCTCACTTGGGCAGATACTGATGAGTTCGGTTGTTTGTGTTGTGTGTGTGTGTGTGTGTGTGCCTTTACGCTGTGCAGAAAGTACTGGCGTGCCGCAAGGAGTTGATTGAGTATGACAATGCCCAGCAGCAGCTGGACGGTGTGGACCTGAGTGCGCTTAGCTCGGACCCGGACGCGCATCAACACCTGCCACGCAGCGTGGCCAGCCTGGTCAGTGCTGGTGGTACCCATGGTAACTGCTATGGCTGTGCGTCCGCTGCTGTCGATCACTGCATCACCATGCTGAGAGCTGCGGCACAAAGCACAGAAGTTCGGCCAATGCTCATCAGTGAGGTAGGCAACATCATCACCGTGTGCTCCTTACACGTTTTGTCTGTGTGTTGGGTGCATGCATGCTCAATTTTGTTCATGTGTGCTTGTCTGTGTGTTTGTCCGCAAGCTACTTTTTGTTGTGTTGCGTTTGCCTTGTTGTCCAACTCTTTCCCGGGTAGTGTACTGTGAGAACAGTTACGTGTATGTGGCCTGCTCATCTCTTCCACACCATCTATCTGTTGCTCTCTTGCACAGGGCCTGATTGGTGAGTTGATGGAGAGCAACCTGCATCTGGGAACACAGCAGACACGCCATCATGTGAAGCAACTGCTGTGCCTATTGACAAGGTGGGGGTTGCTGATTGATCTGCTTGCTTGTTCACTGTCACTATATTTGCATTGGAATTGGTTCTCAGCTGCCCTTTGGCGCATTGATCATTTAGTGCATATTTCGAATCTTGCATTTCTCTCCCAGTATGCTGATCAGTCACTAAATTGTGATCAAATACTTCTGAAGAAATGCTACAGAAACTGGTTCCTGAAAGTACCCTTTCAGCTGTGCTTCAATGCTGGAAGATCTTTCAGGATCCTACATCTGTTTATGTGCTCTTGATATCTTTGCGGCCTGCGGATGCGAACGCTAGTTTGTGTGTTTCTGAACATTCAAGCGATGCCGACGCGGATCCCGCGAATATTATATTATGATATCTTTGTGGACTCCAAGCTGGCTTCTCAACGTAATTTGAAATTATGTAGTCATCAGCGGTAGATTGTCCTCAAACCTTAGTGTTGTATCGTGTGTGTGCTGTGTCAACATGCAGGAACAACTGTCGTGCCACCCATGTCATGAACAAGGTGCTGTGTGGCCGTGTCATCGGCGCCATCAAATCATACAAGACATTGCCCAACTTGGTAAGCCAGCCCGCTATTGCTTCTTTCTGTCATTGATTGCTCTTGATAACGATGCAGTGAAGAGCTCAACCTGATTTTCCTCTAAATTGAAGAGTTTATTTTCATTAGTATCAGCGCCGACGTTTTAGTTTTTTTCTCATCCGATGTTTGTGTGCTTTGCAATTTTATGTTGCCAGGCTGGAGCTGTCCGTAATGAAATGGACTTGCTTCGCATGAGTGTTCACATGGAGGATTTGTGTTGGGAGCAACGCTTGAGATCAGGTCAGCAGCTGGTGCCCAGCATACATATTTCATTACCGGCATACTGCTGACAGATGCCTGCAGTCATTCCTTGTGATGGCTGTTGCTATATTCTACAGTTCTACACACACTTGAAAGAAGGAATCAAAGCGCTTCTGCTGTAATTTTCCGAAGATGTGATTGATATAGGCTGCAGCAAGCTTGGATCATAGCACGAGCGAATGATATGGGCCAATAGTGTGATATGCACATGTGTGAGTTGTGTTCAGTTTTGTGAGTTCTGCAGTTCTATGTGACATTGTATTTTCTTAGCTTCATGTCGGGGGAAAGGATTGGGCGAACGGGGGTGGTCAGTATAAGACACAGTTGACAAGACTGGCACTCACACAAGAAAAACAATATGCCTTCGCACACTGGGACCGTAATGACACAATCTGCAGCCAGTAGACAGCCTTAGCAAACAACTTTGGTTGTAACGGTATTACCGTAAGGGGGAAAATACCGTGATTTGGGCTCGACCGTTAGCAAGATGCACGCTATTTTTAGTACGCTGTTACCACGAGAATAGCTTTTACTTCGCGCGGTACAACCATTTATGTCACCATATACGAGATACAAGGTGAAATGCGTACGGACTATGCAATATTTGGCCAAAAAACGTACCGTAACGAGTTGGTCACAACGATAAATCAGCCCCCATATCGTTTTTACGCTGCAGCTTCAACGCTATTTGGGTGATCAAGGTACGAGTACCGTAAAAAATAGCGTTACCGTTGTTTGCTAAGGGTGTCTATTGTTGTAATTCTCCCTCTTTGCTGTGTTCTGGTCTATGTATTGTATGCAGTGTTCAAGCTGTTCTTGGCATCTAATTGCCTGCATAACCCAGTGGTGATGGACGCCGTCAGTCGACCATGCAGTACCATACTGCTTCATGTTATCAAACTAACATCAAAGGTGTGCACTGTTTAAATGCAGTTGTGTTTCAACTTCACGTAGTTCATCAGTTCACCAGTTGCCTGAGATGTCATAGTCAGTATCATCATACATACAACCTTGCGGCTAGTTCTGTTTGATTGCTAGATTAATCTAATAAGCAAGCCATTGGCCATACTACTATCTGTTTAGAGAATCTCAGATCCATCCGCTGAGACTTTGCTGCGGTGTGAAACGTTCCTGAAGCCAACGATGATGTGTGCATAATCACTATCCTAATGTAGCATATTGTCATGTAGTGCTGTGTGCTACCTCTATAGTACCGTATGATGCCTTGATGGTGCTCTGTGTATATACGAGTATGTACATACGCTTGGTGCATGTTGTTCTGTAGGACCAGGCACCGAACCAGACTCGTCGGGCACATGGCAGCTTACTGCATGCCAACGCCATGGAATGGCTGAAGAGGGATGGTGGTTCGCGCAACTTCACCACCTGGCAGAGATACTGCAGCACGGCCAAGGCGAAAAGTAAGTGATGTTGTGAGGCCAACTGCACTGTTCGCCTTGTGGCATCTGTTGTTTTTTTAGTATGGAAATGTGCCTTCGTGTATTGAAGCCGGGCTTATTCCTGTAGAAGCCGATGTCAGGGCTAGGCTTCTATTCTATGTCAACACTAAAACCAGGCTTATGTGCCGGTATGTTGCATTCTGTGCGTTGGCGTCGGTATTTTGTCTGTAGCAATGTGTGTTTGTACCCCCATTGTTTTATGTTCAGCTGAGGAGACTGTCACAGCCCGTGAACACTACTTGCTTGTTAAGTACAGTCAGCAATGGAAGCTCAAAGCTCGAAAGGGTAAGCTAAAATGCCTGCCTTTCTAGTTTTCATTTCTGGTGAATGTGGTCATGTCGTATTTGCTTATAGTTTTGTCTTTTTCGCCGCCGATGTGTGTTTGATTGCGCTATTGGCATCTCGGTCCTGAATGACGGCTCTCTCTCTCTCTCTCTCTCTCTCTCTATCTATCTCTCTCTCTCTCTCTCTCTCTCTCTCTTCTCTCTCTCTCTCTCTCTCTCTCTCTCTCTCTCTCTCTCTCTCTCTCTCTCTCTGTGTGTGTGTGTGTGTGTGTGTGTGTGTCTCTCTCTCTCTCTCTCTCTCTCTCTCTCTCTCTCTCTCTCTCTCTCTCTCTCTCTCTCTCTCCATATCTCTCTCACTCTCTCTCTCTCTCTCTCTCTCTCTCTCTCTCTCTCTCTCTCTCTCTCTCTCTCTCTCTCTCTCTCTCTCTCTCCTCTCTCTCTCCATATCTCTCTCACTCTCACTCTCTTTGGCTGTGCAGCATCGGAGTGGAACGCACAGGTCAGCCGTGACACATGGTTGATGCGGACACTATTCTGCTCATCCAGTCGGCATGCACGTGTCACTGCACAAAACATGATTGAGGCTCTCTGTACCGTAAGTGTGTTTGTGGATGGTGTGGATTTGCTCTTAGCGTGGATTGTTCATCCAATTCATCTTTCAGAAGTGCACCGGGAACAATGTAGATCGTTGCATGCAATATAGAGGTTAGGGCAAGGACGGTCTACGGCATCTTGCCATGCTTGGCCGATCTCATTAGCATGGTAAGAGACTACTCAGCTTCGCTTTTTCATATCCATGCTTGCAGCTTGGTGGCCGATGATTACAGATATATTCATGGAAAGATCGACAAAATGTTGTTCTTCGTGATCATTCAATGAACAATCTCTGAGGCCTAAAATCGTCTAAATGTTAGAGCAGTGTCCAACCATGTCTGCAGTGTTTGGCTTTGGAGAAATCCACTCTACCTTATGTTTTGGTATTGGAATAGCTGGTGTTCGCCAGTGTTGTTTATGTTTATGGCTATGTGGCTCTGCGGGTAAATGCCCTGTGCCCTGGACTTGTCGTTTTTGTGTGACCCTGTGTGTGTGTGCTTGTATGCTTGTATGTTTGTATATATTTAGGATGATGATCGTCGACAGCACATGCTAGATCTGATGATGACGTGAGTAGCATGTAACAGCCTGATTAAACCTGATGCTGGTTGTACAGGCGCACGGAATCTTGTGTATTTCGTACTGCTCGTGTGGGTGCTCACATGTTTTATATGTCTGTTCTACCCATGTCTTTGCATTGTTTGCTGTCTGTTTGGGAATGCCTCCTTGATTACTTTGCAACTGTGTCCATGATAAGTTTCGTGTCTTTATTTTATTTGCCTTGTACAGGTCGCTGAGTGAGCTATCACAAGCCGCGCAGAATGGCCGTGAGTTCATGACGCTGTTCCATGAGCTGCTCCGACCCCTCGAGTGGAAGTTGTACTTGACTGTCCGCGGCATCTTGCCCCGCTTGGCCGATCTCATTAGCATGGTAAGAGACTACGCAGCTTCGGTTTTACATATCCATGCTTGCAGCCTGCTGGCCGATGATTACAGATATATTCATGGAAAGATCGACAATATGTTGTTCTTCGTGATCATTCAATGAACAATCTCTGAGGCCTAAAATCTTTTACATGTTAGAGCAGTGTCCAACCATGTCTGCAGTGTTTGGTTTTGGAGAAATCCATTCTTCCTTATGTTTTGGTATTGGAATAGCTGGTGTTCACCAGTGTTGTTTTTATATGTTGCTGCCCTTTTTCCCCATTTCCCATCTTTCTTTCTGTTGCACCTCTTGTTTCTGCACCACCATGTATTTGCAGGAGATTGCCAAATTGCAACAGCTGGAGGAGACTAATCTTGGCTCTGATTTGTCACAAGGAACTGCTCTCAAAATGCTCACAGGTAGGCAGTAGGTACAATGGCATAAGGTGCTGTCGACGAGCCCTGTGTGTATGTAGTCAGAATACCCCTTTTCTTCATAACGCCCTGCCTTGATTCATAGCCACTGAAAGGATACGTCTATGGTTAGGTGCAGCTAAAGCCATGCTGTGTGAGAACCTTAGTGTGCTAGGGTCACACATGGCCCAGTACTGCCTCACTGTTCGTATGTAGAATGTGCTGCCTCGTGAAGAGGGAATAAGCAATGTACCAAATCCAAGCACGATACTGATCCACACCAGCTAGGCTTGCCCCGCTTGGCTGATCTCAGCTGCACTTTTACATATCCATGCTTGCAGCTTGCAGGCCGATGATTACAGATATATTCATGGAAAGATCGACAATATGTTGTTCTTCGTGATCATTCAATGAACAATCTCTGAGGCCGAAAGTCTTCTAAATGTTGGAGCAGTATCCAACCATGTGTGCGCTGTTTGACTTTTACACTCCCTATCAATGGATTCGAATGAGAGGGGAAGAATGTAGAAAATTGTGCGATCTTAGGTGGATTGAAGTACGAGAACAATTGACTTAACGTCCAGGCCTCATAAGTACAACAAAATTCATAAGTATCCCTATGTGATATCCTTTCTTGGATTAATGCATGCGGTCATAGAACAACATAAAACGGAAGAAAGCGTTTTGACCCACAGGCTGACATAACTTTTTCGTTGCCTTGTGTTTGTTTCACAGAGATGCTGGCAGAGTTCCTGAAGTATGAGCCCATCAAGCAACGCTTCAAGTCTCGTCTGGTTGGTGCGGTACTAGACGGATATCTCAATCTTAGACGGTACGTCCAGATTGCAACCTCAACACACATCCCTCCTTCAACTCACCAACCCTTTGTACAGTGTATTATGTCGTCGGCACTCTCTATTGCCATACAGTGTTTATGTCCACGGCGCTCTGTAACATCTCATTGTCACAGGTTACTCAACTTGTTTTAATGCAAACTCAAGGATATGTTTGCACAAGATCTGCGCCCCTCTGTCCAGCAAAAAGGTCATGTTTTTTTTTGTGGGCAAATTATTGCTGATGTTCCTCCTCTTGTTGCTCGTCTTTGCAGTTTGATTATTCAGCGCACTAAGATGGTGGATGAGACGCAGGAGATGCTTCTCAAGCTGTTGGAAGACATGACGTCCGGTTAGTACACAATTGCAATGCCTAGTTATGTATCATGCCAGATATGTGAATGTACGGTTGAGGTTTTGTGATGGTCATGCACGCACACAGCTCATGAAGAGGAGAGAGGCGGTGAGTGAGTGAATGAATCAGAGTGTGTATGGGTGTGGGTGTGTGTGCCAGACAGACAGGCAGACACACAGACACACAGACACACAGAGAGACAGACACACACACACACACACACACACACACACACACACACACACACACACACACACACACACACACACACACACACACACACACTCTCTCTCTCTCTCTCACACAGAGAGACACTCACAGAGAGAGACACTCAGAGAGAGAGAGAGAGAGAGAGAGAGAGAGAGAGAGAGAGAGAGAGAGAGAGAGAGAGAGAGAGAGAGAGAGAGAGAGAGAGAGAGAGAGAGAGAGAGAGAGAGAGAGAGAGAGAGAGAGAGAGAGCACAGGCACAGGCACAGGCACACAGAGACAGAGTCTATGCGTCTTTCTACGTGACTTAGATTAGTTTGGGTTGGTTGCTGTAGTGTGTTTTTGTTGTATATGTTCTGCTGCTCGTATGCACTTCTCGTACTGCAGGAACTGAAGAGGAGACAAAGTCATTCATGGCCATCTGTGTCAAGACGCTTAGCAAGTAAGGATGATTTCAGGCCTTCTTATGACATTTGTGCTGGAGGTCGTTTCTGCATAACATCACTACTGTGCCAGTAGGAAGATGGCAGTGCACTGTTGTATCTTGGCTGATGGTTTGGCGGCCTGTACAGCACATTGATTGATTCCTGCTTCATTGCTTTGGTTGAAACCTAAGCAGGCTACATGTCTATACAGGTCTATACAGGTGTTGACCTACTCTTACATTGTGTTTTTCACAGATATCCGATGAATGACCTTCGAACGCCAGTGATCATCTTTGAGCGACTCTGCAGCATCGTCTATCCAGTAAGTGCACATCACCACCATTTCGGTATAGCCCAGGGAGTGCTATGGTCGCTTGAACCACTTTGGATGTGACGAAAAGAAGCTTTTCTGCTTTTTTCTGTTCTACATTATTGTCTGACACACCAGATCTGGTAGTTCGGGTAGTTTTCTGTCTATACCGGGAAGAATGTTGAAGCTAACGGGTGGTGGGGGGGGGGGGGGGGGGTATAGCTATGGCAGAATGCTGTCCCATTTCACCGACCAAGTGTAGTCTGCGTTTGCCTGGCATCGGATGATGTGAATTTCTGTTCTCTACCGTGTGCGTGAGAGTTCAACACATACTCTAATTTTTTCCTGACGATGCCATTGTAGATTCAAGTTCACGTGCATCAGTTACGAGCTCAACTTTGCACTGGTGAAACTGGGTCCATGTTGGCTAACACAATAAATGTACATGTATGTGATCACATGCTTTCTCCACTGTCACTCTTGCCAGGAGGAGAACGAGAACACAAATTTCCACCTCATGCTCGAGAAAGACCCACAGCAGGAGGAATTCCTGCAAGGCCGTATGCAAGGCAACCCGTACAGGTCAGTTGATCAGCTTGTCTGCAGTATGTCCTAGAGAGATCATGCATGAAGTTGAAGGCTGTCATTAGACACCCTTAGCAAAACACGTTATGTTGTAACGGTATTATCGTAAGGGGGAAAATACCGTTATTTGGGTTCGACCTTTAGCAAGATGCACGCTATTTTTAGTACGCTGTTGCCACGAGAATAGCTTTGATTTCGCGCGGTACAACCATTTTTGTCACCATATACATGATACTTACGTGATACAAGGTGAAAAGCGTACGGACTATGCAATATTTGGCCAAAACACGTACCGTTGGTCACAACGATAAATCAGCCCCCAAAACGTTTATACGCTGCAGCTTCAACGCTATTTGGGTGATCAAGGTACGAGTACCGTAAAAAATAGCGTTACCGTTGTTTGCTAAGGGTGTCTATGTCCTTGTTTGTCTACCAAGCCCATGTAGCTGGTGTGGTTGGGTATTGTGCTTGCGTTCGGTACATTGCCGGTTCAAATCCCACATTTGGTGATAGATGAGTTTATTTACGTCTTTTCTTATTTGGAATGAGCTCTCTGATGATGAGTCTATGTGATAATATAGGAATTGCCGTCTGAATTTCGGATTGACGACATGCACACTCTGATTTGAGCTCATTTTTTCTTTTTTTTTCTACTTGTCTTCTTTTTCCTGGCCCATGGTTGTGTTCTCATTGTTGAGTTTTTCCTAGTACCGTATTTTCCGGAATATAGTGCGCAATTTAGATGTGCTATTTTAGGCCCTAAATCGCAGGTGCGCACTATGCTCCGAATATGAAATGCATGTACTTCAATGAAGATTGAAGTGCGCACCCCCAATGAAGATTGGGGGTGCGCGTTATACAAAGGTGCGCACTATACTCCGAAAAGTACGGTATGCTGTTTTGCATTGCCCTGTATTTTCTGCAAGGTGTGCAAAAGTATGGCCCTTTGCCCTGAGCAGCATGTGTTGGTGTGTTTGAAAACTCCTTTCTTCCTTCAGCTCAAGTGACCCAGGTTTAGGGCCGCTAATGCGTGATGTGAAGAACAAGATCTGTCGAGATTGCGAGCTTGTTGCACTTCTGGACGATGATGCCAGCATGGAGGTATGTCTGGAGCTGCCTTGATCTCTTTTTTCATTCCATGGTGTATACTGGACCTGTAAGCATCCTGGGATGTTGTGTGGCTTGACGTATTTTCCTCTCTCTTGTGACAGTTACCTGTTACCAAGAGTAGATAAACAAGAGTGTGCAACTCCAGCTATGGGGTCTGCGACGGCAGAACTTCACATCACGTGATGAACCCGTGCACTCTAGTGCATGATAGATACTGGGTTGTACGCAGCCCAGCTTTGGGTACAACTCTCTTGTGGTCACTTTGCACTGTTTGCCAGCATAACCTTTTGAACCATGTCACGTGATGTGAAGTTCTGCCGTCGCAGCACAGCATAGAGGTTGTGCAGGCAGTTGCACACTCTTGTTTATCTACTCTTGCTGTTACCTCTGTGTGCTGGTGTACATTTCCAACATTCTGCTTTCTGCTTTCACTGCATTCTTGCAGCTTCTTGTACGTAACAAGATCATCAGTTTGGACTTGCCCGTGAAGGAAGTCTACAAGAAGGTCTGGTGTGACGGTGCAGATGTAAGTGGCCGCTCCCCTCCCCTTTCTTTAACCTTATTCCTCTCTTTCTTCTGGATCAAATTTGTCTATGTTTATGGTGCTGTTCTTGAACTTGCAGGCTTTCAATTTGTATACTATGTTGCAGTTCAACTACGAATTTAGTTCTCCCGAAACTCCTGCTAGATTTTGTAGCTTTTAGAGCATATATCCTAGCCTACTTTTTGTCTTTCTGCCATGTTGTTAATTTTGTTGTTTGATGTACATGTATGTGTGCTCACACTTGCCTTTTGTGCCATCTCAGGGTGCTGCTAGTGAGAAGGTGATGCGTGTAGTGTATCGAATGACTGGTAAGCCCCCTCTCTCTCTCCCCCCCCCCCCCCCCCCTCCCCGCCCTTTCACCATTGCCATTTCTTCGTCCTGATCATGCCTTGTAGTTAACCCTTTGTGACCCCACTGAAAGACAATTTACTCACCTCCAAATAACATGCACTTTCGCTTGTATCTCTGCCAAACATTCACCGATTTTTACAAACTTGCCACCGCTGGAAAGGTATTTCCAAGACGAAGCGACTAATACCACACTCAAGACAGCTACCTGCACGGCCTCTGCTCTGCGTGGCCTAGAATGCCGCTCAAAACGGCAGCCGTGCGCGAATAGCTCCAGCAAAGTTCAAACAGCCGCCATTCCATTCTCCTTCATCACATCGACTTCAAATAAACTACAGCGGAAAGCTCGTTTCAAGCGAAACATTTTGGTGTGTAGCATGCTTGAGTATGACGTAGCACTCAGGGGAAAACCCCTGCCAAGTGCAGTGTGAAAATTTGAATTTTTCGATCGGAGTGAATTTTTCAGTTTTCCGCCGACCTCGAGTCTCACCACGGCGGCATCGTACCTCGTAGAGACTTCGGATAACTTCGACGTGATAGCCAAGGTTCCTCTCGAGACGTAGATGCTTTGTTTATGAAAATCGTGGAACGAACACCAGAGATATATTATTTTTAGTGCCACTGTATACCAATCGATCGATATCGATCGATGGGGTCACAAAGGGTTAATGTATGTGTATCATAAACCAGTGCATGCACTCTAAATCAAAGCCTGGCATCGAATGATGTGAATCTCTGTTCTCTACCGTGTGCGTGAGAGTTCAACACATACTCTAATTTTTTCCTGACGATGCCAGGCGCAGTGTTTTTTAACAGCTCACATGCCCAGTAGTCGTGATAACCATGGCAAATAATTCGAATATCAAGATCTTTTCGTTCTACTCTCTTGTGTACGTAGGCCTACTGGGAGATGCGACCGAGGAGATTGTCAAGACCCTCGGCTCTGGTGCCGGTGACGGCAGTGACGATGAGGAGCTCTTCCGGATGGCGTCCGTCCTTTGCGAATGCGCTGGTTTGGAGGCCATGCTTGCCAGGTAAGGGATCAATGCTGATTTCATGTTGACGTACGTTTCTCTCGCTTTCTTGATGGTATGGCAATCTTATGTGGCACTTTTAAAATTGGTATTGTTGCTTGATTGCTACCCTGTGTTCATGCGTTTTGCTTGTCTGCTCTTTTGTTTACCTCTTCTCCCATTCTATATTTGTTTCTCTACTAGACTTGAACATCTGCCAAACTTGGTGCGTGGCCAGCAGATGTTGCATGCTCTGCTCAAGCTGTTTGGCTATGCCCTGAAGCTGAAGGTACGTACTCTAGCTTACCCCTTGGCACATGCACTCTCTCATGTCAGTGTTGTTGGAGTATTCTTGAACATTATCCTCTCATTGGGGGGGAGGGGGGGGGGGGGGGCTTTCCATCCATTGTGTCTGTGCTTGTTACCGTTGCTTTTGGAACAGGTGCGTAATTGATGCACTTGTGCACTGGTGCATGTGTATAGTGTGTATTGTACTCTTTGAATGTGCTCTGAACACTAATCTGGTGCACCCGCACACACGCTCTCTCTCTCTCTCTCTCTTCCCATCCTACTGCCCATCTGTATAATATTACATTTGTTGTTACGCGCCTCTCTTGCTCTTGTAGGCAAATTGTCAGCATCTGATCGACCCATCACGACGTGCTGTGCCTATACTGCTTGCAACCCTCAACCAGGCACTCAGCTTGAAGCAGGAGTTTTGTAGCAAGGTAAGGAGAAGGGTAGAATAGGTATTACACCGTCTTGCAAAGCTTTGCCTGTGTACTGTAAGTGTGCATCAGTCAAACAAAGACCTTTATTTTGTTGCTGTTGGTCTGTCACTGTTATGTGGATGAATGTATTTCAATGTTTGTCCGAATACAGCTCTCCCGGTTTGTATATTCTAACTCCAGTCTGTTCTGCTGTCGGTTGTGTTACGTGTATGCATTGCAGGTGGCAGAGCAGGTCTTGTCCATTTTGGAGACTATCCTCCAGGAAGCTAGCCGATCAAAATCAGATGTAAGTCTGTGATTCATTAGTTTGAGGGAGTTTGGGGCTTGGGGACTAATGCCTTAGCCGATGCTGTGTAGCGGATGTACTGCTATAAGTGGAATCTTGTTTGTAGGAATTTAGCATGTCTTCTGTTGCATCTTCTCTTCCTTCCGTTTTCTCAGATGGCTGCGCTGACTGCGGAAACGTCGGAGGTCGGAGTGCTCCTTGGTTTCATCGAGAGCTCCTTTGTTGTAAGTGAAATGAACTTCAGAAGTATAACTGTGGAACTTTCTTCTGGGCATGCTGAAAGAGGCATTCATACTTTCATATAGCTTTATTCCCTGGAAAGAAGTTGTCTGCTGCCAGTCGATTTATACGTGCATTGTGTGTTGTCGTTGTGTGCTTTTATCTTCAGCGTACGCACACACCAGTCCTGCATGGTATGATGAAGGTCATCCCGTACCTGACATTTGGCCATGCTGAGAGCATGTGTGAGCTGATTGACCACTTTGTACCGCATCTCAACTTTGACGTGTAAGTACAATGTAGTGCTAACTATGGCTAAGAAGGTATCCTTGGTTTTGTCTGATCTTGTCACGGTGGAAATTACTGTGGTCTGTCCTGCTAGGAACTCTTAGGGTGCATTCTTAAATCCTCTTGGAAAAGTTCGAGAGCTGTTCTTACATCCTCTCCAAATTTTAGGAGGCTCTCCAAGGCTCTTCTAGCTCTCCAAGTTTCAGATGTGGTTGAAACTTGGAGATTCCTGGCGTTTGGGATCAGCGCATGCGAACTACAGCTAAAAGCCATGTGTTGATCACGAGTGTACGCTTTCCCCTTTTTGCATACGGACAATGCGTACTACACTGGTGACACTCAAGATCCCTTTGGTGTTTCATATTGCTTCATATGTGCAAAATATCTCCGAGAAGCTAGAGAATATAAGAACGCACCCTGAATCTCTTTAATAATGTGCCAGTTCTGGTTTTGCACTCTGCATGGACAATAGGCGGAGCTTATTGAGGCTGTGCTTATTTATTATTCTCTTTCTCTCTCTCTCTCTCTCTCTCTCTCTCTCTCTCTCTCTCTCTCTCTCTCTCTCTCTCTCTCTCTCTCTCTCTCTGTCTCTGTCTCTGTCTCTGTCTCTCTCTCTGTCTCTCTCTCTGTCTCTCTCTCTGTCTCTCTCTCTGTCTCTCTCTCTGTCTCTCTCTCTGTCTCTCTCTCTGTCTCTCTCTCTGTCTCTCTCTCTGTCTCTCTCTCTCTGTCTCTCTCTCTGTCTCTCTCTCTGTCTCTCTCTCTGTCTCTCTCTCTGTCTCTCTCTCTGTCTCTCTCTCTGTCTCTCTCTCTGTCTCTCTCTCTGTCTCTCTCTCTGTCTCTCTCTCTCTGTCTCTCTCTCTCTCTCTCTCTCTCTCTCTCTCTCTCTCTCTCTCTCTCTCTCTCTCTCTCTCTCTCTCTCTCTCTCTCTTTCTCTCTCTTTCTCTCTCTTTCTCTCTCTTTCTCTCTCTTTCTCTCTCTCTCTCTCTCTCTCTCTCTCTCTCTCTCTCTCTCTCTCTCTCTCTCTCTCTCTCTCTCTCTCTCTCTCTTTTGCTTTGTCTTTTGCTCTTAGGTTTGACGAGCACCAATCTGCAGAGGATGTCCTGTACATGGACTGTTTCTGTGGTATTGTTCAGGGAATTCAGGTAAGACTCTTCTTCTGTACTGACCATGCCATTCTGCTTGAATAGACCAACAGCTCTACAATGATGAGTACTTGAGTTTATATAGGAATTGCCGTCTGAATTTCGGATTGACGATACTCTACTCTCTGATCGGAGCTATTAGTACAATGTTCTCAATATTCTTTTCTATGTTCCACGTGAGATTTGTGCCTGTGTGTTCATTTGGTTATTTTTCGTGCTCTGTGTTTGCAGCCCAATGAACAAGGTGATCGTCTTAAGTCTCTGGTGCTGGAGCGTAGCATTGTGCAGCACTCGATTGAGCACATTCAACAGCATGTGCCGCATTACGCCGCAAGGTGAGCGGCTCAACATTGAGAAGTGCTGCTCAATTGTTTGCATTGTGTCTCTGTATCAAGCTGCGTACGGGTAGTTTGGGTGCAAAGTCAGGGGCGTTACTAACATACATTGAGATGATTCTCTTTCAACAAAGATCTGAAATGCACATGCGGATGATTCATGCGCAGCAAGAACTAGAATGTCTCACTTCCCCGTAGCCACTGACTGGGCTTGGCAGTTAAATATACTGACATGTACTTGTGTTTGACTTTCAACGCTACAGAGAGCAGGCCTACTGATCACCTCTGCTATTCTCTTTCTGTTCACATTCATGCGTAGTGCCGGTGGAACAGCGGACAAGGAGTGGAAAACGTTCCTGTCCAAAGCCTCCGTGCCGTACATCATGCGACTACTGACCGGCTTGTGCAAGGGACATAATCCATCTCAGGTCAGTACTATATCCTCCAGTGGTGTATGGCATTGCTCAACTGTTGCCTGTGTCAGAGCACTGTCGTAGTCAAGTAATGTAAGGATATCCAGTTGCTAAGTCAACATTGCCTGAAATGTTGCCACTAGCACTATAGGATCTGTTCCTGGCTGGGCAGAAACTTTACAACTCAGCCTGTTCAATCACAACACAACACACCTGCGCAAGCATGGCATTGGTGCTGATGGTGTTTTGTGTGTAAAGCTGTGGTAGGGGAAAGGGAATGGTCCTCACCTATGCTACAAAGTTTCTATTGTGGTATCTCTGTTTAACTGATGGTTCTGTCTCTACTGCTACTTGACTGAACAGGAATTAGTGTCTGCCATCATCCCGGCACTCCATCACATTGAACAGACGTCGTCGGAAGGCCACGTTGGCTCACTGGCGGAGAACGTCCTTGAAGTCCTGTGTGAGGATGCTGCACTCAAGGCGAAGGTCAAGGAGTGCCGCGATCACACTCGCTCCGAGAAGAAACGTCGCGCCATGGCTATGCGTCAGAAGCAGCTGAAGGAGCTCGGCATGAACGTACGTACCATGTCACCATCACCGCCTTTGTTCATCTCTGCTACTAATTGCATCGTTACCATGCCACTGACCTGCTACCTGACGTTTGTGATGAGCACTTGGACACAAGGATATATAAATGGACGTTTTCTTTTCTTTTCTTTCTTTTTTGTGTGTGTGTGTGTGTTTTCTAATCCAGGTGAATCAACATGGACAAGTTGTGGCCTCCGTGTCCGCTGTGGAGGTGGAGATGGCTGCGCTGGTTGAAGAGTCCGGTCTCAAGTGTGTCATCTGCCATGAAGGCTACAAGAACCAGCCAAAGAAGGTACGCTGCTCTCAACTTTCAGTGAACAGAGTTGTGTACAGTGTTTCTGATTAGAAACTGCGCACACATTGATATCAACGAACATTTTGGAGAGCTCTTTTGCGTTGTGCATTCAGTGAATGGGATGTGTGGAGTTGTGGTGTTTTGAGCACCCTCCAAGCTCTGCACAGCCCGTTCTGGTACCATAGCACCTGTCTTGTTCCCTGGTGTTTAGCTAGGGTAGTTTTCAGTCTATGCCGGAGAGACTGTTGAAGCTACACGCGGGGGGAGGGGGAATGCTGTCCCATTTCACCGACCAAGTGTAGTCTTGCTTTTGCCTGGCATCGGATGATGTGAATTTCTGTTCTCTACCGTGTGCGTGAGAGTTCAACACATACTCTAATTTTTTCCTGACGATGCCAGGCGCAGTGTTTTTAACGACTCGCATGCCCACCAGTCCTGTCCAAATACTTGGATTGTTTTATTTGTTTTTTATTTGTTTGCTATGTAGCCATGACACTGGCTTCGTCCTAGGCATTCCTCACTATGTTTGTAATGGTGGTGTGGCGTATGTCGACTAGCTCTCAGCCATGCTCTGCTTTTCCTTTCCTTTGCGTTCCCAGATTCTCGGTATCTACACCTTCTCCAAACGATGCCAGCTCGACGACAGCGAAGGGCGGTCTAGGAAGAACATGGTATGTGGATAGCAGCGTATCTTACTTGTGTTTGGTGACGTACTCATTCCATATCTTAGTCAACTGCCCAGTCAAATGTGATGCCAATGTATGTTGATATCACATGTGCTTTGAGGACTGATGCGGTGTTACGGCTATGGTACATTGAGCTTGCTGATAGCGCCTAGTGATACTGGTGTTGTCTGGCTCGTTTTGAGTCAGTCAAGGCTGTATCCAGCTGTTGGTACTTGTCCTCTCTGAGAGTTGGCTGTGCTGAGTTTTTGTAGCTCCAGCCTTAGTTTGAGGATGAACAGACTACATAGTGGTGCATGTTCGGTTGTTGCAGTGATTATTATGTTCTGACCAGTGCTTCCGAGGTCATTTTGCTGTGCTGTAAGGTCTTGTCAGGTACCTTGGCAGCCACAGCAGCTACAGGCAAAACTGCCTTCTCACTGGGGCTGTTGGCCCACGGCTATCGCCTACGACAAGGCTCTTGTATTCCCTATGTTCACTGTACTGTTTGCTGTTTTCCAAATTGTCTCTCACCTCCATGCAGGGATACTATACTGTGTCTCACTTCAACGTGGTTCACTATGAATGCCACATGTCTGCTGTTAGGTGAGTGACTTAGGGCGCGTTCGAATTGTCACTCTTTGACTTTTCGAGGAGTTTTGTTTTCCTGAAGAGGTGGCCTTAGGGGTCGTCGCAAAAGTTTTCTGTCGTCCCTGAAACGAACATCGTTCATTTCGTACTCGGACCCCCTCCCCTCCCTCTGAAACGAACACAGCTTGCTATGTTAGGCGACGAAAATCACATGCATGTACATGTCATATGTACAGTGTCGGTCGACTTGCGATATTGGCTCGCACCCCCCCCCCCCCCCCCCCCAAACGAATCATGTTCGTTTCAGGGACGACGAAAAACTTTTGCGACGACCCCTTATTGGCCTCTTCGGAAAAACGAGGCTCCTCGAAACTCCACGGAAGTCCACACCCTCACCCGATGGGAGAGGTGGATTAGTTCCGAAGAGTTTGGAATAGCTACGTCACGTAGTACATGGAGATGGTCGATCTGATCGGACGTCATCATCGCCATGACAATTCCACTGAAAAACTCTAAAAATGATAGAAACCGTTCTAATGGGACACTTCAACTAATCTCTTTTAAAACTTGTTCGAACAGTTGATGAAGAAAATTCGAACGCCCCCTTAGGCCTGTGGATGATGGTGCTGTACACGGTGTATTGGCGACACATTGGCGGCTTTCCTGTCAGTTTCGTGTGTGTGCGTGCGTGCTTGTGTGTGTGTGTGTGTGTGTGTGTGTGTGTGTGTGTGTGTGTGTGTGTGTGTGTGCGCGCGTGTGAACTAGGTGCCAAGCCAGCTATATTTGGGGACTGGGTTCATTGATGGCAAGACGCTGTGTAACTAATCATTCTGGTGTATGCGGACCCTGCCGTTGCAAATGGTTCTGCCGCTGTGTTAGCAACAGATTTCAGCCGTGGCTTAAACTCTTGCCTTCTGATTGCGTTTTCTTTTTGGAAGAATGGTGGGTGGAAAACTCGTGTTATATTCTTTCGATTTTAGTTGAACTCAAAGAGTTTCTTTTGCCTTCTCCTTTCAGACTTGCTCGTATTCGTGATGAGTGGGAAAGTGCAGCTCTGCAGAACTCCAACACAAAATGCAATGGTCTCATGCCTATCTGGGGGCCTTCTGTGTCCGAAGCATCGTTTGGAAACTGCTTAGCAAGGTAAGCATTTAAAAATGCCAAGTGCCGTGGAAGGCATGCGTTCATGTTTTCCCGCACGCACACATATGCACAACGTTATCCCTCAGTCACGTAGGAGCTGAATGATCCCACTTGAAAACTGTGCCTTTCCAACTGAGGAATAACGTGGGTATGAAATGTTCAATGCTGATTAATGAAATCTGAGCATGCGGGTCAGTGTTAGGCCCCAGAGCTGTGAACACACTGGTGCGCAGGGCGCATAGAATTTTTTTATGTAACTTGTGCGATAGGATCTCATTGAGGAGCACTCATACTTTGCTGTAAATACCTCCATTGTTTGCATTGACAATGGATTCACAAGAAAGAGCATTTCAACTCTGGTACTGATCCACAGTACTGTATGTAATGTACTAGTATGTTGATCCTTGCAGGGTAGTGGCATTCCTACGGATGCGGAAAACTCGGCCTCTAGCCGAGTCACGCGAACCGTGAATTTTTTTATGTTGTACATTGTATGTTGAATTTCTTTCTCCACTGCTTTGGAATGGAGTGGCATTTGGGGAGAGGTTGTATTCCTTGTAATATCCTCGGTGCAGTTTTCACTCTACCTTGTTCTCATGTTTTATTGCACGTTTAGACACAACAACAACATTCAGGAGTTTACTGGTGTTCGGGAGCCTTCCTTCTCGTTTGTTGTGCACGACATTCGAATGCTGTTGCTGCGCTTTGTAACTGAGCGCTCGTTCAGCGACGAGAGTGGTGGAGGTGGTCGTCAGAGTAACATACAGTTCATGCCCTACATCATTCAGATTGCACTCTATATCATTACAACGTAAGGCTGCGCAGCGTGTTGTCGCCTAGTTTCATGTCATGTGCAGTTTAGCTGAACTACTGGACATCTATTCCTGCTTCTTTTTTTACTGTATGTCAACTGTTTGTTGTGTCCAGTCTGGGGTATAGGCAGCAGCATTGCTCACCTCACAGTGATCTTAGCTGTGCCTTTGGGCTATACCGGATAGTGTACGCATGCGGTCTAGGCATCTAGTGCAACCGATCTAGCGGTGGTTCTATTTACTGTGTGCTGCTGCTAGTCAGTGAGTGTGACATGCTCTGAGTTGGCACTGGATGCTGCACTTAGACCAGACACCCACCAGACACCCACTTGTGCAGTACCAGGCGTACATGTGTTTACTGTGCGTGTCTTTATTCCACTTGTGCGCGCGTGTGCTTCAGAACGAGACGGCAAGCGCACGAAGTCAGCCAACTGGCCTCCTTTCTGACCGCTGACAAGAGCAAATGGGTGTCACTGTGTCACAGTGTTGAGAGCCCAGCATACTACTTAGTACTGGCTCTCGTACTGCAGACGCCCAAGGCCTGGAAGGCCTGCCGACTGGACATACTGCGTAGGCAAATCCTGTATGCGCATGCCCGCAAGGACTCTACTTCACCTATCCAATGGTACGTTCTGATACTGCTCCGTACTGTAATCCTTATCCTCCTGATGGTCGTACATGTAGATAGTAAGGACATCTTGAGGAAGTTTCCTTGTGCTTTCAAAAAATCAAGCCATGGTTTGCAGTCTTGATGGGTGGGCCATGGATGCTGTGAGGAAGCAATGACCTGTGTGCTTTCTGGTTAGAAGGTGCTAGCCGTGATTGTATTTCTCTCTGTTGCCAAAGCATGTCAAATTCCCGTCCGTGACGTCAACGATGGTTGGGGCCAACGCTTTGGGAAAGTAAATTCAAGTGGAGTGTTCTGGTGCATTCCATTCTGCTAGAGCATGTGTAGATTGTTCTGAAAATCTTCACTAAACCTCTACTTTGTACATGTATTCTCTGTACTGTAGTAGATCTGTTGTTAACAATTAATAATGTTGTGTACTGGTAGCCCATTGCTGCATTGGTGCTACATGTAACGGCGGTCTTTGCCGCTGGTGGCTGGTCGTTCTAGTCTCACATGAACAGATGGCTGCTGGTGATAGGCATGCGTACTATGTGGCAGATCTTCTTTTTCTTCTTACATGTACAGCGAACTGCAACTTGTTTGTTCTCTTGTCCCTAACCGTTCTTGTCTGCAGCTTGGCGTCATCTCAGCCACACGACTTTCAGGTCTACAAGCCCATGCTGTGTCTATTCGCCATGGTAGACCGATGCCAGGATCTCTTGAAGGTAAGAATAGACATCAGTTGTTGCAGTATTGTTGTTGTTGCAGTATTGTTGTTGTTGCAGTATGTTGTTTAGGTTTTCCGTGATCTCATAGTCCTAGTATTCTGTGAAGTAGCATGGCTTGTGGTCTAAATCTCTGTAGAGCCAGCTGAAATCCTTGTCATAGGAAATCACTGGAGGGCTCATATCGAATACTGTTTAGTCTCTATCCGTTTCGACTGACTATTCAACTTTGAGTCCTTTCGCGAACTGTGCTGCAACTTGCCGCCAAAGCATGTCAAATTCCCGTCCATGACGTCGACGATGGTTGGGGCCAACGCTTTGGAAAAGCAATGCTCTTGTAGGCATGTGCACTGGACTATGCTGTGAACGCACGCCATGTTTGTGCGCGTGTGTGAGTTGTCTATTGCAGGTGTCCACTAGATACAGCACTGAACTGTGTTTCTCAAGTCTCTTTGGAAAATGGGTTTCTATTGCTGCAGGCCTGAAATTCTTCGTGGTGAAGAACTAATTTGCTCCCTAGGTTTGTCTTCAGGCTCTGCTACTGTTTTTGGTGGTTTGTTTGTGTCTCGATTTGCATGATAGAAGTCCACTGTTGCTACATGGTTGTTCTTGTTGTAGGCAAATGTTGATGTCGGCGAGGATGAAGATTTCCCGCAGGCGTGGCTCCTCTGGATGAGGCACAACGACATGGCTGTCTTGGATTCATGCGACAAGGTAGGCAGCTTGATCTATTGCACTGTTAGTGCAAAGGAAAACCTGCATAAGCAGGGTGGAAGGTGATAATGCCACCACCACCTGTCCTGGAGGACCACTACAGCTAGGTCCATGGGATGTTATTTCCATTCCTATCACCTTGGTTAGGTAATGCAACTTGCCGCCAAAGCATGTCAAATTCCCGTCCATGACGTCGACGATGGTTGGGGCCAACGCTTTGGAAAAGCAATGCTCTTGTAGGCACCTGCACTGGACTATGCTGTGAACGCACGCCACGTTTGTGTGCGTGTGTGAGTGGTCTATTGCAGGTGTCCACTAGATACAGCACTGAATTGTGTTTTTCGCCGAAGGTCCCTTGATTGGCATGGCACACTGCCTTCGCAATGCGACTTGCCTGGATCACAGCCCACTGCCTTCATAGTGCGACTTTCCTGGATCACAGCCTGTGGTTATGCACCCCAAACCTGCAATCTATCACGTCTACACACCTATGTCTACGATTGTTTGATTTTAATATTTTAATATTTTAATATACATGTAGCGATAAACAGTGTAAGTGAAGCGGACATTACGCAAAGAACAAAGAGAATTATGTTGAAATCAATGTTCCTAATCTGTTGTGAGACTTTCCCTGATGATAGTCTCAAGAAAATCGATTAGGACCATTAATTTCAACGTATTCTCTTTGTTCTTTGCGCAATGTCCGCTTCACCTATAGTATTTATCGCTATATTAAAGTTATTGTCTCCTCGTCGCCGATTGTTTGATTGTTTGATTCATTCCTATTCCAATGTGGACCCGAAATGTTGTTTGCACGAACATTAGATCTCAGTTGTGCAGTCTTGGTAATCGAGACCAGCTAAATGTTCAACTGCGGCAAGTGATATCTAGTCCCGCTGTACATTGGCAGTAGCAACACTAACAGCTACCCGGCCTCACACTCACATAAGTGTGCACCGAGGTCTGGGTTTCTCTTGCCGCCTCCCCTGTAACCATGGTAATAGTTTGAACACTGTATGTGTGCATATCCACGCATGTGTGTGTGTGCGTGTGTGCATGTGCGTGTGTGTGTGTGTGTGTGTGTGTGAGGAGACTTGTGCCCTGTGCCTTTTCTCTGTGCCTGATCTGCTCCATTGGTACAAGTACATGACGTGTTGTTAGTCAGTTACCCTTGTGCACGCTGGAAAATGTATGTGCTTCCATTGTGTCTCCCATTCTTCTTGCTCTGTCTCTGCAGGTTCTTCGATACCTGTCGGAAAATTTGAAGAAGTGTGAATCGCTGGCAGAGTTCTGTAAAGAAGCTGGTGAGTGCAATGGCTTGCACGTGTAGCTGTGTAGCTCTGTCATTTTGTACATAATTCACTTGCATTTGCACTGGCCGGCATCTTCCCCTGCTTTTAGACCTTTTCGTGAACAGCTTCTACTAAGTTCTAGTTCCTGAAGAGCAATGTTCGCTGCAACCAAGAGTACATAACCCCCCAGAGTGTGCAACTCCCACATACCCTGCTGTCCCAACAGAATTTCAAATTGACGTTATTATTTATGACGCAATGCTCCTTGCACCAGTGATTTACAACATGTGTACGGGTGTCAACGCATCACACGTTTTTCTTTGCAATAATTTGTACAGGATCGATTGGCTTCGGTCAACCACAGGTTCCGGATTCGTCTGATAATCCGTGTACAGTGCGGCATTGCATCATCAAAATGATGGCGACTTGAAATTCTGTCGGGACAGCACCCAGGGCCATACTGGAGTTGCACACTCTGGGGGGTTGTGTACTCTTGCTGCAACTCAATGCTTCTCTCCCGTTCTCATGCGTCGTTTCTGTACAGGTTTGCTTCAGGACGTTGACAACCCCGACGAGTTCTTGAGCAGTCTGTTGAAGTCCTGCGCTGCTCAACAGTAGTAGCAATCAGCAGTGCCCACCTGGTCACGCACTGCTAACACACATATTGTCTGTAGCCCTTTTCCCGTATGTCCAAAGATATCCTGCATTTATCTACAGTATTGTACCAAATGTTAGTATTCATCTTGTTCAAGGGCTTGCAGTCAACCTCTAGCTCTGCATACACCTTTGAAACCGCTTATAATAGCATAAAATTAAATTTTGATTCTTTCCGAAACGAAACATGAAATCATCCACGCTTTCCTTTTTGAGCACATTAATTTTTATGAAACGCTGCTCTGCCACATACATGTGTGTTCCTCGCAAGAAAATAGTTTAGTCTCCAGCTGGTCCAGCACACATTCCTAGGTCCCATAAATGATTCACTCATGATTATTCTTATTACTTTAGCTCTCAGCACTCGTATGTGTGCATGTGTGTGTGTGTGTATGTGGTTGTGCATGTGTGTGTATCCGTGTTTGGCTGTAGTCGTGTACATGCGTGTAGTAGGGTACGGTAACTAACATGTACTTACTGGTGCGTTTGCCTCTTGCTTAGGATTTTTTTGCATCGCCCCATTTCTCAGATTCTGTGTCTCCACCATGTGTTTGTTTTTGAATTCCTCTCGCTTATACTTTCCCCGCTGTGTCCACCTGCTGTTGCTGCTGCTGCTGCTCTTTCCGCTGGTGCCGGTGCACTGCTGTACGTTGCAGATAGCAGCCCTGTTCACCATTGTCCTGCATACACAGTTACGCATGTGCGTGTTCTCTCTGTTTCATCTCCGGTCCTTCCCTGTGCTCTGCGGTCCCTGTGCCTGTGTGTGCCTGCTGTGTGCGTGTATGTGCTCTTGGTTGGATCCTTCCGAACACGTCCCAGCAAGAGTACGAAACCCCATAGAGAGCCCAACTCCACTATGGTATGGTTGAAATGGTCAAAATAGCGGAGGAGATCGCATCCGTGGATTCAGGATTTTTCCCGGGGACAGTACAATGCACAGTTTGTAACACCGTATCACCCAGTGAGTATTAAAAATTTAAAATACTGTACTGTAAAAGCAGAACTTTTCGGTGGTGTAATATCTTCAGTATTCTAGCTCAAAAATCGAGGGTTCCGTGGAGGGAAATTTTCGGTAAACCAGTTTTCCAGTACATGTACTACCATAAAATCCCGCCAGAGCGCCCCGTCTCTCCCATCCGCCCCTCCCTGACTTCTTGTCAGGGAAGATTGATTGTATCCTCGTATTACTCTGCAGGGGCGTAGCAGCCGCTCCGGCCGGACCACTTTTTCGCCCGACCACGACCACCACAGTAAAACAATGCCAAAAGTGCCCAGAATGCAGGATTTTGCACCCTAATTTCAAAATAATTCCGGGGGCAGATCCCCCCCCCCCCCCCCTGGCCGGACCACCGCCAACGGCGGTGCTACGCGCCTGCTCTGTGATGCCGTACTGTACTGCAGACGGGTGCTCGATCCGGTTGGAAATGTACGCAACAGTGCCCACCCTATTGACCAGGGATCGCACAAACCCTGAGGTTGAGTCTGTACGACTCCTAGCTCTTGACCTTTGGTCGGTGTACGAGATTCACGAACAGTTTTCGTAGGGTGAGTACTTTTTCATGTAGTACTGAATGCGGCAAGTAGCCTGTAGGGCTGTGTTTACATGAAAAATTTCAACCCGGGTCGAGTTCAGCCCGGGTTGAAAGTCTGTACGATACTCGATAGACAAAAGAGGTGAGCGTTTACACGAAGACAGTTGACCCGGGTCAAATACTGATATGCCGCCAAAAGTCCACTTCTACAGTTCCGCATAGTCACGTGAATCCTTTCGCGTGAAATTTGCATGTACAGTGCTGTTCAAACCTGGCGGGAGATACGCACAGAAGTACGTTTGTACGATTTTCTTGACCCAGGTTGATTTCAACAAGGGGAGGGTTGAAATCAACCCGGGGCGAAATTTCAACCCGGGTCAAGCGCAATGCGTCATGTAAACGCGCCATTCATTTTGTGCACATGGCGGGTTGAAATCTGACCCGGGTCGAACTCAACCCGGGCTGAAACGCTTCACGTAAACACGGCCTAGGACTCGCCCATCCGCCCCTCCCCAACGAAGCGCGAGCAGGTAGGGGCGCTGATCAGGCGGGATTTTACGGTAGTACCGAAGTTTTCGGTAAAATTGTCGTTACCGAAAATAAAACACCACCGAAAAGTTCTGCTTTTACAGTAGTGTACGATCTAGAATAGGAGGATTAACAACAGCTGATATACAAGGAGTTCAGTAGTTTGACGGGGGTGGCCACTTCACTTTGTTCCCAAAAAGTTATACAGTGGAGATTGGATATAACAACCTTGGGTATAACAACCTTGGGTATAACGACCTTGAGTATAACGACAAATCGAGTTTAGCGACATAATTCTGTTGCCCAAGTCGTTTAGCAAGTCCTTTCTGTACATTATAGATCGGGTATAACGACCTCGAAAATAACGACAGATCGAATTTACTGACACTTTTTTGGTGCCCGAAGACTTGAAAAACAGTGAAAATACATCGGATATAACGACTTTCCTCTTGTATCAGGCAGACTGGCATGTCAGCAACATGGTACATGGCTGTGCCACGTGCCCGGACCTCCGGGTCACTCTTTACAAAATGTGATTGCACGTTGAAGCCGCAGTGTAGCGATGCGGGATGACTTTACCTTGAACAATGCATGCAAGACACATGTACAATACACATCTGTTATCCACGTCATGCACATGTTTATCTACAATACATTCCTGTCATTTTGATATACATATTGCATACTAAATGTGAAGATCGGGTTTAGTGACAGATCGAATATAGCGACATTTTGCTTTCTCCCGAAGGAGTGTCGTTATATCCAATCTCCACTGTAATTATGATCAACCTGTCATCCTGAATGATACGTGAAAAATCAAAATCAAGGTGGAACGGCTAAAAGCTGGATTGAAAAGTTGCTTGCTTCATTTCTTTCGTGCCAAGGTGAACTAGGACTGGTGCCCATGATTCAATGATAACAAAATAAAATGAAAGTTTAAAAACCGAAATTGTCCATGCTGTCCAGTAGAGTGAGTGTTTGATGCTCAATTCATCCTTTTCCTCTTGTTTAAAACAGTTCAAAGAACAACATTGAATGGCTGAGTCTGCTTTGACGCACATCCAGGTAGAAGACAGACTAGGCAATATTCACTGGTGTATACACTTCCGTAGCTATTGAAATCCGGTGGAGTAACCGGGGCCGGCGCCCTTATTGCTGTAGCGCTGTAGTTCACATACTGTTCACATACACACACTGCCATCAACTCCCCCATTCACCACTGCCCCACGGCAATGTGTAACAGCCCTACTAACGAATGAAGCCCAGGCCAGGCCAGGGTGGTCGTGGTTGTGGAGTGATGCGGAGCACAACATGTCACCTGGCCATCGCATACAGCCGTTCAGCAAATAACGCATTGCTTCTCGTCGTCAGCAGCTGTTGTTGTTGTGGTCTTGGATATGGCTTTCTCCACCCTCTCATCCTCCTGTTGAGCCCTGCAAGACAACAGGATATACATGGTAGCATGGAGACATCACAGAGACTAGTGCTACTTCTACCCTTCCTTACAAGTAAAGTGCGCCGTATCGGTTATAGTGTGGTCGTGCAAAAGAAGATATAGCCTACAAGAATGAACTCTCATGTTTTCATAATCATAACATGGGTGTCAAGTGCATATTAATTTTATGCCATATAATCCCAATATTGCTCTTTGGAGAAATCTGGCAACGTCCGAGCAAATTAAAATCTCTCAAAATTGGCTGATGTTCAGTCCCACTGTGGCTTGAGATGTTGCAAGAAATTAGTAAATATACAAAATGAATAAAGGATGGACTCCACTACACTAGTCTCTGTTGCAACTCACATGAGTGCAGGACCGGAGGAAGGAGTTTGGGAGTGGTCCGGCCAACCTTTGAGGGGGGGTCCGGGGGACCTCCCCCGGGAGAAATATTTAAAATTGACGTGAAATAAAGCGAATTTGGGCATTTCTAAGGCTCCAGAAAATGCAGAAAATTATAGTAAAAGAACACAAACACAACTTTTTTTATCCATATCAGCCATACAGTGCCGGTCTCGGAGTCCTGAGCTACTTCGAAGCACATCACACGTCGGCAGTACAGTCGAGTCATGTACCTCTGGATTTTTTACACCGGTTTTGCACGAATCACATGGACCATCCAGCTGGGAAAGTGGTCCGGCCATGGCTGGACCAGCCTGACCGGTTCCGCCGGCCCTGGAGTGGGTATGCGTGTGTGCGCGCGTGTGTGTGTGCGCGCACGCGCGTGTGTGTATACATGTGTGCATAACTACACACGCTCGAGAGGAATCAAAAATCAAAAATCAGAGTTACAGCAGAAACGCTTTTGATTCCTCTCAAGTGTGTGTACAAAGCTCTGCACCTTGGTGTATTGAGCACTGTCACGAGCAACCACAACTCCCTGCGAGTGTGTGCAACCACAACTCCCTGCGAGTGTGTGCAACCACAACTCCCTGCGAGTGTGTGCAACCACAACTCCCTGCGAGTGTGTGCATAACTACATAAACCCAAGGCTGCTTACATCACTTCTCTCTCGTGCAGTCGGTGTGCTACGTCGTCACGCTGCTTCAGCAGTATCTTCATCTCCGCCATCAGCTTCTCTTCCGTCTCAACGTGATCGGCGCTCTTCTTATGCTCTGAGCAGAATATCAGGATATCGGGATAGCCACAAGATAGTAACAGAAGCGTGAAACTTCAACTCTACATTATAGTGATAGCGTTGTGAGACTTGGGGAATTGTGTGTTGCTCCCTACATGGGAGCATGCGGTTTTCCTGCTGACTTGAATTCTCACTTGACTGACTCACGACTGCCATCCAGAGCACACGAGAAGTCCATCGAACCGTCCACTCTCTTCTTCACATTGTGAGACTTGTTATAAGATACAGTGTGAGCGCTGCACTAGGTAGTGATGGCAGTGTGAGAGTAGTGGTGGAAAACATCTTTATGCGCAACTGCACTGAAGCTGGATGCCCCCGTGCAGCGCTGGTGCTGAGAGAACTTGGATGTCGTGAAGGCAGAGCATAGCACACAGTACGTCTTGAAGTACAACATTGGACTATGTTTTTCGATTTTGACAGCATGTTACAAGGCGAGGACGCGTAGTGCTCCTGACTACAACCATAACCCTTGTAACATGCTGTCAAAATCGAAAAACATGTTAAACTACCAAGCAAGGCTTCTGTGTATATAACATTGGACTAGCAAGTTTAGTTTGTTGAAAGCTCTTCTCACATCTATGACAGAGGAATGTGATGCGACCATCAAAGGAGGTCTCGTACAGGGTGAAAACACACCCAAATAGCCTCCACCAACCGTACTACTACCCTCATATGCAAGAACAACCTCACTGCATCAAAGGAAGCTCTAACTGCTGAAGTATTACCCAGCTGTCAAAACGGGTGGTGCGAAATGCCGTGAATGTGGGCTTACCCTCTACTGCCATGAGCTGCCGTAGCTTCCTGTTGATCAGCTCAAATCGAGACTCCAGCTCAGTCTCCTTGCTCCTACATTGCAACCATGGAAACACAAGTACCAGAACAACATGACATAGTGTTCCGGGGTCGGCAACAGGGTTCGCAACGCTCTGGAAGAGACTGCCACCTGGTGCACGCTGAAGAGGATACCGACTACCGGTGGTATGTGTTTACAATAGACACCCTTAGCAAAAAACGTTATGTTGTAACAGTATTACCGTAAAGGGGAAAATAGCGTGATTTGGGTTCGACCTTTAGCAAGATCCATGCTATTTTTAGTACGCTGTTGCCACTAGAATAGCTTTTATTTCGCGCTGTACAACCATTTATGTCACCATACGCGATACAAGGTGAAATGCGTACAGACTACGCAATATTTGGCCAAAAACGTACCGTTGGTCACAACGATAAATAGGCCCCCATAACGTTTTTACGCAGCAGCTTCAACGCTATTTGGGTGATCAAGGTACGAGTACCGTAAAAAATAGCGTTACCGTTGTTTGCTAAGGGTGCCAATTGATTGCTACCTATACACGAGGATTTGATGTGATTGCTTTTGCTTGGCTGATCTTACAATGTGCTCATATGTACACAAGCAATGGAAAAAAATGGTAGAATGAAATTTTGTAAATCAGTTGCTGGAAGTTCCCGGTCAGCTGAACATCAGAAATCGGGATACTTTGTATTGCACTGCAACCAGAGGCAAGCACTGCCAGGCAATGCCATGCAGCTACCGTATACAGAACATGCACCTACACAAGATCAAGGTCCTCTGTCTGCCGGAAAAGGATATTCTTCTGAGCAATCAGCTGGAACCACTGCTGTGTTAGTCGAGCTGTTGCTTCTTGGTCACCTACAGAACATGGAGATAGATAGATAGAGGGAGAGAGAGAGAGAGGGAGGAGAGAGAGAGAGAGAGAGAGAGAGAGAGAGAGAGAGAGAGAGAGAGAGAGAGAGAGAGAGAGAGAGAGAGAGAGAGAGAGAAAGAGAGAGGGAGAGAGAAAGAGAGAGAAAGAGAGAGAGAGAGAGAGAGAGAGAGAGAGAGAGAGAGAGAGAGAGAGAGAGAGAGAGAGAGAGAGAAAGAGAGAGACAGAGAGAAAGAGAGACACAGAGAGAGAGAGAGAGAGAGAGAGAGAGAGAGAGAGAGAGAGAGAGAGAGAGAGAGAGAGAGAGAGAAAGGAGAGAGAGAGAGAAAGAGAAAGAGAGAGCGAGAGAGAGAGAGAGTGGGCATGCCATGCATGTAGTTTATGACTGCCAACACTATCCGGTGCAAGGACTGGAATTCAGGGTAAGCTGGACTATTCAGAAGCTTGTACTCCGGTATACAGTAACACCGAGATTACAGGGTAAGGGTAGAGAGGCTCTGTCCGACATTTGCTCATTTTTAAAACGTTTCAAAACTCAACTTGATGCCCCCCCCCCCCCCCCCCCCCCCAATGTTCTTACAATAGAATCCATGACGGCTGGTTGGTATGACAAACACTGAGCTATATCAGTAATAATTCATAAGTTGGAGGGGGTTGAAATGGGAGGATGAAGAAAATCATTACCCCTGTGTTGTTAACCTGGAGTGTGGCGAATAGGTTGCAAGCACAGCCTGAATGCTCCCAGCACTGATGTTCTTACTTGTACCGTAGACTGAATACCCTGATGCCTCTACTGTAGGCCTAGAACTAGATCCACCTGCAGCCACATTATTATGCATGTACCGTTTGAGATATTCGGGATCTTCACCATGTAGAATTCAACCATACACCACGCATGCGATGACACACCACACCCGCGATGAGACACCACACATCACACACCACACACCATACACCATACACAAGCACAGAGTGCAGTCATAACGCATACCGGAGCTCATTGCGTCGCGAAGCCGTTTCTCAACCCGATGACCCCTCTTGTCAAGTTCTGCTTGTTGCTTTTCTATCGTCTTGAGGCTGTAGTGTGCATACTCAAAGGTGTCCAAGAACTAGAGAAGCACACAAACAGGGCAATAGCATTGACGACGATGATGATGACAAGAAATCAATTCAGTTGCAACAGAAACACAACCTTAAAATCGCGTACGGAAATTGGAAACTTGATGCTGGAACAGTGTGACGTGATATACAACGTGGAGCAAAAGGCGTCGTACATAATTGTACATCTTGTTCTAGGACTTGTCCATCTGAGTTCTATGATATTCAGCACCCTTCATTCCACACAGAGCCCACTACACTTGCCGAGGGCAGAACTTTACAAAGGTCTCTAGAGTAGTTTTACTGATGAACTATTCATGATCACATGATCAGTGCACACACAGCCTGGCCTTGCCCAGGTATAGTAAGAAAGCACTCACGCCTCACTACATCTCGACTGCTCTGTGTGCAAGGACTTTCTGCGTACCACGAGTGGTGGCTAAATTTACAGAATATCTGTAGCTCCATGCAGGCCAATACAAGGTTACACACAGGGTAAATCCATGCACACAACACAAGGTTACACACAGGGTAAATCCATGCACACAACACAAGGTAACACACAGGGTAAATCCATGCACACAACACAAGGTAACACACAGGGTAAATCCATGCACACAACACAAGGTTACACACAGGTAAATCCATGCACACAGCACAAGGTTACACACAGGGTAAATCCATGCACACAGCACAAGGTTACACACAGGTAAATCCATGCACACAACACAAGGTTACACACAGGTAAATCCATGCACACAACACAAGGTTACACACAAGGTAAATCCATGCACACAACACAAGGTTACACACAGGGTAAATCCATGCACACAACACAAGGTTACACACAGGGTAAATCCATGCACACAGCACTTTTGATCGGAAGACAGGTTCAGCGCAACAACAGGTGACTTACATCCGATTCGGTGGTCGGCGATCTGGGAATAGACCGTGCAGCTGGTAACCAGCCTTCCATTTCACTGTCCGCCATCTGGGCACGAGGAGAGCAAGGGCACACAGACACGGTACAGTTATAAGAGTTCCGTGAACACATACATCGAAGTGCATGTATCTGCACGTCACCTTGATGAGTATGCTTAGCAAAATAGTAATACAAACTATGGATTTAAAAACCCCACACACAGTGGCCCAGACTGTCAGCTGATTTACATGTATGCGTAGCGTAATGTAATGATAAAGGGGTCAAGGTGACGAGGCGCTCTCATGGCACATGGCTGTGGTACATGCATTCACATCAAGTGCTACTCTTGTGCGAGGGTCATGTCATTCTGCGCTTATCACCTGTGTAAACAAACCAGTTACAGATCCACTTGGACCAACTGATCATTCATTGTACATACATATAGACATCATGAGGCACAACCTCCCCTGCAGCATTTCGACGTGGCATACGTGGCTACAAGCTAGCACTTACTTGGGCAGACTGGAATGTTATCTTCCCATCTTCCTGTTTCCTCTCTTCGGACAGCCGTCTCATTTTCAGTACCTCGTCCTTGGCTGACACCTGTGCCTGCTGCTGCGGACGTGCCACGGCCAGGGGCTTGCGTACACGTCTTGTCCTTTTGCCTTTCTGACCTGCAGCTGCTGCCGAGGCTGGAGCAGTGCTCTTGACATGTTCTTCAGCGATTGGTGGGCATACAGTGGTCTCAGCCTTCTGCGATGGCTCGCTGGTATCTTCCTCTTCCCCTTCAGCCTTCTTACGTTTCTTTTTTCGTTTCTTTTTGTGTTCACCTTCATTCTCGCCGGCGTTGTCCGAGCTTTTCTTCTTCTTTTTCTTTTTCTTCTTCACTGCCCCTTCGCCTTGCTCCTCTGTGTCAGCTTTCTTCTTTTTCTTCTTCTTTTTCCGTTTCTCCGTCGGCTGTGCATCTTCGCTGGTTGTGGTATTGAATGGATTGGCACGAGATGGCTGAGAAGGGTTGCCACAAATGTCGGCATCGATGTCCGTCTCTTTGGGTGAAGCCAGCGGTTGTTGTCGTGTCTGGTTGGCCGGGGCTGATACCTGCTTGGCAGCTGTACTGCTTGCAGATGTCATGGTGCTGCTGCTCGTGGTGGTGGTTGACGGTGAGACAAAGGCAGCGCCGGTTATCCGCTCCTGCTCTTCCACCACCTTTCTTGCTCTTGCTAGCAACTGCAGCTTACGAACAGCATCCTGTAAGAGAAGAAACACATCGCCATTTTCAACGCTGCCCATGTAATATTGTGTGACTGTATGAGCTGGCACCCTTCAGTTCTTAATCACAATCGCTACAGTCTTAGATGCCGCAAATCACTCGGGTGATATTTCCAAATGTTTGCCATTGGGTCCTCACTGGGGCCATTGGGTCCTCACTGGGCACTGGGCACTGGGGACGTTAGGAGCTGGCGCCCTTTGGTTCTTTAAAACATCACAATCACTACAGTCTTAGATGTTGCAATTCACAATCACTACAGTCTTAGATGCTGCAATTCACAATCACTACAGTCTTAGATGCTGCAATTCACAATCACTACAGTCTTAGATGCTGCAATTCACAATCACTACAGTCTTAGATGCTGCAATTCACAATCACTACAGTCTTAGATGCTGCAATTCACAATCACTACAGTCTTAGATGCTGCAATTCACAATCACTACAGTCTTAGATGCTGCAATTCACAATCACTACAGTCTTAGATGCTGCAATTCACTCGCCGTCGGGTAATATTTCCAAATGTTTGCCCTTGGGTCTTCATTGGGGATGGTACAGCTGGTAGCCTTCGCCATGCTAGTTTGCCGCAGTCTCTTTTTGCTGGCTGCAGTTCATTGATAATCATATGCAGGCATAAACGCATAGGTTGACAACAAGGGACTTACCGGGGATTCGGATTTGTAGTTTGCGAGGTCTGGTGTCAGCTTCACTGCTGCGGTACGTTTGGTAGGCCTCGGCTCGGATGACGTCATGCTTGGAGTCTGCAACAGTGTGGACAATGGACATACATACGTATATAGAGAAAGGGGTTGTAGGTAGATGAAACGAAGGACCACAGGCTGTGAAGTGCATAATTTTCTTATGCTGGAGACCAAGCACACAATCCACCAGTATAAGTTTGTGTGGCCATGACAACAGTCGATAACATACGGTACAGTTGTGTGGGTGCCATCTAACCCAAATCCGGTGAATATCCAGCACCCCGGACTTGCATGGTCCTTGACGCCCTAGACATGGTATGACTGCTGCTGGACGTGCAAATGTAGAACTACTGCGATGTAATACGAACTGGTCCATGGCATCAGTTTTGCACTTTGGGTCGTGTTTCACCGAACGCAAATATACCTTGATTCGGAATAGCAGGGATGGGGGAGCATGCATCCTAAATGTGAAGCTAGACCAAGTACACATTTAAGTGTTGAAAAGAGTGAAAAACCCACACACCTGCCAATTGCATCAATCAATATCTAACACATAGGAACAAGGAGAAACGTACACTGGACGTTTCTATTCAATGTTGCCTAGTTGAAGAGAAGAGTCCAGCTCATTGTTTGCTTGCCCTAGTTAACGTGTACAATGTAGTTGCTAAGCAACACAACACACTTTTAGCCTAGTTATCACCTTGGGGATATAGTGAGTGGTTTTGGGTGTAGCCGCAATGACTGAGCCACTCGCCGTGAAGCGCTCCAATTCATCGCTATCCTCCAAACGACCTGCAACTGCAGTAGCAGCAGCAGCAGAACTTGAACTAGGTGTTTGCTGAGACTTGACCTGCACTTCAGGACTGCTTCCACTGTCGTCGCTCTCAAGTTTGTCAAACATTGATTTCTTTACTGGTGCTGGCTTCACCTGGCTCGTTAGGGCATCAGGATGGCTGGTAGATTTCTTTTGTGCAGGAGTAGTTTCCTGAGGTATGGTTTCCTGTGCAATGGCGGTTTGTGCATCTTGTTGAGGTTGGAATTTCACAGCTGTTGAACTGCCGTTGGTCTTACTTCCATTGCCATTTTTCACCCCATCTTCACTATTGTCGCCGGCAATCTTTGCTGCTGCATCCAATGGCCTGTCTTCTTGCGCTGCTGCATCCCCGTCTTCTGCCGGTGCTGTGTCGGATGCTGGTGGAGGTGCTCGCTGCACTTTCCACTTGTCCGTACCCGTCACAAGGTCACCCTCGCAATCGTCGGAGGAGTAGTCACTACTGTCGCTGTCTTCAGAGCTGTCGGACGTGTACTCGCTAGCTGGAGAATCCTCCTGGCTTTCAGCGTCCGATGATCTCATTTCGGCCAAGATTGCCTGCTCGATTGCTTCACGGTTCTGCTTGGAGTAGTGTGACACTGCCGTAGCGCCATCAGATGTGTTAGAGTCGTTGCCGGAGAGGTGGATCTTCAGCTGAAATACATACGTCATGATGGATAGCTTGTCTGGCGCTTCGCAGTTTGCCAGCTCTACGGGATCTAGGACGCGCGGCACTCCGATGCTCTCAGCCGCTTTGAAAGCCTGCAACACAAACATGAGTATGCATATTACCGTATAATGACTAATAATGACACTAAACTCAGAACTCAGTGGTGTACATGAGTTGACCTATAGCTTCTATGGGTGAAGAGACATGTGGTCCTTGTGACGGCCACTGTATATGCCAGTAACTTATCAACACCAAAGAACTGAGTGTGTTTGTGTGTGTGTGTGTGTGTGTGAGAGAGAGAGAGAGAGAGAGAGAGAGAGAGAGAGAGAGAGAGAGAGAGAGAGAGAGAGAAGGAGAGCGAAAGAGAGAAAAAGACGAATGGGGAGGGAGAGAGAGAAAACACGGAGAAACGAAGAGGAAGAGAGAGAGAGAACATGCCAAAGATCACACTTCCCACCTTTTTGTTATTCTCCAGTACATCCAATGGAGACAGACCAGGAAAGTCACTGTTATAAACACAATGTATGTGAAATGCAAGCACACAACTCTGCTTAGAAGAGGTGGATAGCAATGAACGGACAAATGCACCTCAGAACAACATACGTGTTCACAGAGAATAGCTTAGTTTACTCGTACACACAAATGCAAGAGGACGTTTTGGCAGACATTTCATAAACTCTGCACACCTCACCATACGAACAGTCAATGAAGACCGTTGAAAAGAGTACAGTGAGTATCGTTTATAAAGTGACCGGGTGTAACGATATACCGGCTATAATGATAGAACTCGCCAAAATCAAAATCAAATCACAAAAAAATACAGCTAAAATATCACTATACACACTATTATCGGCTATACCGATATATCGCTTATTGTGATGGGCTTCAGGAAGCAAACCATATCAAATGCACAGGAAAATATCGTATATACTGATCAAGAGTGATGATACGAAGTAGTGGTTGCGACTTCGGCGATGATTTTGTAAGAAAGGTTTGCTCCCCACACCGGAGCTTGCGCTATTCCGCCGACTTTACTTGACACTTGGGGTGAATTCCCCGAAACACTGTGTATTGAGCAGGGAGTGGTGCTTTCTTGCAGGTTTGCCGAGTCGAAGGTTCGATGGAATTCTCGTGTGCTCTGGATGGCAGTCGTGAGTCAGTCAAGTGTCAAGTAAAGTCGGCGGAATAGCGCAAGCTCCGGTGTGGGGAGCAAACCTTTCTTAAGAGTGATGATCACAAAACAATTGTTCTTCAAATTTAGTTCATTTCTTCCAAAACTGATCCATTGTTGCATGGATGCATCTGGCAGCAGACGTGATTGAGAGAAAATTCTTCCCTGTATGCTGTAAGCAGCCACATGTACACGTGGCTGCTTTTCATTCTTTTTCCAGCATGTACGCATCATTTCATGCACAGTCATGTGCCATGTGTCAGTCATACATGCAAATCGGCTATAGTGATGCACCGGATATAGTGATAAATTATCGAAAATCAAAGGGGCACGTTATATCCACTATTTACTGTATCATTGTTTTTGCTGCAAAACAGAAGCAGAAGCAATTTGAGATATCCCACTTTTTTGCACATGTCCTGTTGGAAAGGACTTGGATTGATTCCATCACGTTTTGCACACTGTGGGGTAGTCCATAAGGAAGTTAGAATTTCAGCCTTCAACAATTTCTAATGCATCTTTTCCTCAAACCAATGAATAGTTCTAAATGCATTTTATAATGCTTCCTCGGTAGACGAACTGTACTTGCACAGCACCTGTACCAGCACTGCCAGTACTTACACCAGCACCAGCACTACTGCCCTAAAAGAAGAGCAATTCGCTTGAGACACCAATATGGCAAAACCCTCCCGGCAGCTGTTTCTTGCTCCAAAGCTAAACGATGGACGGTCTTGCAATATCAGTATCTCAGCAGGATGGTATTCTCTATGGTGGTGGCGACAGTGGTGGTGATGTTCAAGCAGAGCGGGCCAACCAAGAATGTATTTACAAAGTGGCGAAGCTGGCTAAATTTACATGAACAAGGCAGAACAACAGAGACCAAAAAGCTTTCTCCTTACTCCGAGTTCTACCTTGTGTAGTACGCTCTCCCTCTTTTAGGGTATTGAGCACTATTTGCAGCAAGGAATTCAGAGACTTTGTAAATTTACATGAATGTATATCGTACATTACACCAGGTCTGAATCGGTCGATGATAGCGCAGAAGGCAAGTCCACTTCTCCACGACGTCGTCATGTTCTTGATGTGAACATTGCGGTAACCGTTAGTAACACGGCGACTCCAGCCTGCACAGAATTTTCACCAAAAAGCACAAGTTCACAAACGAAAACCAGATGGCCTGTGATAGCAAAGCAACACGATAGGGGGTGTAGACTCAGTAGGTATTCACAATTCAATTCCATTCACTGTAGCGATCTCATAAACCGGAAATATTTCTGGGATTCGACGGAGACCTGAAAACAATCTCATAGGAGCCACGCTAACATAGAGGAACATGATGTCATACTTAACAGGCATGATGTCATGCTATACACACACATGATGTCATACTGCTATTAAAATAGCCCAAGAAATTGCTATTGGTAAGCCTCACCTAGGAGCTCTGCCTCGCCTGGAATCTCCATAGCTGGTAGCTCACTCTGCAATGGAGTCAGGGAACATGACAGCATGATGTCATCACAGCAATAGGAAAGGCCACATAGACGTGATATCTTCAGTGAAATTACTTGGGCTCTACTAACACAGTCGAATGCTTGGCACCAGGTTGACTGGTGAACTGCATGTCGGGGTGAGGGGATGAGCTACCATCCGTTGGTTTTGCAGCCAAGCATGTACTAATGCATATGTCTTGTTACACGAGTATCGCATTCCTCGCCTGCCTGGTGATTGGTGAGGCAAAAGAAACTGCCACCTACTGCACTGTCACTGTCATGCTGTGTGCATAACTGGTACGTGCATGCCTCAAACCACTCACTTATGCGAAACGATCGTCGTGTGAAACTGCTGCTTGTTATTCTTCATCTAAATTGTCATAGTCGAAGTACAGTGCTGTTTTACCGAGGCATTCGGTTTCGCATTATGCTTATTTCTGCTGGCTTTGGGGGCATCATGTGCATCGAACACGCCAAAGTGAAAGTTCCAACCGATGTATTTGTAGTGCATATGTGGTGGTACATGTCAGCCAAAAATTGCCTGTGGTACTCAAAGGCGTCGCACAACCTAACATACACTCAAATTGCTGTTTTCTTTGACAGCCTGAACGTGCATTTAGGCTTGCATGACGAGCAAGCATACCAGGTACACAAGCCAGTTATGAACACCACTTCATCCAGCAGTGAAGGAGGATACACTGTACAGTGAATCAGGATCTAGCTATGGGTTTAACACCCAAAGCTTGATCGGTTACCATAAAACTCCTGTTACCTAACACCCTCACCATTGGAGTTGTATAATACGCGTCGTCATTGTCTGTGGAATCACTATCATCATGCAACAGACTAAATGCAGCAGGAAAAGCAAGACACACACGCATACATAGAGTTAGATTGTGACAAGGGAAAACTTGTGCTAGCAACACTCACTAAACATTCACTGTAATTGGGGCAGCTCCACGTTCAGACTAGTTCTGGATTGAAACAGTGTCAACACCTCAACAATGATAGCCTCTCCAGCCATTGCACATTGGTGTGTGAACTCTCTGATGAAGGCAAGCTTGGCAGGGGAAAGGGAGGTTGATAGCCACCACAGGTATCTCATTAATTTCATGAAACTTCACTCCTCAACTACAAAACGGTCTCTGTGACTGCGATGAAAGTTTATATTATACCAAACTTTTCCGGCCTTGCCCATCATCAGGGTAGTGAGAACACAGCTCTCTCTCGTGTTGCTCTCTCGTGTTGCTAAACTCTTACAATTCAGCTTTCTGCCTGGCCGTGGTCACTGTTTTCTTGTGTTCCATGACACACTTGCTCTCGGACTGGCTGGACGCCCGGCGGCCACCGACAGTGACTCGACTCTTCGGACCGCTGGGCAGCTCATGACTGGTATCGCTATCATACCCGACACGATGCTGCTCCTCGAACGCTGGGTCGTCAGTGAAGCTGTCCAAGCTGATGTCGTCGGTAGTGCTGCAAACCAATGGAAGACAGCAGAAGACCAAACACACACAGTGATGTGATGGCATCCTAGTTAAGAGGCCATCAGTAAAATAATACTCGAGTGTCAGTATTTCACCAGGAAACGAAATAATTTCGATTCAACCCAACACCTACCTCCCTCCCCTCAGAACGTAAAATACACGTAAATGTTGACATACTCAATCTGCGGACAGAACTGTTTCGTCCTTTGTGGACTCATCTGCGCAGCAACGAGGAAATGAGGCCGAACTTAGTAGCAATGAAAAATAAATTTTCCAAAGCCAGATTTGTACATGTTGACATATACCGTTAAGTACCGTTGATCCGCCCCCTCTCTAATTCCCGCCCCCTCTCTAATTCCCGCCCCCTCTCTAATTCCCGCCCCCTCTCTAATTCCCGCCCCCTCTCTAATTCCCGCCCCCTGTCGATTTTCTACCTGTGAAACGACTTCGGCGTATACAACGAAAATACGATGTTGAACCGACGCATGCACTGCTGTACACAAATTTGCCAATCCAGGATGAAAATGTGCACAATCCAGCATATCAAGTCTGAACTTCTACGTTGTTGTACATCGTACTGCACTTAACAGCCTCGATCTAATTCCCGCCCCCTGCCGAAAACCCAGCTGGGAAGCGACATGGCGTGGGGGCGGATCAACGGTACTTTACGGTACGTGTACAAGGCGTGAGCCTGCTAGAATGCTCAATGCCTATGGTGGAGAGAGCGCAGTACACACACAGTACACACACAGTACACACACAGTACACACACAGTACACCACAGGTGCACAAAGGTATACACAAAGACATATACGAGACGTACATGTACACACAACGAAAGTCACAATGGACGACCTCTAACGCACTGACATTCACTCATTCAATACTCAACGCTGATTATCGTCGTAGTACCTCACATAACACACGAGAGCTCTTCGGAGCAAGGCAGGAACGTAGGAGCTTGTACTGTGGATACATGTACGCAGATTGTAAAACAGACAGTACAGTTAACTCACAGATAATCCAAAACCTCACACATATTCACACGCACACACGGCTTGAGAAGCCAAAAATGATGGCGGATTGGGATTGCTGCAGCACTGTGAGAGCACTCACCTTGTTTTTCGTGCGCTGACGAACTTGGCGACGATGACAATGTCAAGATGAATTTGTTTGACTTTGGATGTGCACGGTGTCAACTTGAGGGAGAGCTCATTCTCACACAGTACATCCTCCACACAGTCCACTAGGTTCAGCACACAGGTACCAATGACTTTACGCTGTCCGTTGGGGGTTATCTGATTGGCGGCACGCATACAACGGAAAGCACAAGTGGAGCAATTGAAAACCTTTGTGAAAAGGCACATGTAAAAGATGCGATCCCGGACCCACACACGGCGCTATGTCAGCATGTGCTACACACCGTAGGTTCTAATCCATATTATCTTAGCCATGAAAAACAGAGAGGTTCCAGGCTCTCAAAACAGAGAGGTTCCAACAGAGAGGTTCCAGGCTCTCCAAACAGAGAGGCAGTCCAGGCTGTCCAATAGAGTGCTCAATACCAAAAGGCAGAGCTTCAAACAATAATGAGAGGATGAAAAACGTGTTTTAAACTTTTAATGAACTCCGAGTTTCATGCATTAAGTGGCGATCATCAGAATACAGCCATGATTATAGTCAGATTGCCCTTCGGAGAGCAAACCAATTCACTGACATAAGGAATAGCACAAATAATGAGGAGCACACTGGCTCAGATGTTGGAACTATAGCAGCAGCAGCATCGGCAGCAGCAGCATCGGCAGCAGCAATAGGAGTGCTACGTACCTATAATCATTATAAAAAGCAAAATATGGCAGGCAGCATTCTGTTTCGCTGTACCGTCAAGTTACACGCACGGCAGAATCATCAAACAGCAACGATTATTCTGTTTCCGAGCGTGCCTATACGCCACTAGCTAATTGGTGCCAGTGCGCAATCACAACAGCTTTTAAACAATTCATTGTGCTTGGCCAGTTTCTTTTGCCTGTATTCCACCTGAGAAGGCAATGAAGGTACTGGTGGAAGAGATTTGAGGATGTTGATTGCAAGGAGCCCGGGGCTTGCTAAAAATGACGTTTTATAATACTTTTATCAGTTTTATTGCACATTTGTCTCCGAGAAAGGCGCAGTATAAGTGTGGGCAAGCACCAGTAGGCTTTGCCAAGAAGAGATAAACCACCAACGTAAGCAATGCAACGAGGTCCACAGTCTGTTACTATTGGTGTGAAATCAGATAAGGATGTGTGTCATGCTAAAATAGATGGCCAGACAGAGAGTGCCAACACGTAGCTTTTAGTACAGGTCATGTGACGACATAATGAATACATAAGATGTATACATGGCATGACCTGTACTAGTATTATTATGACAAGCATGCGCTTACATTTTCCAAGCTGAACTCCCAGTCCTTTTGATCAAACTCCTTTGCAGTGCCTTCCTGGTTAGGCGAATCACAACCCAACACCACACACGCGCACACACGCATGCACACACACGCACACGCACACACACACACACACACACACACACACACACACACACACACACGCACACACAGAGGAAAAGTTAGATGGAATCGAGTTTGCAGAAAAAAGGAAAATAGTGTACATGAAGTACTATGGCCATGGATCAAATTTTCTTTACATAGATTTACATAGATTCCATATACAAGCAGAGCAGTTAGTTGATGATTGCATGCAAACATGAACTGACTTTGAATGGAACATTTTTAGAACACGAAGGCTCCACTGCAGCCAATTCATATCACGATCAGTCACCACCATCACACCAATGTCGTTGACGCTGCAAATTCTATCGAAAAGAAATGAAATCTTCAAATTTTCGACCTTGGTGTGGTGGTGGTGGTGACTGATAGTGATTTGAATGCAACAAATTCATATTTTTCTTCTCTCCCCGTCCGACATGCACTTCCCATGTATACTTTCAGATCATGAACGTAGTTTACCTTGAACATCATGATGTCCGCCACGTGACTCTCCTCTTCAAGCCATGCCAGAATTGTACTGGTCATCCCCTCCACATTCGGCCAATTCAATGCCTGAATAAGGGAAAGAGGATTGCATACAAGATCCTCAACACACAACGTATAGTTTTACCTACATGTACATCGCTAATACGCACTTGCCCTCTCTCTGTCTCTCTCTGTCTGTCTCTCTCTGTGTCTGTCTGTCTGTCCGTCTGTCTGTCCGTCTGTCTGTCTGTCTGTCTGTCTGTCTGTCTGTCTGTCTGTCTGTCTGTCTGTCTGTCTGTCTCTCTCTCTGTCTCTCTCTCTCTCTAGTTTTACCTACATGTACATCGCTAATACGCACTTGTCCTCTGTGTGTGTGTTTGTGTGTGTGTGTGTGTGTGTGTGTGTCTCTCTCTCTCTCTCTCTCTCTCTCTCTCTCTCTCTCTCTCTCTCTCTCTCTCTCTCTCTCTCTCTCTCTCTCTCTCTCTCTCTCTCTCTCTCTCTCTCTCTATCCCTCTCTCTCTATCTCTCTCTCTCTTCTCACCATTAACTCTGGTATTTCCCTGCATAAGCTCAGTATCAAGAACATTACCTCTGCACGAAACCGTCTGTTTCGGCGCTTCCACGTCAGAACTAGAGTGTTGGGTCTCCTGCAAAAGAGAGGAAATGGAAAAGCAAATGATCACGGGCCCAATGATTAAAGTATCATGTCCCAGCAACATCACCATAACCATGCCAGGACTGGAGAAGAAAGCAGAGACAGTACTAGTATCCGTCCGAAACATGCAGGAAATGTGTGTGTGTGTGTGTGTGTGTATGTGTGTGTGTGTGTGTGTGTGTGTGTGTGTGTGTGTGTGTGTGTGGGTGTGTGTGTGTGTGTGTGTGTGTGTGTGTGTGTGTGTGTGTGTGTGTGTGTGTGTGTGTGATCACGGTTCTGAAGCGTCAAGTACTTGTACTCCACTGGCTAACGTGACACATTGCACTAGGAACATCATTCACGGGTTTCTTCAGCTAACTTAGCAGCACCCTCAACCGTAGAAGTGACGTGTGGGTGGGTGTGTGTGTGTGGGGGGGGGGGGGGGGGGGGTGGATAAAGAGGTTGGATCCGCATCAGAACGATGCCACTGAGCATATCCTGTGTGCAAGCCACTGCACATGCTGTCACTGACCATTCTTGATTGTCCGCACAGGCCAGTCGCAAAGACTTGTAGGTGACTGTGAACTCAAATTTGTATGCTTTCTTGTTGGTCCTCTGGAAGCGCCGCCAGATGAGACTCATTGCCTGCAAGCAAGAATATGACAAGGTTCGAATACTGTAAATCAATTATATATCGTAGTCGTTTTAATTTCGCAGATTTCGTAATAGGGGATTCACACGACGGGCAAACTCACATGTGTGGTACTCTTTTTACTCGTATGACCCTAGCGCGTGCAAAATCTTGACAAACTTGATCGGCGGTCTTAGGTCCACGTTCGTGCTTTGCGCACGTGTAAAAACAGCGAGAGTAGTTGAGTTTGGTACTCAGGTTCACGAGTACACAGACGCATGCGAGATTTGCACGGGCCTGTTGTCTGTGTGAATCCGATGGGCAGCTTGTCCACTTTTATACAAACGTGTTTTCGTTCATAAGGCTATAAGGCTCCCGCCACTTACGAAATTATTTTTTTTACTAAGAATGTGTCAGACTCACTGTATAGTAGTGTATACATGCACGTAGTAGTCCCTGATCGATGGCACTCACGATAGTCAGATGACTACGAAGTGTTCCTTTTCTCAGTTTACGAATATTATTCGCTTACGAAATATACTCGATTTACAGTACACACGCAGAGTTAAAACAGGTTTCACAGCATGCAGACGCCAGCCCCGGCACTCCTGCAATACATCAATGATTCCTGGATGGGACCGACCCAGGAGGGGGAGGAAAACAAGCCGCGGATTCTAGCACACAACCCACATGATTATGTCCTGGCCTCGAGTACAGAAGACACTTCTACGGAGAATGAAGCTAGACCTCTGGATCCCCACACAGTAATCTAGCGCCGAAGAGCGGGATGACGAAACGTTTGGCTTCTCACAAGTACGGTATCAGCTAGGCAGGATACAATCGAATGGTCAGTAAAAAAGAACTAGGGCTGAAACGATCATGTATTTTCACCTATCGATTACTCTTTTGCTCAACGATCGATTAATCGATTATAATCGTTAGCAAAATGGTGTCAGAATTTTGTGCAAAAATTACTCTGTTTCCAAAAGCTAGGCCTTCATAATACCAAAAATCTGCAGTAGTGACAGGGTAGCTCCGAAACATGGCAGTTTTGAAGTCAATTTAACCTCAGAATATGCACCATGCTCCAGGCAACTGCAGACTCACAGTGGGAACTGATCCAAACTTCACAAAACGAGGGTTTTCAGTACTTTTTGGACTCAAAATCCCTAACGAGTAATATAACGTAACGATTACTTGATTGATAAGGAATTATCGATCGCTTACCGAGTAATTGGTATAATCGTTTCAGCCCTAAAAAGAACATGTGCTGCCGATAACTTATCCCCTACGTAGCTTGGCATGCACAATCACTACTAGTGTACAGTATTGGAACACACACACCGTCTTGGGAAAAACCCTTCTCCTTTTACAGCATCATGACTTTCTGCTGGTTTATCCAAAGTACTATTCCCAAACCGATTATAAATTCTGCAACACAGTGCAGTACACAACACACACGCACAGTGCACAACACAACTGTGTTGTATGTTTGTACAGGTAATGAATGGGTCAACGACCAGGAAATAGGAGACAGCCGATGTGAGAAAGTCACTAGGCCACCATTATCAATACAATCGTGATCAGCTTCAGGTGCGTTCAACGGCCAAAGAAAAAATACAAAAAAGCTGTCTGCAATACTAGTACCACCGTCACCCTAGCCTAGGCCATAGAGCAAGATAACAATGATAACAATATTTCACCCAGATGTGTTACAAAATGTCATTCTTGACTTTCCTAGCACGCTACATCGTGCATCCCACGCGCTAACGCGCCATGTCTCATGCATCGCTCAAGCTGCTACGTGTCATGTCGACCTTGCTCGTTTTTGTTTCCGCACAATCGTTGGCAATAGAAGAGTATCGCATTTTTAGTTTGACATTGCACAGCAGATAAGCAGCATATTCTAATGGAAACAATAAATAATCCGATTGTCATGCAAGGTACTCACTGATTTAGATTCTCCTTGGGACAGTCCAAAAGGACGCGCGGATAAACCAATGAACGAGTCGAACGTCGTGCAAGAGATCCTCTCTTTGCTGCTACCCTGGAAGGCGATAAATGCAAGAAAGCTCCATCGCCAAGCTTTATGTTAGCTTCCTTCTGCATGCAGTGAACGAGTTACCCGAAGACATGCGGAGGATATCAGGACGTGGCGTGCTGATCTTCGCTCTGTTGACGTTGTAAATGTTGGGTCGTATCGCGTGTTGAACGCACAGAACACGCACGTGCAGTCTTGGAAGACGGCATCGCGACTGACGTGTGTGTGTGGCCCCATGGCCCATCACTGAAGAGTGAAGGCATGATGAGTCAGGCCGGGTCATAGACATACTCATAGATCTACGCACTGACTGTAACTAGTTACTTTGTACTTGTAAGTGTAACACAGTCATAACAATCATTTTTATGATCCAGTGCATGCAGTGGCCCACTTGCACTCAGTACACGTAGATCTACGTAATCCATGTACCGGTACACGTATTATCGAAATAGTGGTGGCGACTTTAGCCTAGGCGATGATAGGTTTGGAATGGGTTTGCTACCCCACACTACCCACAGGGCCACACTGGAGCTCGCGCTATTCCGCCGACTTGACTTTACACATGACTGACTCACGACTGCCATCCAGAGCACAAGAGAAGTCCATCGAGCCTTCGACTCGGCAAACCTGCAAGAACTTAGAAAGCACCACTCCCTGCCAAATACACAATGTTTCGGGGAATTCACCCCTCATCAGTTGAGCTTGAGGAGGAGGAAGATTGTGCCTGAAGAGCACCACTCATAGTGATCCACTGCTCCAGGCACAAACATCACCCGTGCACCAGGGATACAAACTAACTGAGACGCTCCGTTTCCAGCGCGACAAACACCTCGTGAACACCAGGTACATGTACATGGTAACCATGGTAACAGGTTGTGTAGTAGCGTGAGTCACTTTGGTGTCGCTCCTGGACGGAGAGAAGTAACACAGTCTGTCCGACCTTGCCACCATTCCAAAGCAGGACACCCACAGCATAATGACGTATACAAAGGCAATTGTGTCCCATGTAAATGTATACAAATGTTTACGTCCAAAGCAGGACGGTTGGACAGTCGGGTAACAGTAACAGTAAAAACTGTTACCAGTACAATGGTCATGGTTGTACATGGTTGTACATGGTTGTACATGGTTGTACATGTTGGTGGTTTGACAGCATGAAACAAGGTGGAGGACACTGTGCTCGGAAACAGTGGACTACAACCATCCACGGTTGGTACAGCCCCAGTCCGTTGGGACCATCTGAACCATCATGGGTGTTGAACCCGGTTCTGACCCTCATTATGCTAGGGGAGATTTTAGACTTCTCCTAACGTCAGTCGTGTATTCTTTGATCGCTCCTGGATGTTGTCCTGATAGTCACAAATGAAAGTAGCTATTCTAACCTGAACTGTCCTTCCTAACTCCTTTTTTCTTCCTACTTCTGCCCATGGCGTCCATCTCTCAGCTTGTCAGAAAAAAAGGAGTTAGGAAGGACAGTTCGGGTTAGAATAGCTACTTATATTTATGACTATCAGGACAACATCCAGGAGCGATCAAAGAATACAGGACGGACGTAAGGAGAAGTCTAAAACTCCCCTAGCATAATGAGGGTCAGAACCGGGTTCAACACCCATATGGTTCAGATGGTCCGCAGGGACCGGGGCTCTACCAACCGTGGGTGGTTGTAGTAAGGTCACTGTTTCCGAACACGGTGTCCTCCACCTTGTTTCATGCTGTCAAACCAACAACATGTGTGAACTATAGCAAGGTTTATCTGATTGTAGTACTGTACACCTAGCTCTCAAGATGACGGTACATGTATTATCATCTTGAGAGCTAGGTGGAGGCTCTTTGGGCAAGTCCTCCGGCTCCCGGCTGACTCGCCACCATCACTGGCCATGGGAGCGTACTTCGCAGAACCTCGTCCAGCGGGCTGGAGGGGACGACCAAGACACACACTACCAACGCTGCTACAAGATGATGCCAAGCGGATTGGACTTTCCTTGTCAAGCAAAGTCAATCTGGAGGCGTTCCGTGCCCCTGCTGCTGACCGAAGCGGTTGAGTAGGCATCTGTGCCCGAGTGGTGTCGGCACCCTAGTTTTAGTCTTCGTTTCGCACATTTCTTCTATTTTCTGAAACTGTTGTGGTCTTTTGTATCTATTCGAAGTGGCTTTTAAAGCGAACACTTTTGGCTGGTTTGCATGATTTGCGTGCCCATTCATGCAGCTGCAGGCCATGCTGATGTCTACGCGAACAAGCACATAATGATAATGATATTACTAATAATAATAGTACTATTTGAAACTCGGATGTTGAGCCATAAATAAATGTAGAAAGGAAAAGGACATAAGGATACGAGTTAAGAGTAACTCTCCATCACCGTAACTGGATATTATACAGTCAGAAAGTGCAATAACTAGGCACACAACTGACAACAGTACTGAGACATTCGACGTCCAAGTTGGGTGGTGTGCTGCTTTGCTGCTTCGAATTGTAGTTAGACCGCTTTGTCAAATATCGTACTGGACTCGTCATCGTCCAGTAACAATCGACATTCTTTGTTCCGTTGGGACTGTAGCTTTTGCGGCTCGTTTTCGTTGCGCTTGCCTTCCCCTCTTTGGTCTTTCCATAACCTTGAACCTTCCAAGTTGGAAGGCTGTCGGTTAGCGCTACGGAGATGTGTTGAAGCTAGGTGTCAGGACGTCGAATGTCTCAGTACTCTTGTCAGTTGTGTGCCTAGTTATTGCACTTTCTGACTGTATATAGTATCCAGTTACAGTGATGGAGAGTTACTCTTAACTCGTATCCTTATGTCCTTTTCCTTTCTACAATAATAGTACTGTACAAGTATTGGATTATCTAATACCATGGTTGTACATGGTGTTGGGTTTGACAGCATGAAACAAGGTGGAGGACACTGTGTTCTGAAACAGTGACCTCACTACAACCACCCCCGGTTGGTAGAGCCCCGGTCCGTTTGGACCATCTGAACCGTATGGGACTGGGGCTCTACCAACCGTGGATGGTTGTAGAAAGGTCACTGTTTCCGAACACGGTGTCCTCCACCTTGTTTCATGCTGTCAACCAACAACATGTGTGAACTATAGCGTGTGGTTTATCTAATACCATGGTTGTACATGTACATGTGGCTGGCAATCAGCTCTAGCACATCTGTTGTTGTTGTAGAAGTTTATTTAACGTCGCACCACAAACAGGCGATTTCGCCTCCTTTGATACATGTGGACGACAGAAGGAATGAGAGAGAGGGGGAGGGGACAGAAGTACGGAGAGAGGAAGGGTAGAAATAAATAAGCAAATCAACCTCAGGGCTACACCAAAGCAAAAACGGAATGGGAACATACTGATTACAAAATGGCTTCATACATTTATTGCAAAACACGCTTACTATTCTTCAGTCCGCTATACCACAGAAACACACTAGCCGAAAAGCATTACATCTCGGATGCGCACTCCAATAGCCTTCCAACTTGGAAGGTTCTAAGTTATAGAAATAACAAAAAGGAGGGGAAGGTGAGCGACCAAGACAAGCACGAGCTGAAAGTCTCAGCTGTGAAGGACGTTGGCGGATGTACAAGTATGACGTCGAGGACGATACTGGTAAGACCATTAGACAAAAACGGTCAAACCACGATTCAAATACGCATATCATCATATCAAGAGTACATAAACCTGTTTAAACCTGTTTATGTACTCTTGATCATATCACACAACTTGTGTGGCTTCCCCTTCTTATGTTATTTCTATAAATTTAGAACCTTCCAAGTTGGAAGGCTGTTGGAGAGAGACGTCCTTGTGGAAAAGTCTAGTCAGGGTTCAGAAACATCTGTGTACAGAAAGCCTACATTCACCGGCCAGTACATAATGTTTGACTCGTATTGTTTGTACCAATACAAAGTGAATTTAGTGCGTAACTTGGTGGATCGAGCAGAGTGTATTTGCTCCTCTTCCAAACTAGATGAGGAACTGGACTTCCTAAAGTCAGTTTTTCTAAAGAACGGGTATCCCGACGATCTCTTGAAGGAGCTCATGAGCGAAAGGCTGCATAGAAAGGAAATACGTTTTGGCCCGGACAAATGTCCCACGTATCTTTCTCTCCCTTGGAAAGGTAACCTCTCACTGTCCATGAGTCGCGTGGTCCGGAAAATTGTACAACAAACGTACTACGCGGTACATTTTGTACCCGTTTCACAACTGTACGTGCGTTCACGGTGAGGAAGGATGTCCTACCAACCCAACTCGCATCTAAATTGGTATACCAATTTGAGTGCCGACAATGCGGTAGTCCGTACGTTGGTAGGACTCCTCAACATCTGAACGCACGTATCAAGCAGCACGTCCCACTGCACATGCTGACTGGCTCGGCACGGGCACTGCGACCCAAACGCGGCAGGCCACCTAAGAACCCTAGATCACAGCCATCGTTAGCACAATTGCCGTCGTCGGCAATAGTGCCTCCATTACCCGTATCGAGAGCCGTGGAGATGGATAATGTGCACATTGTCACTATAACACAATGCACCATAACAACACAAGAGAGTACACCACAACAACATCCAGCTCAAGACCAAAGTGGACGCTGCGATGAGGTGATGCCCCCATCGCCATCGTTGCCGTTGCCTCCCCCAGAACCGCCACCTGCATCTGTCATCGGCAGTGCTGGGGCTGAGTCTGCGGTGTCGCTGACACGGGCACATATGGATGAGGTAAGCACTGAACATGAACAAGAAGAAAGAAGGCTGAAGGAAACGGAATTCAACAGAGAAAACAACACGATCAACATTCAAAGACCTAGACGATCAACGGCTAATTATTCAATGAATTATTACAGTACTGGATGTCAAGCACCGGCGACGACACTGGGAACAGAAGATTTAGCAACAACAGGAACAACAACAATGACAACAACAACAACAATGGTAACAAATTACCATCAAGATCAAAGGACGAGTCAACGAACAGAGGCTCAGCAACATGAAGCGAGCCTGGGACCGATCGGTGTTGATGAGGAGAATGACACGGAGGACGACACTGAGGACGAGTTGGAAGATGAGACGGGGGACGAGGTTGCGGTTGGTGGAGACGAGGAATCGGATGGTGATTGTGATCGTAAGAAGTCTGCCGTTTTTCTTCATCTGTTGTCTCACCCTAAGTGTCAGCAGGTGTATGATGATTTTAGTTTTTCTGTTCTTTGTCGTGCACGGTACGCTAGTCAG